GAGTCGACTAAAAAATCGACTCATAACACTCTGCCTCACCTCGCGCTGCTGCCCCGGCTAATAGACTTGACACTCCCGTCGCTGCGCGTTAGCCCCAGCCCCAGCAGCGCCACTGACAGCACGCAATCCCCTCGGCCCAAGTTGCTCCTGTTTTGAGGCGCCTCAAAACTCGGCCCAAGTTGCTCCTGTTTTGAGGCGCCTCAAAACTCGGCCCAAGTTGCTCCTACTCCTTCCTCCCCTCACCTCGCGCTGCCGCCCCGGCTCATAGACCTGACGACAATCCCCTGGCTGCGCGTCACCCCCCCCAGAACAACTGGCACCAGCGCTCTCCACCCTATCTCCCGCCCTCCCTCCCCCCTACCTCCCGCTCCTCCCCTCACCTCGCGCTGCCGCCCCGGCTCATGGACTTGACAATCCCGTCGCTGCGCGCTAACCCCAGCCCCAGCAGCGCGAGTTGCGCCGCTGTCGCCACGGGGGCGGCGGCAGCTAGGAAACGGGCCTGGGGATACGCGCTGGGGGGAGGGGTTAGGGGGAGCGGGGAAGAGGGGAGCGGGGAAGAGGGGAAAGGGGGAAGGGGGAAGGGGAAGGGGAGGGGGAAGTGAGGACAGGGGAGGAATGTGTAGGGGGCCGACGTGATTCGCTGTCGCCACAGGAGCAGCGGCTGCTGAAAAACGGGCCTCGGGATACGCGCTTGGATGTGGGAGAGGGGGGGGGGGAGTGGGGAGGGGGAAGAGTGGGGAGGGGGGAGAGTGGGAAGCGGTGGGAGTCGACTCAGAAACACTATCGAGACGACTAACGAAGTTGCGACTAACGAAGTTGTACGAAAGCCATCAGGTTCGCCGATTTCGCTTGCTTTCAGCAGTGCGCACTGATCGAGGCGGGTAATGGTGGACGGGCGAAAGGGGAGACTTACCTACAAAAGACTCTTACCTAAAAGCGACTTACTTAAGACCGACTCTTATGTAAGAGCGGCCATACCTGAAGAGCGGCCAGCAGACGAAGACGAAAAAGAGGCCGATGGTGACGTGGAGGATCTTGCGACTCAATTTCTGCGCGAGCAGATGGGGGATGGGGACAAGGTAAGGGCCTTGCGATGCGTGAGATTCGATATATGCAGAACGGCCGACACATAGTGTGTCGGAAAAGATTTTTGAGTCGACTAAAAAATCAACATAGTGTGTCGGAAAACATGCGTGGCCGAAAAGGAGAGAGAAACCGCATAGCCCATCCGGGACGACTCTCGAGGCGCCTCAGGAGAGCAGGAAGAAAACGCGTGATCTTTCTCATTTTCCACTTCTCCTACTCTGAGGTGTTATCAGTCGGAGGTTTTACCGCGGCAATATATTGTGCGCGTGAGCTTTCTGCGGCCAGCCATTTGGTCGCTTTACCGCGTTATGGTTGGCGCCAGGCGAAAGAAGGAGGAGGAGGAAGTAAGAAAGAGGAGGAAAGGAAGGACTGAGCGGAAAAGGACATGAAAGAAACGACTTTTGAGTGGACTCAAAAGTCACCTCGTTACAATGTCACACAACACTTTTAGTCAACTCAAAAGAGGAAAGGAAGGAATGAGCGGACAAGGAAATGAAAGAAACGCGCGAAGAAGCTTACCCGCTCGACCAAGTTTCGTCGGGCGAGGAAGTCGAAGAGTCGCAGCCATGCGACGACGAGCCCCGTCGTCAGCACGGTCGCACACACGTCGCGCGACAGGCCGGGGTAGCGCAGTGCGTCGAGCAGACGTCGCCAGACGAAGCCATCGAAAAGGCTAACAAATCCGGAGAGGAAATGGCGCCAGAAGGAGCCATCGAAAAAGGGATGAACCCCCGAGTGGAGATTAACTTCCGAATGATAGCGGTGCTGGAGAGGACCCATTAACAGAAGAGTATTATTCCCCAAGCCGCTGCTTCCGTTGAGTGTTCTTAGCGAGGATGCTCTTAGCGGGCGGAGCAGCGGCGGGAAGTTAGCGACCGTGAGGTCCCAGAACCCGACCGACGCGTCCATGGCTCCTCCCATATCAAGCGATGCGAGCCGACGCGTCCGAGGAGATTCTCTGACGTGTATAGCTTGTTTTTCTTCGAAAGGTCGCGCTTCCAGCTCGAGTTGGCGGCGTGGCGCGAAGAAATTCGGTTTCGCGAAGCCTACGAAGCGCAAAACGCGTTTGTGGCTTCTTGCGGGAGTCAGAGCAGGCGTAGCGGGTCAGCGCCTGACACGCGTTTGTGAACGCAAATGCTACACTGGACTGCACTGGCTACAGGTGATTTTTGAGTCGACTCAAAAATCACCTACGGGTCAGCGCCTGACACGCGTCTGTGAACGCAAATGCCACACTGGACTGCACTGGCTACAGCACCAGAGCAGCTGCTGGACGCTGAAGTTCCACTCGGCCGGTCAGCGCCAGAAGCCTTCACACAACTGCACTAGGTGCAACGCCAGAGCAACTGCTGCACGCTGAAGTTCTACTCGTTCGTTGCAACCAAGTATTCAACTCTTCACGGGATCGCACTGCGTAGGGAAGAGCAACTTACACGCGAATTTGTTCCTATCGTTCTATTACGAAGACAGTGTGGGTCGAGCCGGCCGGCAATGCATTCTCGTGACTTCCAGCAGCCAGGAACGTGAATCTCTTACCAAATGTGCCTATACGTGCCTGGCTGATGGGGCGCCTCACACGTTCGGACAGCGACGGCACGTTCTAGCCTCTCGCAATGTCACTAATGCAGGAACAGAGCAACATGCAGAGCGCAGAAATGAAGATACGGTAGTGGTCTGTGGCAACATTGAGCTGTAAGGGGGTGTGTGAAGTAAGCACATGGCTCAACTCAATCCAGCTGCCCTGGTCTGGTCGTCTGTGGAGTGTGGGTCAACAAGAGGGAGAGGGCTAGGCAGGTGTGGGGCAGCCAACAACCAAGGCCTGGTTCGACAAATGGCGGCTGCCTGCCTTGCCACGACGGTTCGACTAAAACCCAGCCTTGGCCGAGCCAAGCGCCGCGCAGAACGAAGCAGAAGGGCGCCCCTTGGGATTCTGGCATGCAATTGGTCAGGTGACCGTCCAGACCGTTGCCTGGGGAGGTAGTAACCCCTATGGATCCGGAAGGTGCAGTAGCTTTCAGCCAGGAATCAGATTCGATTGATGCGAAAAAACTCAGTTATAGTTGAGAGTGTACCTCCGGGATCGATCTGTTGCCTTCCCATCGCCTTTATTTTGCCAAACTTTTTGTTCTACACGCATTCTGGTCTCGCTATGAAAGTTGATTCTCCTATAAGTTGCTGAAACCCTTCGCAGGGGAGCCCAGGCAGGGCGTATCTATGGGCTGGGTCTGCGTGTACACGTTTACACGGGCCTTAGTTGCTGTGGGCGGAACGGTTCGCGTGATTGGTCTTGCCGGGGCCGTGTGCATACAGCAACGCGAGGAGGATGAAGCGGAGCGGCTGCTGCGCCCCTCAAACTGATGCGGCTCGCGCCGCCCTCAACCGAAGCAAACCCAAAGCGTGACTTACGAATCACGACATGAGAGTCACTGCTTCATCCATCTTCCAGCGCTATTTTCCACGTCATACTCCGCCTATATTACTGGCTATGACCGATCGCGGAGATTTTCAATTGGGCAGGGCCCAGCAAGGCAGAGCTTGGGGACGTGAGGTTCGTGGGGGCTTGCCAAGCCAAAAGACGTATGATTTCACAGCTTCGGCAACCCAACAAGCCACTTTTAGGGAACTCGGTTGTAGGTGCACGTTTCACGGAATACCATGCACTTGAGGCGTGTGCCGCAATAGAAGCGGGTGTGCTATAAAGGAGACAGAATAGTCACTTTCGTAAATGTGATTTTTTGGAAACCAACCATCTGCAGCCACTTGGCAGTGCACTTAGGGCTTACGTGGCCTAACACAGTGGCGACAGCCAAGCCCTACCCTTTTCCGCCCGCGACCTCATCCAGAATGCGCTCCTTTCTTCCGCAAGCCCGTCATCTCTCCGCGCGCGCAGCTCCGCTCCCCGTTTCACGCGCCGAACAGCCCTACAACAAGTTTTCCCTCCAGAGATTTCTCCTAAACCCTTTCGGCAGGTCAAGGGGAGAGCTAGTGTGTTCGGCCCTTCTGCGACCAACCACGACTTAAGTTTGCCGTTCCACGTGTCGCCATGGCCGCCGTAACCGCTCCTTCCGTTCGAGCAGCTCCCGCGCTTCCACAGGCAAGATCTTCCGTTTGAGCAGTCTCTTGCGTGACTCGATCCGTAGAAACAACGAAGGGCTCGGGAGTCGCACCCCCGTTCGGGCCGTTTTTTTCTGTCTGTGGCTACCTAGTTCTCGACTGTGCTGCCTCCGACACGATTACTTCTCATGATGGCGTTTTGCCTGGAAGTCGTTCAGATTCTTCTTTCCTAACCCTAGCGTTTTCCCTCCAACCCACCAGGGAGCTCTGAAATCTAGCTTCTTCGGCGAAGCTTCGTCGCCGTGCCAGGTGGCCACGGGCTGCTGGGCGAAGCGGTCGCTGCTCGCGGCGGCTTCCACCTCCCCCTCCGCGCGCCTGCACCGCCGCGCGGTCGCCGCCTCCGCCGCCGCCGCCGCCACGCAATCAGCCGCCGCTGCTGTCGCAGCTCCGGTGCGTCACGGAAATACTGTAACACACCGCCAGAGTCAAGGGGTTGAATGACAGCGCTGAAATGATGTCTGAGTCGACTCAGAAGTCAGCCGCCGCTGGTGTCGCACCCCCGGTGCGTCACGGAAACACTGTAGCTCATCGGCAGAGTCAAGGGGTTAAATGAGGGTGCTGAGTGAAACAGGCCTGTGGGATTTTGAGTGGTCGAATGGGTTGTCGCACGGCAGCAGTCGGCGTTACCTGATTTTACGGACTGGATTCTTTGAAGGAAGACTTATGGTGGGATTGCGTTTTCCACCCCTTGAGCGCGATAGATTGGTAGCGATCTCCATGGGATTGGTTGGTCAATGCAGCTTTTAGGGATTGGTTGGTCAATGCAGCTTTTAGGGATTGGTTCGCCGCGGAATGCGCGACTTGTAGAGCAGGGCGTGGTCCATGGCGTAGAACGGCTTAGGGATATCGAAGCGGCTCAAGGGTTTTGTCATTGACGCTGTACGGGCATCAGGTAGTGGCGAGAAGCGAATTGCTTGGGGTAATAGAACAGCTTAGGGGTAAAAGAACGGCTTAGGGGTATCGGCTTAGGCAGCAGCCGGCTTAAGGGTTTGTCATCGACGCAGTACAGGCAGCAGGAAGCTGGAATGCGCCAGAAGCGACGCACCGAGAAAGGCTCCGACAAGCAAAGCCTACAGCGATGAGGAGGGCTAGAAGGGAACGGGAGGAAGGGGGGAGGAAGGGAAAGGAGGGGTGGGGTTGGGCAGAAGCAGGGGACAAACCAGCGCTAGATTCACTCAGAATGCCCGCGCGAGTAGCTGTGCAGTAGCTTGCTCTCTTCGGTTTCCTCCTTGCACTGTCACATCGGCTTCACCTGACCTCTTCCCCCTTCACATCTCAGTCTCATTAGACGCTCTATTGCATAGTCACCAGCCTCTCATCCATCTCTATCTCTCCCCCCTCCCCCCCCCCCAACCACAACCCTTTTCCCCCCCACCGCTTTCTCCATCCACCTCCCTTTCCCTCCTCTCATCAGGCTGTGCAGAAGCAGCGGATTCGCATCAAGCTCAAGTCGTACCAGGTGCCTCAGCTCGAGACGGCGTCCCAGCAGATCCTCGACGTGGCAAAGGAGACAGGTGCGGGAATCATGGGGCCGGTGCGCTTGCCAACGCACATCCGCAAGTACTGTGTGCTGCGCAGCCCCCACGTGGATAAGGATTCCCGGGAGCACTTTGAGATCCGCACGCACAAGAGGCTGATTGATCTGGAGAACCCAACGGCGACGACTATTGATGCGCTGATGCAGCTGGAGCTGCCTTATGGTGTTGAGGTCGATGTGAAGCTGTCGTGAATTCGTGGCATTTGATAAGGTTTATACGAAAGCAGGCCGTAGGATGTTAGGTGGGCTGATGTAAGGCATGTTTGTGCTCGCAAGGTGACATGTTCATTCCACTACCAGAATTTAACCTTCGGTGCTGTGGCTCAGTGAAGTGGCTCTCGGTGAAGTTGCTAGGAGAACACATCATGTCGCTATTAAGAAGTAGATCGACAAACGTGAGTGTTGTAGGGTCGAAAAGTAACTGGTTATGGATGAGTGTATTCATTTGGAACCTACAAGTTCACCCATCCTGTCCCTTGTTCCTGAGCAACCTAGGAACTTGCGGGTATGGTTTTGTCCCTGAGCACCTGCTAGGCTCGAGCCAGCCCATTGTCCGAGCCAAGCACAAGGCATCCTGAGATAGCCGCTTCGACCTGCACTGCATCACAGCTCTCCGCGATCCGAGTGGCAGGCTTTCGCGAGCGCTATCCGCTTGCGATTGCCTGGCCCCCTCGCTGGCGAATCAGAGCGCGAGGTTGAGTGCATCCACGTCAGGCCGATGACCCCTGGGCGACCTGATCACCTCTGCGATCCCTTGATGGGTGAAACCGAAATCCTGATTCCAGCCACCGAGTTTCTCGGATAACTCGGAGCCATCGATTTTGCCCAATGGGCTCTCCAGACCAGATCGGTCTGCCTGGAGTCTTTTTGGCCGTGCGTGCATCCTCGAGGCGTCGTTTGCCTGAATTGATTCGGCAGCTCTTTTCTGCCTGAGACCGTCCCTCATTGTCGGTCTCTGTTTCGGATAGCAGAGGCCGCTGTCCTCCCCAATTGACATTCCCTGCTCCATAAAAAACAACAAGTTTTTCGGCTCAGCAGCACAGTTGGTAGTCTAGTCCCTCCAGGGACTAGTACTGTCCCATAGTATGGCGACCGCTGTACAGCACTGTCAGCTGACCGGAAACTTTATTCCTAAGACTGACCCATTTTCTAAGTCTCAGGCCATGGTCTCTTCGGCTGCTAATTTGCATCACAGCCGAGCATGTCTACACACATTGTACGCACGCCCTTACACTGTAAGGGCACAGCCGAAGCAGCTTGCTTTGAAAATGAGCTCTGTTTCGGCCGCCCTACAGGTCCCTGCAGCGACAGCAGCAGCCGAATCCGCGATAACAGTTGCTCCTGAACTCGCCACAAGTCTCGGAGGATCTGCACTCGAGGCTCTTCAGGCACCAGCTTCGTTTTTCAGCCTCCAGCCGTCGAGCTTTCACCCTGCATTGACCGATGTTGTGACAAGTTTTCCACCCGCGAACGATGGGATTCTAGCTCTAGCGTCTGGCTTGCTGCCGTTAGCAGGGTCGTGGCAGCAGGACGTGGCCGCTACGCTTTTCACCCTCCTGGGGTCCGTGGCGTGGGTCCGCGTCTTTGACGAGCTCGCCAGACGGAACGTCCTGGAACAGGTGAGCAGCTACCTGATTGGCTGCTTCAATGTTTCTGCTGCTCCAGATATTTCTACATGAGACCGAATTTGCTTGCCTCGAGGCCTTACCATAGTGGTCCTTCTCAGTCGTCATTCCATCGTCCTTGGATGTTTGTTCTCCCTGATGCTGTTTCTCTGCTGCAGAAATTGAGTCGGAAGATTGTGCACATCACCACAGGGCTACTTTTCATGCTCTCCTGGCCTCTCTTCAGGTAAATTCTGTCTGGAAAGGGCTTGAAGATTGCTTCTAAGCCAAAATTATAATATGCAGCCTGCTTGCAGACCGAAATCGATGGTGTCTTTCCTTTCAGATCGACTCTCAAGGGACTCCTTGATTGAAACGATTGTCACTACGATTGTCACTACCATTGTCACTACGATTGTCCTCAAGTTCCGACCTTTCTTGTCCTGTGGTGCGTTCCTCCCTCCTGTGTTCAGCTTCAATCCAGCAGCCAGGTTCCTTGCTGTCGCTGTCCCAGTGGCGAATGCTGTCCGCATAGTGCTGCTGGGCACGGGAATCACAAAGAACGAGGGAGTGGTCAAGTCGATTAGCAGAGAAGGCAGTGCGAGGTAAAGCTCCTGCTTCGAATGGTTAGCGTCCCTTGGGGTTTGGGAGAGTTGCACGGAGCATCCGGACTTTCTTCCTACATACCACCATAGCCCGCTGGCACTTGAAGGATCCATTTCCCTCCTATTTAGTTTATCTCTCGACAAAACAGTAATTCATGCGGTCTATTTCCCTTCCTTCCGTTTCCCTTGTCGTCTCCACTGGTTGCCTGCTTTTGAGGCGCCTCAAATTTAGACTTCCCTTGTTGTCTCCACTGGTTGCCTGCTATCTTCAAGCGAGCTGCTTCGGGGGCCTCTCTACTATGTGCTCACCATCGTTTTAGTCACAACCATCTTCTGGCGCAGCTCCCCCATTGGAGGCATAGCCCTCGTGCTCATGTGTGGTGGTGACGGTGCGTCAGTCATCTCGTTGTTGTTGCTAATTCATACGCCTTTGTGGCCGTCTACCCATTGTGTCATTCCAATGCACAGTATTCCACCACATGCTTGTATCGATTTTGTTGTTGGTGGGTCAGACGCCATTTCTGAATAAGGGTCTCTCTGTGTTCTTACCGGTTCGGCCCCAACCCCTCGTACAGGAATGGCTGACATAGTCGGCAGACGAGTGCGTTCTGAAAAGCTTCCCTGGAATAGCCGCAAGAGCTGGGCTGGAAGCGTCGCCATGCTGCTCTGTGGCTCGCTGCTCTCAATGCTGTAAGCAATCTCCCCTCTCCCGCTTCTGTAAATCCTGCCCTCAGATACTTCTGTAGTGTACTCTAGATGCCAGCATTATCATGACAGATTTCTTCCTTCCATTGTGCAGGTTTGTCTATATATTTTGCTCGTTCGGGTTCTTCCGCACCCAGTGGTGGTCTGCAGATATCTGCTTCAGAATTTTCCTGATAGCTGCAGGAGCGACATTTATGGAATCATGTCCCATAAGCGAGAAGCTAGATGACAATTTCACTGTTCCGTTTTCAGCCGTGCTGCTGGGGCACCTGCTGCTTCCCATGGCGTGATTCTGTATGTTGCTGCCTCACATGGCAATATTTTGTGTATGTTCATTTTTTCCCTACTAATCTAATTTTCCACCGCTCAATGAGCTCTTCAGCAGAAGACCTGTTTTCATGGAACAGCATGCACCCATCATGTATTTACAACGGAAAGGCATGCAGACATGCATTTATGTATTTATAGGTAATGTGAACTAAGCATGCAGGCACGTTGCAGGTGAAGATTGTTCTATGCAGCTAACCCTCCCTCTCCTCCCCATATCCCCCCCTTGGGCATTTAGCTTGCTCACTACTCCACCATATCCTCACACACCATCAGATTGTGCACCCCTTCCACATCATCTCTCCTTCTACTCAGATTGATTCAGCCCCATATCCCTCACCAAGTATCAACCATCAATCCCAGTCACATCACTATCCATCCTTCCAGTCATCCACACTGCCAGCGTTTCCACCCGCCTACCCGCTACCCTTGCAACGTCTTTCTTGGCCACTCTCAGTCCTTCGCCTGGTAACTCTGCTGACTATTCATCATTCCTAATTCTCACACCTCCATCACAGCCATCTGTCTCTCCACTGCCCTTGCCATGTCTTCCTTGGCCCCTCTCAGCTCCTCGCCCAACCCTCTCATCATTCATCATTCCAAACCCTCACTCACCTCCAGCATAGCCATCTGCCCCTCCAATGATCTGGGTCTGTCTTCCTTGCTCCTCCCAGCTCCTCCCAACTTTAGGGTGTACCACCATGTAGCCTAGCGTTTATGCAGCCAAGCCAGGCCTTCGTGCAGTGCAGCTAAGCCAGGCCTTCGTGCAGCCAAGCCAGGCCTTCGTGCATCCAAGTATTTTTTTATGCAGCCAGCATCCGCATCTGCCTCTCCAGTGCTTTGCCCATGTCTTCCCGTGCCCCTCTCAGCTCCCCCCTTGCTACTTCCACCAGCCATGCACTCTCCTCCACGCTCATTGGCTCCTCCAGCTCCTCCCCCAATTCAATCACATCCCGCTCCCCTCTCCCTGAATTAGTCACATCCGACCCACCTTGACCCGGTTCGCCCACATCCCACCCTTCTCTCCCCGGTTTAGTCACATCCCCTCCTCCCTCCTCCGATCTGCTGCAGCGGCCCCATCCAAACCAACCCCCTCCTGTCCCGGTCGTACCTTCTCCTGGCAGTTGAGACGATGTCTTTTCAGGGATCAACCCTGGTGCCACCTGAGAGGTTTCGCCTGACCTTTCCCCAAGGGTCTCCCCTTCCCCACGGGTCTCCTTGTGAGTAGCACTCGGTTCCGTGGCAGCAATGTCACTTGACCCCCCTGCAAACACCATTCTCTGCTGTTCTGTATGCATGGTTCGCATGGCATGTTCAGCCATGTCATGGGCCATCAGTACTGCCTCTTCTTCGCCTGTCTCTTCAGCTATCTCCTCAGCTATTGCAGCCTCTATCTCTCCGCGTGGTACCGCACCCTCCATCATCCACGCCTCCTGCTGCTGCTCGTCTCTGTCCTCATCGTCCTCCTCCTCCTCTTGCTCCTGCGGCCCTTCCTCCTCTTCCCCCCCCTCCTCCTCCTCCTCCTCGCTTTCCTCCTCTTCTTCCTCCTCTTCCTCCTCCAACTCCTCCTCCTCCTCATCCTCAGGCACTCCTCCTCCCTCTGCACCAACTGCATGGGAGAGCCAGGGAGGGAGCACAGCTGCTGCCATAGCAGCAAGGGTGGAAGGCTGCTTCTTCTCCTCTCCTTCAGCAGCAGGTGCCTCCTTGTAGGTGTCAGTCGATTCTGGTGCTGGAATGCCGCTTGCTTGCACTGCTGCTGGTATGCCGCTTGCTTGCACTGCTGCCGGAATGTCACTTGGTTGCGCTGCTGCTGGCATGTCACTTGGTACCACTGCTGGCATGTCACCTGGTTGCACTGCTGCTGGCATGTCGCCCCAGTCCACTCCAGGCATCACACTTTCAAGCAGCCTCGCATACAATCCCTTGTTCACACGCTCAACCGGTTCCTGGGACACCATACGCGACCACTCTTCACCGGTCCCTTCAAGCACTTCTTCCTCTCCCTCCTCCCCTGCCCCTCCTTGATTTGTGAGGCCCTTAGTATTCCCAACTTCCTGCTGCTGTTCCCCTTGCCCTTCCTCCTCCTCCTCCTCCTCCTGCTGCTGCTGCTGCTGCTGCTCTATCTCCCCTTCTTCGTTCCATGCTCCAGCCCCTGCCTCTGTCCTCCTGGCAGGCGAGAGCCAGGCAGGAAGCACAGCGGCTGCAAGGGCAGCCATTGTTGAAGGCTTCTTCTCTCCCTCTCCTTCTCCCTCTGCTTCCTCCTGAATCATACCACTGGGACCAATCTCCTTCCCTTCCTCCTGCCATTCTTGCTGTTGCTGCTGCTCCCCCTCCTCCTCCTCCTGACTACCTTCTTCCTCCTCGGTCACAGCTCCAGCGCCTTCCTCTGCCCCTGTGGCAGGGGAGAGCCAGGAAGGGAGCACAGCAGCAGCAAGGACAGACATGCTCGAAGGCTGCTTTACTTCCTCCCCTCCTGCCTCCACTCGTTCCTCAGCGATGCCTCTGACACCAATCATCGCCTGCTCCTGCTGCTGCTCTTCCTGCTCCTGCTCCTGCTCCTGCTCCTGCTGCTGCTTCGGCGGCTCCTTCTCCTCCTCCTCACCACCTCTCCCCTCCGCAGCTCCTTCCTCAGTCCCTGTGGCGGGGGAGAGCCAGGAAGGGAGCACAGCGGCTGTAAGTGCAGTCATAGTCGAAGGCGGCTTCTCTTCCTCTCCTCCTGCCTCCACTCCTTCCTCAGCGATGCCTCTGACATCAATCATCGCCTGCTCCTGCTGCTGCTCTTCCTGCTCCTGCTCCTTCTCCTGCTCCTGCTGCTGCCGCGGCGGCTCCTTCTCCTCACCACCACCTCTCCCCTCCGCAGCTCCTTCCTCAGTCCCTGTGGCGGGGGAGAGCCAGGAAGGGAGCACAGCGGCTGTAAGTGCAGTCATAGTCGAAGGCGGCTTCTCTTCCTCTCCTCCTGCCTCCACTCCCTCCTCAGCAATGCCTCTGACACCAATGATCGCCTGCTCCGGCTGCTGCTCTTCCTGCTCCTGCTCCTGCTGCTGCTGCGGCGGCTCCTTCTCCTCCTCCTCACCACCTCTCCCCTCCGCAGCTCCTTCCTCAGTCCCTGTGGCGGGGGAGAGCCAGGAAGGGAGCACAGCGGCTGTAAGTGCAGTCATAGTCGAAGGTGGCTTCTCTTCCTCCCCTCCTGCCTCCACTCCCTCCTCAGCAATGCCTCTGACACCAATCATCGCCTGCTCCTGCTGCTGCTCTTCCTCCTCTTCCTCCTCCTCCTCTTCCTCCTCTTCCTCCTCTTCCTCCTCTTCCTCCTCTTCCTCCTCTTCCTCCTCCTCTTTTCGCTCCACCAGCAGCTCCATCTTTTCCTCCCCTACTTCCCCCTCCCCCGTCCCACTCTCTCCCACACCCTCCGGGCTCGCCTTCTCGCCCCCTCTCTCCAGCCGCATCATATGCAGCACTGGTGACGGCAATATGGCTGTTACCACTGAAGCGATTGGTGATTTGACCCCTGCCTCCTCGGCTCCCTCTGTTGCAGCGTGCAGTGCAGCTGCGTCTTCTGCTCCCTCTTCTCCCTCTGCTCCCTCTGATGCTTCCATTTCCTCCTCTGCAGATACATCCTCCTCTCTCTTCAGTGCACTCGATCCGAGGGGCGTTTCACCTTCATCCGCCTCTTCCTCCCTCCCTCCCTCCTCCCCCTCCTCTCCTTCCACAATCGCCCCGAGCACGCTCTTCCCCTCCGTCCCTTTGCCCCTTCCGAAACCCCCTTCCTCTCCAACCAACGCCTCATCAGCACACGCACCACCTGCTCCCTGCTCCCGTGCTTTCTTTCGAGCTTCCCTCCCAAACGCTCCCTCCATCCCTTCCCCTCCCATTACTCCTCCCTCCCTTTCCTCAATCTCCAATACTTCGTTCCCCTCCTCCGATCTCCCTAATTTCTCCTCTTTCCTCTCTCTCCCGGTGCTCCCCTCTCTCGGCATCTCCTCCCCCCCCACTCTCCCCTCTCCCATTATCTCTTCCACCTCCCTCAGCTCCTTCATTCTCGCAACAGTTGGCGATCCCTCCTGCGATTGGCTGCTCCACTCACTTGCAGAGCTCGCTCCCCCCCTCAAGCTTCCCATAGCGGCATGAGCACCAGCTACAGCCATAATAGCATGCACCGTTGAGATGCATTCACCAGCACCAGCTGCATCAGCAGTAGAAGCAGCAGCATCAGCAGCTACAACTGGCAATTCAGGTGCACATGATATGGCCACAACCTTTGCGCCAGGTACTTCTGCCGCCCCTCCTTCCATTCCCTTTCGAGCACCCCTCGCTGCGGCTTCTTCTCCTGCTATAGTTCTCGCTCCAATTATAGCAGTTGCTGCTGTCAGCGCCACGATTGCCAGAGCCGCAGTAAGCCTATGTCTCTCTGCGTCCCGTTCACTGTCAGCAGCAAGCGGCCCTGTAGGCTTAGCAGTAACCGCAACAGGTGACTTGGCTGAAGCAGCAGCAGCAGCAGCAGCTGATGAGAGCAGTGGTTCTGTTACCACATTCCCCGCTGGCTCTTGAGCAGCAGTTGGCTCGGAAGGAATGGGTACAGCCAGAGGCTTGGAGGGGATGGGATGGGCAAGAGGCTCGGTAGGAGTAGGTTGGGCCAGAGGTTCGGAAACGATTGGTTCAGCCTTAGGCTCGGAAGGGGCTCCTTCAATCTGTAAGTGCTGGGTAGGCGACGGTTTGGTTTCTGGGGACACACCAGGAGCAGCAAATGCAGCAGCAACAGGTGGCTCAGTAGGCTTGGGTGGGAGGGAAGGGGTTGCCACAGCTGCCTCTGCCGTCTCCTCTGTTGACTGGAGAGCATGTGACTCAACAGGAGGTGCCACGATGGGTGAGAGAGGGAGGTCAGCAGCACTGGGAGATGGTGGTGAAGGCAAGGACTCCAATGAAGGTGCTGCTTCCAGTAGTGCTGCCGATTCTGCTGTTGCTCCAGTCTCCTCATGTGGAAGCTGCCACAAACCAGGTGGGGTTCCAGCCTCAGGTGATGCTTCAGGTTCTTCTGGCAGCTCTTCTGCTACTATTGCCGCTGATGCTTCTGCTGGTGCTCCTGCCAAAGCTGCTGGTGGTGCTTCTTCCAATGCTCCTGTCAGTGTTTCTGCCAATGCTACCCTTGTAGGCCACTCCATCCCTCCTCCAACCCCCTCGCCCCCTCCTCTCGCCCCTTCCAATCCCACCATCTCACCCCCTCCCGCGATTTCCTGCCCTCCCTCGATCTCTGGACCCCCCTTTGCCATCCGTGCCCCCACTGCCCCCACTGCTCCCACTGCTCCCACTGCTCCCACTGCTCCCACTGCTCCCACTGCCCCACCAACCCCCCTATCCCTCCTGTCCCTCCTATCCCTCCTATCCCTCGTATCCCGGCCCTGATATCTCACTCCCCCCCCTCCCCTCTTCAACTTCTCCCTCTTCAACTTCTCTCTCTTCTTTCCCAAGCCCCCGTTCTGCCCCCACGCCAGTAGGCGTTTCACCAATCATCACAGGCGGCTCCCTGGTTGCCATAGGCGCTTCTCTGGTTGCCACCGGTTCCTCCCTCTCCTCCATATTATCTGCTACAGCCTCCTTTGCAGACACATCCCCCCTGGCTCTAGAGCCTTCTCCCTCCTCCCCCTCCATTGCTGCTTGCACAGCCTCTGCTACAACCCCTTGCACGGCCGCCCTCAGATTCTCCTGCCCTGCTGCATCCAACGGTCCGTAGAACGACACCTCAGCATCGTAGAACACCTCTTCAGACCCCTCACTCTCACTCCTCCCCTCCCTCACCCCTCCTCCTCCCTCACTCCCTTCCTCTCCCTCCTTCACCCTCCCTCTCCTCTCACTCTCACTCGCTCCCGCCCTCACCCTCCCTCCTCCCACACCTCCCATCTTCTCCCCCATCTCAAGTCGCTCCCCTCCTCTTGCAACTTCCAAAGCCTTGGTCTTTGTTTGTTCTCTCTCTCTGTCTTCGATTTCTTCCAATAACGCTGCAGTCTCCTTGCCCTCTCCCGCCCTCACCCTACCTCCTCCCACACCTCCCATCTTCTCCCCCATCTCAGGTCGCTCCCCTCCTCCTGCACCTTCCACAGCCTTGGTCCTTGTTTCTTCTCTCTCTCTGCCTTCGATTTCTTCCAATAACGCTGCAGTCTCCTTGCCCTCTCCCGCCCTCACCCTACCTCCTCCCACACCTCCGATCTTCTCCCCCATCACAGGTCGCTCCCCTCCTCCTGCACCTTCCACAGCCTTGGTCCATGCCATTTCTCCCTCTCCCCCTTCCGTCTCTTCCAATACCGCTGCAGCCTCTATTGCCTCTGCTTCACTCACCCCTTTTCGGATAAGGTCGTCTGCCACCGCCCTCAGCCTTGCCACGTCACCCCTTTCCTCTCCTGCCACGTCACCAGTTCTTCCCCCTTGCATCGCCAGCACGCTCGACGGTGCAGCTGCCACCAGATCGCCCACGTCAGCAGGGGAGGGAGGCGGCGTGGCAGGAAGGGGTGGGGTGGCAGGGGGACGCTTCTCAAACGCCCCGGAGAAGTCCCTGGGAACGAGTGTTCGCTGTGAAGTGTGGATGTTGGGAGCGCTGTTTGCTCGAGTCAGCCATCCTGGTGCTGCTGCTGGTGGTGCTCCAAACCTCGCACTTGCCGCTGCTCCTGCTGGTGCTGCTCCAAAACTTGAACTTGCTCCCGCTGCCGCTAGTGGTGGCGCCACTGCTGCTTCCACCTGTTGCCTTGCGCTCAAACCTTTTCCCCCTCCTCCTGCAACTACCCCTCCCCCAGCTCCCAGGCTTTTCATCTTGGGTATCGGTGGCTTGGCTGCAGCTCCTGCTGCTGCCGCAGCTGCTGCCTCTGCAGCCGCTTCTCTCTCCTCCTCCGCAGCTATCCTCTCAGCGTCAGCACCTGCTGCTGCCAGCCCTGCTGCCTCTCCAGGTGTTAGTGGGCGATGCGATGCAGGGCTTACTCGCCCCCCCACCTCTCCAGGCGTGAACTGTCGGGGTACCGCGGGGCTTGCGCGTGCCGCATGAACCATCTGTGCTTCAGGTGATGCCACTCTTGCTCCCACGACTCCCCTCTCGCCCTCTCCCCACCTTTTACCTAGCAACCCCCTGCCCCCTCTCCCCCACTTCCTCCCAGAACCCCGCCCTCACGCTCCCCCTCCCCTGCTCCTGCCACCTCTCTCGCCTCCCCGCCCCCTCTTCTGAATCGGCTGGGCTCAGGTGGGGAGCGAGGGGTGAGCAGGGGGCTACAGCCGCTGCTGGAAGGCGTGTGCATGCTGCTGAAAGCCGGCTGCAGAAGAGAGAAGAGGGAGCATTCACACCGAGGGAAGCCGGATGAGGGAAGCGGTAAAGGGAGAGTGAGGGGTGCGCATGGGGATACCGTTGCTCCATGCTGTGTGCATCCCACTGAGGGTATGGCTGATGACGTTAACCAGGATCGAGACGTCTAGTTTTGAGGCGCCTCAAAACTGCATGCCACTGAGGGTATGGCTGGTTAAGGAAAGGCCAAGAGGAGGGAGAGCACACGAGAAGGCTGAGACTGACTGGGAAGAAAAGGTGCAAGGTTCACTACCCACAATCCCGCCATATCTTGCACCTTTAATGCACCTCACCTCAGTACTGCCCTGACCCCACCATACCTCGCGCCTCCTTGCAGCCCTGCGCTGGGGGTGGAGCACCTCTTCCAACTTCTCCCTCATCCTCCTTACAAATCTGCCCTTTGGGCTCCTTGCCCCATGCGCCAGTTCTTCCTCCCCTGTGGCTATCCCTCTCGGCCCTCTCCCTGCACCTGCCACCCCCTCCTCCCCAATGACTCTACCTCTCGGGCTCCTCCCCGCACCTGCCACCCTCTCCTCCCTCCTAGCCGTACCTTGCGGGCTCCTCCTGCCGCCAGACTCCTCCCTTTCGCCCTCCCTTCTGCCCTCCCTTCTGCCCTCCCCTTTGATCTCCTCTCCACCCAGGTCGAAAGTCAACCCTTCTCCTACTGCTCCACCCTCCAGCCCCCAGCCCGCTCTCCTCTGCACTCCTTCCACGCCCTTTACTCCCAACGCCTCAGCCGGCCTTGCTGCTTCTGGCACCACTGCTTTACCCTTGTGCTGCTGCTGCTGCTGCTCGTGCTGCAGCTGCAGCTGCCTCTCCCCCTCTGCTGCCTCCACGTGGACCTGTCTGACTGGCTCCTGCCGCTGCTGCCTGTGGCTGCGATGCATCCTCTCCTCCACCTTCCCCAGAAAGTTCCTCACATGGCCAAGTGCCCCCCGCCTCACCTTCCTCTCTTCCCCCCCTGGTGAGGTGGGCCCCACACCAGCCATCCCACCCTTTCCTCCTCCTCCCCCCTCTGTAGTCACTCTGCCACCACCGCTTCCTCCTCCTCCCTCTGTGATCGTTTCGAGAGAGGAACCACCTCCCTGTGTCAGCTGTTGCCTGGCCTGCTGCTGCTCTGCTGCCACTGCTGCTGTAGTAGACCCCTGCTCTGGCCTCCATGGTATGGGGGCTTCTACAGGAGGTGCTTGAAACGAGGATGCTTCAAATGGAGCTTTCCCTGAAAGCTCCTGCTCAGTGGTGAAGACTGTGTGTCCTCTTGTGTTACCACCGCTGCTAGGTTGGTGATGCGGCAGTCCCAGGTGCAAGCGCTCAGCAGCGGCTGTGTCCCCATGGTGCTTCACGTCTTGAGACAGTGAGGAGGGATCCAGGGATCCACCTTGCTGCTCCTCCTGCTTTGCCACTTCCATTATGCTTTCGTCTGCACAGAGAACGCGGAAAAAGAGCTGGGGATGAGAACGCAACCATTGTGGATCTTAGCCCACCGCTGGCAGTGGTTCCACGTGTCATGTTTCTGAATAAGCTTCAGCATCATATTTCGTTCTTCAGAACGTGTCATCCTTCCTTGCTCACCGTTGATTGCAGGCGGAGGGCGCATCAGCTTCCTGTTGCGGTCATCCACAGACAGATCCATCCAATCAGGACACGTGGACATGGTGGCGGGCAGCAGGAAAAAGGAGGCGCTGTTTGCAACACAAGAGCGGGACTAATCTGGAAAGAAACGGATTCAGCAGATGAGTCCTTTATCGCCTAAATCTGTAGTCAGGGTTTCGGTAAATTGACTCGCTCGAGCTTTGCTGGTGGTAGTGCTACTGAAAATCTGTTGAGAAATACTGAAATCAGCGCCTAGCGGCTGGTCTCGTGCGATTCGAACGAGGAGAAATAATGGAGGTAAGGCGGAGCAGGGACTGCGCGCTGCAAGAAATCCGGATGTCGCTGATTTGGGATAAAGAGAGGAGGTGAGTGAGATGGAAGGGGAGTGGCGAGGCGATCTGGCAAGGCAACCAGGTTGAGCCTGGGGAGACAGGGAATTTCGGAAACATGGGGACAGGTTTGGGGCTGAAATTTGGCGAGATGCTTTTCTCGCGTCGCACATTTGAGTCGCGATTCGGTTTCGGATGCATGTTTGGGAAGCACAGTTTAGCCTCGCGGGATGACGCGTGGCAGGCTGCCAGTGGCAGCATGTTTCGACATTGGAAAAAGAGAGGAGTTTTAATTTTCATTATTGGCAAAACGAAAACCGGCGAGTTATCCCTACAAGTTGCAGCGAGAGCTTCAATGTCGAGGTTTGAATGAAACAATGTCGTTCTTTTTATTTCCTCCTACCAGCTTCTACAAGCAACATGGGTGAAGGTAATTTTGGCAGCTACTACCTCTAGCCCACCACATAGCGTGGCGCTACGTCAGCAATTCGCGACGCCAGCGCACCTCCTGCTCGCGAGAGCAAGCACTACGTGGCAGCTCGCCCCTCCGTCGGCCCGCCCCGTAGCTGAGTCCCTTTCGCGTCACCCCTGCCCCTTTCCTCGGGTCGCTTAGCGCCTGACATATCAACATCGATATTATACCTAATTCCCGCAACCGCCTCCTCAACATCCTCCCCCGATTCTTTCCCCCTTCTCTCCCCCGCCTGGCGCCGTTAGCCTGCGCGCACGGTCCCTCGCTCGAACTCTTCATGTTTCGCCACCGTAGCTTTTCGCCTCGCTGGTAATGCCCTCTCACCCCTTTCGCGACTTCGCTTGAGACAGTAACGCAGTTGCCACTGCTACGAGGACGAACGGATGGCGGTTCATTCGTCGAGGGGTTGGTTGCACCAGTAGTGCTGTACTGTAGCATGTATATCGTGTACTTTTTGGGAGTTCCTAATGCTACATCGGCCATAAGAGTCGTTCAAATTGTGGTGGCTCACTCCTCGATTACACGCTTTTCGCTAATGCTCCATTTCTTTCCGCGAGTTATAGGTTAGCTTCGTTATAACCTGTTTCGTTTCTAGCTTGTGTCATGTCTTGGAGCCTTATCAAAGACCTGCCGTTTAGCCTCTTGTCTATCGGCAGAGGGAGCGGGGAAACCAGTACGGATACTGGGGAAGCTCCTGTAGCGAGTGATTCAAGCGCTGTGACTGTAGCGAATGAGGGTGCGGAAGTTACCATCAGGGAAGTTTTCCCAGCAGGGTCTGCGGAGGTAACGGTAGAGGTAGCGGAGGCGAGCTGTGGTCTGGGCGAGAGGCTCAGTTGAGCGATTCTGGTGATAGGGTGACTGATGGGGGTGAAACGTTGACTGGTGGTGGTGATAAGGCGACTGTAGCGAATGAGGTTGCGAAAGTTACCATCAGGGAAGTTTTCCCAGCTGGGTCTGCTGAGGTAACGGCTGTAGCAGAGGCGAGTTGTGGTCCGGAACGAGAGTCTACGGTGGCTGATGGGGTTAAAAGGGCGACGGAGTTGCAAGCCAATGACAGCAGGACACGTGGAGAGGAGGATGGGGGAGGGCGGGCGGGAGGGTGGGAAAGGCTCGATGAGGCTGAGGCTGGTGTGGAGTCCAGCGGGGAGGACGGTGACGTTAGAGAGAAGATTGGATCAGGAGTGGAGGGACAGGGGAGCGGGCAGTTGAACGGGCAGCTGAACGGGCAGTCGAAGGTGCAGTCGTGAGTGGGGAAGATCTAGGAGTACGGGATATTCAACAGCAGCAGTTGAAAGGGGGCGTGGGAGAAGGAGAGGCAGCAGCAGCAGCAGCTGTATACAGTGTCAGTCTCAATGCCAATGTGGACGATGGAGGAGGAGTGACTGGGAGACAAACGGCTGAGATGGTGCGTGGTTTGTGCTTTGTGTGCCCCGTCTACACCTCGGTTTGTATTGCTAGTATGTATACAATTGGCTTATATTAGCGGGTTTTCCATTATCATTTCCATCATTCCTACCCCCATTTTCTTTCCCAGTTCCCTTCCCCTATCGTCCCCCCTCACCCCCAATCCCCCGTCCTTGTCCGGCTTTTCTTTTGAGTCGACTCAAATATCGTCCCCCCTCAAACCCAATCCCTCGTCCTTGTCCGGCTTTTCTTTTGAGTCGACTCAAATATCGTCCCCCCTCAAACCCAATCCCCCGTCCTTGTCCGGCTTTTCTTTTGAGTCGACTCAAATATCGTCCCCCCTCAAACCCAATCCCTCGTCCTTGTCCGGCTTTTCTTTTGAGTCGACTCAAATATCGTCCCCCCTCAAACCCAATCCCCCGTCCTTGTCCGGCTTTTCTTTTGAGTCGACTCAAATATCGTCCCCCCTCAAACCCAATCCCCCGTCCTTGTCCGGCTTTTCTTTTGAGTCGACTCAAATATCGTCCCCCCTCAAACCCAATCCCCCGTCCTTGTCCGGCTTTTCTTTTGAGTCGACTCAAATATCGTCCCCCTCAAACCCAATCCCCCGTCCTTGTCCGGCTTTTCTTTTGAGTCGACTCAAATATCGTCCCCCCTCAAACCCAATCCCCCGTCCTTGTCCGGCTTTTCTTTTGAGTCGACTCAAATATCGTCCCCCCTCAAACCCAATCCCCCGTCCTTGTCCGGCTTTTCTTTTGAGTCGACTCAAATATCGTCCCCCCTCAAACCCAATCCCTCGTCCTTGTCCGGCTTTTCTTTTGAGTCGACTCAAATATCGTCCCCCCTCAAACCCAATCCCCCGTCCTTGTCCGGCTTTTCTTTTGAGTCGACTCAAATATCGTCCCCCCTCAAACCCAATCCCCCGTCCTTGTCCGGCTTTTCTTTTGAGTCGACTCAAATATCGTCCCCCCTCAAACCCAATCCCCCGTCCTTGTCCGGCTTTTCTTTTGAGTCGACTCAAATATCGTCCCCCCTCACCCCCAATCCCCCGTCCTTGCCAGGCTTTTCCCCACAGTCTAAGTTCGCCGAGCTTTGGCAGCACTGGTATGTGATTTGATGTGATATGCGCCTACATGCGCTCAGATAGGTCATGCAAATGGGTCACACCACATGCGATCTGGTAGTTCACACGACCAGCTATTTATGGCTCTCGCTCTTAGCACGCCCCTGAAATACCGTCCTTTTCCCTCTCATATCATCCCTCTCATTGGCCCCTGGAAAATGTGTGATATTTCTCCACGTGGCATGGCAGGATCTCATAACCATCACCATGCTGACGTCAGCAGCAGTTCGCAACATCCAGGTTCCCAGCCATCTGGGCCGTCCATTTTCCGGGCCATGTCAGCAAGCAGCCCGTCCTCCCCTAGATCCGACGGCCGAGATCAGGAGGCACCAGGGGGGTCAGTTGCAGCAAGAATTGCGAATTCACATTCGTCAGAGTCACACTCAATGGAGTCGCACTTCTTCTCGGAAGGGGATTTGGTACGCATGGCAAAGGAAGGGTGGTTACGGCAAAAGGAGGAGAAGCAGCAGCAGCAGCAGCAGCAGATCATGGGTCCCTTGCCTCTCATCTCAATGTCTTGGCAAAGGTACTGTAAAGTGCTCGTTGCTTGTTGGCAAAAGTTTAGCATGCGATATAATATCGCATCGCATTTCTCCATATCGCATTTTATATCGCGCGATATAATATCGCATCGATGCGATAAAATTTCCAGAAATCTGATATCGCACATCGCATTTTGGGTGCGATTATAAACAAATATCGCGCGATTTAATCGCATCGCATCACGCGATATTTTTTCAGGAAAACAAAATATCACTATCACATTTTTGCGATATATGCGATGGGATATAACCATGTCTTTGTTGCTGTAAAGAGTGCCTTTCTAATAGCCGTTTTTTTCTTTTTCATTTTCCTATTTCCACTTTCGGGACAGCTTGTTGAAGCACGCCTTTCTTGACGGGCTGTTTTAATTCCTACATATGCTCCCGTTTTCCCCTCTTTTTGCTAAATCCTTACACAACGTGCGTGCAGGTTAGTGGGGGGAGTGGAAGCGCTTATAAAGGGATCATCGGATGACATTGGGTGGCTGGGCAGGACCCCTGGTTTACCTCCTGTGACTGATGTTACCGACAACTATGAGGCGATTCTACAGTGTGTAATGTGCGTTCTTGTTGCTATTTTATTCAACTGTTCATTTTTTGGCAAGAGGCTGCACCGATTACATTTCTTCTTCACCGCTCTTATTTTTCTTCTCTGCTTGTATTTTTCTTCGCCGCACTTATTTTTCTTTGCTGATTTTATTTTTCTTCGCTGCTCTTATTTTTCTTTGCCGCACTTATTTTTCTTCGCTGCTCTTGTTTTTCTTCGCGGCACAAAATTTCCTTCGCCAGACTTATTTCTCGTCGCTGATTTTTTTTTTTGGTTTTCTTTTTCCCGCCGCCTTTTTTTGTCTTCGCTGCTCTTATTTTTTTTCGCCCTTCAGGACCGGCATTCACACCCTACCCGACGATCTAGTCTACCTCTTGATCCCGGGGCTCTTCAGCAACCTCAGCGTGCTCTATCTGCTGCTCGAATCATTACTCGCCCACTCCCATGTACCTGCTCGTACCCCTCACAACACCGCAGGACCGGCATTCACACCCTACCCGACGACCTCGTCTACCTCCTGATCCCCGGGCTCTTCAGCAACCTCAGCCCGCTCTACCTGTTTGACACCAAGCGGCACTTCTCGTCCATTGGATTAGTCTGCCACATTGCCAAGATCCACAGCCAGGTGGGTGGTGAATGGAAGGGAGGGATGAAGCGCCAGAGTGCACAGTGCATGTAGGGCATGCAAGTGTGCCTCTCTTTGGCTTCAAGCGGCACTTCTCTTCCATTGGACCAGTCTGCCACATTGCCAAGATCCACAGCCAGGTGGGTGGTGAAAGCTGGATCTATCGTGTGTACGTGCTACGCGGGCAGGGTAACCAAGTGTGCGTCTCAGCTCTCTGTATCTGTTTGACAGCAAGCGGCACTTCTCGTCCATCGGCCTTGTGTGCCACATTGCCAAGATCCACAGCCAGGTTGGTGGTGAGGTGATGGGGTTAGATTGGGGTGTGCGCAGTGTATGCCTCCTTGCAGGTGCCAGGTGGGAAACGTTTGAGTCGACTCAAAAGTCAAAAGTCACCTTTAGAGTCGACTCGAAAGCACAGCCAGGTGGGTGGTGAGGTGATGGAGGTACATTGGGGTGTGTGCAGTGTATGCCTCTTTGCAGGTGCCAGGTGGGAAGCTTTTGAGTCGAGTTTTGAGGCGCCTCGAAACATTGGGGTGTGCGCAGTGTATGCCTCTTTGCAGGTGGCAGGTGGGAAAACACTGCATCTGTGCTGTCTATATAGCAAATGCAAGAAACCCTTGCATTGTCTATTGGAAACTAAGCAGCACTTATAATCCATTGACCTAGTGTGCTATATTGCCAAGAGTCACAGTCAGATGGGTGATGTAAGGCGGGATGTATAGAGGCAGGGCAAGCAGTAAGTTACAAAAAATCGTGAGTAGGTGCTTGTTAGCTCGGCTAACTAGCATCCTCCCCTCCCTTCTCCACCACTCTATAGTCATCCTAGAACTTTCCAAGTGATTTGCTCAATCCTTGGCTTAGTGGATGACCTCCCACGGCCGAGTGCATGACCCCATGGCCGAGTGGATGACCCCATGGCCGAGTAGATGACCCCATGGCCGAGTGGATGACCCCTTGGCCGACTGGATGACCCCTTGGCCGAGTGGATGACCCCTCAGTGGATGGCAGCATGGCCGTGTGCGTGGCCCCATGTCCGAGTGCATGACCGATGGCCGAGCCGAGTGCATGACTCATTGCCGAGTAGATAACCCCTTGGCCGAGTGGGTGGCCCTCCCTCCCTCGCCTTATCCCATCAGGCTCCCATAGAAGCCAACGCTTTTGTCATTCGTGATTATATCGAAGAACTTCTCTGGGCCACATAACTTCGCAATTCTTGTTCCTTCCCTTCCCCTCCCCCCCCGCGTGTGCCCCTCTTTGCCTTCCTTTTTGCCCACCAGGCCCCCATAGATGCCAACGTCATTGTCATTCGTGATTATATCGAGGAGCTTTTCTTGGCGAGAAAGAAAAAAGTCCTAATTTAGGCCACAGCAAGGGCGCCATGGATGCAGCGGCAGCCAAATCCCTCTACCAACCCCTGCTTCCTCCCTTTCCCCCTCCCTCCCTCCCTCCCTCCTTCCCGTTTTGCCCACCAGGCCCCCATAGAAGCCAACGCCATTGTCATCCGTGACTACATCGAAGAACTCTTCTGGGCAACCAAAAAGAAAGTCCTAATTCTAGGCCACAGCAAGGGCGCCATGGATGCAGCGGCAGCCATCTCCCTGTACCAACCCCTGCTCCTCGACAAAGTAGCCGGTCTTGTTTTTATCCAAAGCCCGTACGGCGGCAGCCCTGTGGCATCCGACCTGCTGAGAGAAGGCCAGTGGGGTGACGTGGCATCGCGCACAATCCTCGGGATTCTCATGGATAAGATCTTCAAAGGGGATATCCAGTGCCTGGACGACCTCACACACGCGAAGAGAAAGGCGTTTTTGGCGGCGCACCCGTTTCCGGTGGGGGAAATTCCGACTTTATCCTTTCACACAGAGGCGAGTAAGGCGGCGGCGGTGGTGGCTTCGCTGTCGACCGTCGCCCATACAGAGGTGCCGTGGCTGGCGCAGCAGAATGCGCGGCTGGCCGTCGGATTTCCTCTGTCTGCCGGTCTTGCGATCATGGCCCTCCATCTAGAATACAGGTGGGATCATGGCCCTCCATCTGGAATACAGGTGCTTTTGTGTGGTACTGTGGATCGTTTGTCTTGTAGCTTGGCACCCTTTCCTCCCCCTCTTATTCCTCCCCACCCCTCTTCATCTCTCCATCTCCACCCTATTCCACCCCCCTGCTCACCGCTCTCCACCCCTCCCCATCCCTACCAGGTACGGAGCCCCTAGCGATGGTCTGGTAACAAGAGCAGATGCAGAGGTGCCGGGGTCAGTGGTGGTGAGAAGCAGACGAAAACTGGACCACGCTTTTATGGTGTTTCCCCCCACCAGTGGAGTGGGAGGGGGGGGAGGGGAAGGGGGAGGGGAGGTGGAGGTGGGGGAAATGGGGAGGGGGGAATGGAGGAGGAGGAGGAGGAGGGAGTGGGGGGGAGGTGGAAGTTGGTTCTGCACATGTTCATGAGGCGAGTGCTGCTGAGATGTGCGAAGCCCTGGCCACCACTCTCCTGGCAACGCTGCAAATGCGACCCAAGCAAGACAGCTCATAGGGAATGCCTGCCTGTAGGACCGAGGTGAGGTGCGTCGTAGCACTCCGAGATGCATGAAGCTCTGGCCACCACGCTGCTGGCAACGCTGCAGTGGAACCCAAGCAAGGCACTTTGTGAGAGCATGTTTACAGCAGTGACTGATGTGCCTGCCAGCGCCAGATGACTCAGATAATTGATGTGAAGCAATCCGGCAGTAAAGCCTGCCCGGCTAAGTGCCAACTTGTCAGGAGGAAATTGCTGCTGGATCTGTTTTGGTGTACAGAAGTTCTAGCAGCTTGTGCTGCATTGCTTCTTTATTGTTTGTTGCCTCTCTGGTTGCAGAATATTCACCTCGAAACAATTTTGTGCACAATCAAGTCAAGGGCGAAAACCCAACGGTTTGTATGCACTATTTGTAAACACCTGAACACCATATTTCCCTCCGGGGGTGTATAAAAGAAACAAGAGGCGGCGAGATCGTCTTAGGGTTGCGGAGCATTTCATGATGAGACTTTATTATACATAAAATGTTTTATTTCCATCACAATAAACATTTGATTTTTATTTCACAAACTTGAAAAAAAAAACCAGCCCGATCGATTGCAATAGGTTGCTCCGCAACCCAAAAAAGGGCATGGTGACGTCCTGGGACGTCACAGAAAGTACAGTACGGTGTACCATGGTTCTGTAACGGTTAAAGAGCACTACACTTAGGTTATGTGACGTCACCAGCGGAACTTAAAGTTCTGTGCTACTTTACACTCCCCCTCTCCAGCGGCGTGCACTGCGAGTACCCATCTCAGCTATCGAAGTGCTCTGTACACCGCGCTTTTATCTCACCCTTATCAACCGCGCAACAATCTAGGTGCAGAATACACCTTACCCTCCTGCCCTCAGCCAACCCCTCGGAACTGCAAGTGAAAGTGAGAGCGAGAGCGAAAGAGGGATTTCCTTCTCGTTTCTTCTCCATTGACCCCTCCTCCTTCTCCTCCTCCCCTCCTTCCCGCTGCTCCTCTCGCCACCCAACCCTCCCGCTGATTCAAAGGGAGACGGGCGAAAGGGGGGAGTCTGGGAAGAAGGCTGACAGGGAGGACGACGGGGACACGATGAGGTCTTGCTAAGCCGGATGCCAGTCAAAGCGGCATATGCGGCCGCCTTCGCGGCGGTTATTTTGGAGGGGTATACGGCGGGAGGAGTTTCAGCCGCCCGGCGATTGCCCGAGCCTCCACCTGCAGGTTCGGCCCAAGCCTGGGGGATGTGCTTCGGATCAGAGGAATCAGCTGCTGGAGTGGACGGGACACGCGTGCGCCCTCTCGGTTCCAAGACGAGCTTCTCTACAATCACTTCTTTACAGTCACACTTCACATCCTCGGTATACGGCTCTTCTTTAAGCAAATCGACAGCTGGAAATCGACCTCCGGGGCCCACAGAAGGCGGAAAGGAGTGCCGTTCAGCTGCCACCGTACTATACGGCGTCTCTGGCGCTGTGCGCTCAACATGCGGCGGGAATGTGGCGCCAGGTCCGCAACAGATTGGTCGACTTCTACAACGATTTGCCTCTGAGATGAGATCCGAGCCCGACGCCCCGCTGCCTGCCGAGCCGCAGCCTCCGCTCGCCGAACCTGGCGGTTTTTCTGAGCCAAGATGCTTCGGAAACGCTCGTCCAGCGATTTCGGCTCAAGGTCTTCATCCGGCGGTTGTGAGAGCCCCATTGGTGGATCTGCCACGTGGATGTCACGAGATGAGTTTTCCAGCCGAGAGTGGAACTACTGAAAGAGAGGCAAAATCGGCGTCTGGGAATTTGATCGTAGACGAGGTGGCAAAACACGGCTCGAGGTAAGCAACTATAGCAGAACTTCCGGGAAGTACGCGTCACTGTTGGAACGTCAAAAGCAGCGAATGGCCCAGGTATTTATCACTCCCATGCCCAATACTTCTCTGGAGACAGCGCAAATTCTTTCTGAACGGGAATGCGCAAGTTGGAGGAACTTCGAATGGATCGCGAATCGCGAATGGGGCGAACATCCTCAATGTTCAATCCGACATGTAGAGCTGTGATTTGGATCGTGAAATCTCAACCGTCAACGGATTCATCTCAGAAGGGTGCGGCCTGTGATTGGTGGTCGGAGGCGCCCAAACGTTCCCACTTACCCGAGGCGCGCAGACTTTCCCAGCGAAGTTCAAAATGGAATTCCAAATTTCTACATGCTTCCCCCGAGTTTGATTCGTTGAAAACTGTCATGATATAAGAACCATTCCCCACCCACACGCCAGCCCGCTTACGCTTGAAGATGTTACTAAGCAACATGCTAATGTGAAAATGGAACATCCATGCTACCTTAGTGCCAATCACTCCATATTTGCAGTGATACACACCCCACTGCGAGGTTTAACCAAGAAGGCGAACGTCAGACACAAACAGAACATATACACTTTCAGTACACGTTTACTAGGCATTTCCTTCCTCAGTGACAGAATTTCCAGAACTACGAAAAGCGCATCCCCTACATCACATTCCCCACCCCCCCCCCCCCCCCCCCCCTCCCCCCTCCCCCTTTCTCCTCCCTTCTAGCCTAGCATACAGTCAGGCCCTCCCTCCCTTGCCAGCATACTTCTCAACCATGTATGAGTCGATCTCATCATCTAGCGCTGCTTTAGACGCCACACTCCCCCTCCCTTTCTCACCTCCTCTCTCCCTCCCCAAGCCATACCCCTTCCCCCCCTCCCCCCCCTGTCCCCCTACCCTTCCTGCGCCGAACCTGTAAGTGTGGTCTGAAATCGCCAGACCTGGATGGAAGGGCAGCATGGGACCTCTAACCAGGCCTCCAACAGGAACAGGTATGGTCCGGACCAGCACAGGTTGGGGCAGGAGAGGCCCGGCGGGAGCAGCAACGAAGGGGGTGGGAAGGGATGGATGAAAGGTCACCATGCCATTAACATTGAAAGCATTCAAAGCAGGCACAAGAGAGCGTGCGTGAGGAGGAGGCAAGATGCCGGTAGCAGAAGAGACCAGGCGAAGTGGTGCGTCTGCTGCTGCTGCTCGTGCTCCTGCTGCTGCTTCTGCTCCTCCTGGTTCTGCTGCTGCTGCTGCTGCTGCTGCTGCTGCTGGGGAAGAGTTGGGGACCGAGCCTGGGAGCGACAATCTCATGTGTACGGGAACACGAAGCCGCGATTTCACTGATGCTCTCTTAGGGGGACCGCTCTTACCGGGTACAGAGTCAACCCTAACATTTCCTGATCCTCCTGGCCTCTCAGTCCGACCAGCAGGGGACGGCACATCACGGGGAGGAGAGCGAGAGGCACGAGGGGACGAACGTCGACGAGCGGGAGGAGGTTGTTTGGCTGGTTTAGGATCGGATCGTTTAGGATCGGATCGGTTAGGGTCGGATCTTATCAACGGCTGATTGGCTGTTGATGAGGACCTCTTAGCGCGACTGCCGGCCAAAGCGGCTGCAGCAGCAGCAGCAGCGGCGGTGGCAGCTTTCGAGGCGGATGCTGAGGGGGGTTTGAGTGGAGGCGCGCTGTGATTGGCCGCGTGCTTGCCTGCGGGATTGGCAGAGTAGATTGGAGCACCAGACGCCGTTGTGAAGTGTTGAATTCTACTATATGCCGGACTAGTACCAGCAGTCTTGTTCCTGGAGCCGCCGCTTCTCTTGTGGTAATCCGCTTCAATCGGATCGTCCATTTCCTGATCTTCCTCATCTGGACGGTCAGGAACTCGACCTCTGTAACCTACAAACGGATCGTCCAATAACGGATCGCCTGGCTGATCAGTCGGAGCAGGGTACGCCTCATACTGCCCAGTACCGCGCCCCGTGTTCCCCGCTATAGGAACCGTAATACGCGCCGGGAAAGGCGGCGCCATGTCCGCGACGGCGTGGACGTCTTCGACTGTGATTTGCCGCTGAGACGCGATCCGCGCCTGACGCGCCGCTGCCTGCCGAGCCGCAGCCTCGGTAGCCCGAACCTGGCGGTTTCGCTGCGCCAAAATGCTACGGAAACGCTCGTCCATCGATTTCGGCTCAGAACCTGCATCGGACGGTCCTTGAGGATCCATCGGTGGAGCTGTCATGCTGACGTGGCGAGACGGATCCCCTGGCTGAAACGCGAATGGCGAGGTGCTTACAGCTGGAGGTGCTACAAGGTAAGGTTCCACTATGGGTGGCCCTAAATAAGAAGCATCTGAATGGGAAGTCGGGTCGCCCCACGTAGGCACGGCGGGACTGGGATGTGCTGACCTGGCAGGAGGCGAATCCCCCCATGTCTGCATGGCGGTAGTGGGGTGAGCAGCCCTAGAAGAGCCATACATGATCAGGCGAGGCTCAGGTACTCTCCACAAGAGACGAGCAGAGAGAAACTTGAAGAGACAAGCAGAGAGAAACTTGAAGGGACTCGGGCACGTAGCCTAGTGTCCGAACAGCGTCCGTTAGTACTTGGGAATACCTGAGACACAAAGCTGGGAAAATAGCATGCAGCCTCCGATAGGGACTCTGGTCTGGTCCGTTATGGTGAACCTTTTTCTAATCCGCGTTCTGATTATATCAAGATTATTCACATCCCTACTGAGACTTAATTCACGTGGTAGAGATTGGGCCAAATATAACAAACCAATGATGATTACTGACCAGCTACCCAAAAAGGTTACTATAAAAAGGGATAGTAGCAGGAAGAAAGAGAAACTACTTTCTTATTCCCTTGCCACGATAATTCACCTCAAATTGCACGAGTACAGTGCAAATGGAGAAATGATGTCTGCGGAAGTCACTACATTAGTGACCCATTAATTCGAAGTTTCCAAGGTGTGCACCGAACTACCATGAAGGAGAGGTGTCTGGACTACGCGGTGGCATGCAGCAATTACGCTGCTTCCACCTGCTGATGTTGCTGCTGCTGCATCCATCAGCGCCCAGCAGTGGCCCAGAATTGCGGTTACTGAAGATTCCACTGTGGCAGCTGCTGTGCCTGCTGGGACAGCTGCTTGCTGAAAGCAACAAATAATAGAATTGCTGTTACGTCACGCTGTTGCTGTTACTGCTGCTGCTGCTGCTTCTGCTCATGCCTTGACTCTTGTCTTGTGGCATGACTTGACGTCCATGCCTTCGACGCCTGGAGTGTATGTCACATTGCATGCATACGTGTACTGTACAATACAGTACACAGCAGCACATATGAAAAAAAAAGGGAAAGGGAAAGTGAGGTAATGTCAGACATTTGGAGAAATCAGTAAGGTGAGACAAGGGCAGAACCATGAGAACTGGGAGGTTTGAGATAAGTAAAGGAAGCAGCTGAGAGAGAAAGGCTCACAAAGTACGAGGGAGTTGCGAAGCCACGATACATAACGTGCCCTAGCGATTTCACTACCATCTGTAGCACGTTAAAGGGGGGCATAGTGAAAGGGGGAGAGGGAAGGGCGAGGGGGGAAGGAGGGGGGTGAGGGGAGGTTGGAAGGGGTTGTGAGAGGCAATGGGGAATGGGCTATCAAATATCATTAATGCAAGAAAGGTTTATGCACTTGACTTCCTCGCAAGTACATGGACCTTTGTCTGATTGCAAGTTGGACCCAGCATCAATCCGGGCAACTTTTGACTTCAACGAAATGACTACGCAGTTACCCCACACCCCATGTACCCCACACCCCAGTTACCCTGAACGGGAGATTCTTGGTGTTGTCTGCGAGTAGTAGCAGGCTCGTATTGGCTGCGATGTCGAACAGTGGGTACCCCGAAACCACAAAGTCGACCTGCTGCGACCGGTTACCCTTGGGGGCGAGCGTGAATCCGGGCAGCTGTTAGGGTTTGCAGGTAGGATGCAGGGAGGAGGGCGATAAATAAGTGAAGTGCCGTAAAAGCCTAGGGGATGGGTCCGAGTCCTGTTGCCCTAGGGGGCGAGCGTGAATCCGGGCAGTTACTAGGGTTTGCAGGGTAGCAGCAAAAAAGTTTCAGGGGGAGCGAGGGTAGGTAAGAGCAGGAAGCAATGCAGCGCCGGGCGAAATATTTTCAATGCATTGCGTCTGATTGCCCTTGGGGGCGAGCGTGAATCCGGGCAGTTGTTAGGGTTTGCGGGGATTGTGGTGTGCGCTAAACACGGTATATTAGGAAACACGCGGCTTATTAGCAAACAAGCTCGCAGACACGTCAGTGTGTGGGAGGGGGGGTGTTTGGGATGTGAGAGCCCTACCAAGCGGCGGAAGAAAGCCGTACCGTGAAGCTTTTCATGGGGATGGGAGGCGCGTACCGTGGTGTTGGTCATGGGGTGCTGCATGCCGTCGATCGCGACGAAGAGCTGCTCCACCACCATCGTGTTGTCGTTCGGGTTGAACACGTTCGCCGATACGTTCAGGTGCGCGCTCAGCATCAGCGTCTTGCTGCCCGTGCCGTCAGAAACGGGTATTTGCGAAAAGGACATGTTGAGGAAATCGAGATTGGTTACCCGGATTACCACGTCCTGTAGGGGCGAAGAGGGGGACAGGAAAGCAGAGGGAAAAGACGTTCGGGTTGAACACGTTCGCCGGTACGTTCAGGTGCGCGCTCAGCATCGACGTCTTGCTGTCCGCGCCACTGCTCGCGCCGTCGAAAACGGGTATTGCGAGAAGGACATGTTGAAGAAATCGAGATTGGTTACCCGGATTACCACGTCCTGTAGGGGCGAAGAGGGACGAGACGAGATGAGACGAGGCGGAAAGGAAAGGAGAGGAGGTGCGTGTGTTGATTTGACGTAGGCGTACTCAACAAAGGACGGTGAGATGAACCGTGGGCTCGAAAAAGGCGTACGAAAGAGGCGTACGAACGAGTGGATTGGATTGGGGGAAAAAACGTACGCCGCATCGGAGAAATCAACCAGGATTGTAGGGAAAAACGTAGGTAAACGAAGATAAGAAAAACCAGGTGAGTATTGCGTCGTCATGAAAGGAAAGGGCGAGGCCGAGGAGAACGGCGCCAAGGACGATGAGGAAGAGAACAACCGCCAAGGTGGATGGTAACCAAAGAAAGATAAGGCGGGAAACGGATAGGCGACATGCGGAGAAAAAAATAAATCGGTAAGGGCGAAGGAGACATACGTCGGTATGGAAGGCGAGGGCGAGGCCGAGGAGAACAGCGCCGAAGACGATGAGGAACAGCACGACCACCATGGCTGCCGCGCAAAGGCCGCACTGCCACCACGGCAACCCGAACCACATCCGCGCGGTCCGATCTCTCTTCGCCGGTTCTGACTTGCCGTCGCCGGCGAGTTTCCCGTTATCTTTCCCGTCATCTTTTCCGTCAATCTTGACGACGAGCTTGCTGTCCGGCGGCAATGCAACGTCGTCGTCTTCCTGTAGGAATGGAAACGCGAAGGAACGGGAAACGGAATCGAAAAGGGAAATTGACAGCTGTGGCTCGTCTAAAGCCATAAACATTTCTTTAACAGCAGCCATGAACATTTCTTTAACAGCAGCCATGAACATTTCCTTTGAGTTGACTCAAAAGTCAACTTGTGGCTTGTCTGAAGCCATGAATATTCCTGTAACCGCAGGGACGATGGAAAGGAAGGAAAGGCGAGGCGGGACGCGGGCTCTCGGGCCATGAAGGACGACGAGACGGGCACTTGACGGGAAGTCGCGGCAAGACAGCAAAACAAAAAACGCAATACGCAAAAGGCAAACGGAAGGGTTTCCCGACTTATATGGTGTGCACGGATACCGTGTAGGGCGGCGAGACACATGGTAAACGGTAGATTTGACGAGTCGGGGACGGGAAGTAGAAATGATTACGGTCGACACAAAAGCGAGAAAGCGAGCGAACGAGAAAGACAAATAGGGAGGAATATAGCGCGCAGGAGGGACGACGGGCATGGCGCACAGGGTTCGCTCAAGCGGGCGACTTAAGGGCTACCTGCTAATAACGATAAACACCGAGCTGAGAGCCGGCAAAATCTAATGCGACGTTACACTGTGAGATACTCTACATAATCACGCCAGGTCACGAGTCTTCACAGTCTAGGGTTTGAGAGCTTGGCGACACGCCGTAGGAATATCGCGTAGTCCTCAAGGCTGCCTGTCGAGCCTGGGTCGTCGACTCTGAATGCTCGCGAAAAAATATAACAATACGTTTTTGCCTGACAGCACCAATACGTGAGCGACGGGAATGGAAGGAAAATGGACGGAAAAGAGAAAGGGAAAGGGAAGGGGGAAAGGGAAGGGAAGGGAAGGGGAAGGGAAGGAAAGGAAAGGAACGTACCGCGCTGTCTTCGCTGCCTGTCGAGCCGAACGACGACGCCTTCTCCTCGTCGTTTAACCGCGAGTCGAGCGACACGGACGACTCGCTCGCGAGTCCCCCCGATTTTCTCGCCAATCCCGACGGCGCCTCCATTAGGATATGGGGTACTACGCGCGTACTCTGGGTAATACGCACGCTCCCAAACCGACTGGTGTAGCGGTAAGAGAAAAAAAAACTACCCGCTAGCCGTTCGTTATATCGTTAGGGATGGTAGTTAATGGCTGTTGGACCCCTACGATACCGAATGTCCTGGTTGCGATTAATGCAGAAACAGGTAGGCGGCAAAAAATCTGTACGAAAAAAAAATCGTGTTCGGTCTTAGTTGGTAAGTCGAGAACAGGCCGAGGTTCCGGATTGCGTTTAGCCACCAGGGTTTTGCTGCTGCTGTATAAGGCAATGGCGCGAGCAGTGGGGAGGACGATGTTTCTTGTTTCGCTGTCTGGTGGTTCCCTAGAGCAGACGGGGGATGGGCAACAGTTATACAGTGCAAGCTGTCTCTACCAGCGTGGCTAGCTGCTGGAAAAAAAGTGAGGAGGAAGATTGCGAAATGCGTGGCGTTCGATGTGGTGGTCTCTGGTGGTGAGGTGAGATGAGTCGTGGACTTATACGCGGGAATTCAGTGCCCAGGGTTGAGTCAGCAGGAGAGTGGACGCAAGGGAGAGGAACACGTCGGTGGCTGGTACTCGAAGCGAAGAAAAGAATATACAGATCGGGCTGCCTGTTTGATGTGCCCGAACTTCCACCCTGTCGCTGGGCTCGCTTTTGCCGTGGCTGGGAATGGGTCAGATTGGGAGGCAGGGGCTGGGAGGGAGGGCGACCGAGCGACGACGCGAGCGACTGCAGTTAGCGACTGTACCGGCTGCAAGCGATTGCAAGGGGGATGGTATGGAATGAGGGAGGAAGAGTTTTGTGGCTGTTGGAAAAGCAGCTTTTGGTCTGGGTTGAGGGGAGGGGGGGGAGAGAGGCATGCTCCAAACCAACCCCAAATTACAGCCTTTCGGCTTGGATTTGAGTTCATTCATGTGCCGGGAATGCGAATGATAAGCGCCAGGCCCAGGGTTGCGCACAGCAAACGTCGTTCTGCCACATGAAGGGGTACAGTGTACACATGCGCATGGATGTTGCCCAATCAATCCACGCCGCGTCTCGATCCGGTCAGGCAACAAAGGTGCATTTGAGATCCAGTGATTGAAAAATGCAAACAAAATTTTCAAATTGTAATGGCGCGGTCAGACTGGAAACGTTTCCTCTGCTGCCTCATTGGTTTCAAATCGAAAGAAATGGTTTGCTTGTCTCCTTGTGAAGCGGAAATCACAAGGAAATATGGAACGAGGCGACAGCCGTGCATCTTTGCCAACGAAATTTTGAACCTTGCACTTTTCGCAGGCGATCTGCAGCAAGGTGTGTGTTCCGACCGATGCGCTCCATCGCATCGCAGCGTTAGTGCGACTCGCTGCGACTCTGCGGAATAGCAGTCACAGCAAACCGGCAGCCCCAATTGCTGTCGAGCGACGACTAGGCTGGTGGGAGGACTCGCGACGGCGAACGAACTAAGATGCGAACCGCACGCGGGAAATATTGCGAATGTTTAGAGGCCGCAACCGCCAAACTGCTCTGATGCAATGCATCCAATTCAACCAATCCGTGAATGCCTGTCGTGGGAGGGGCAGTTCGTCTCTTCTGTCGTCGGGTAGGCAACAGTGCGAGCCAGGGGCCAGCGTTCTCGCTAATGCCTAGGGTAATTCCGTTAGGTGACGAAATCGCCCCCGATATTATCCCTACGCGGACGGAATCTCAGAAACTATACCCGCTAGCGTGCGGATTCCTCGAAGAGCACCCGGTTTGAAACTAACATCCTCACGACCTAGGAAAAATGGCCTTCCCCACGACCTAGGAAAAATCTTGGAACCCTCGGGGACTATTTCTCGCACGGTTGGGAAAGTAGGAAAAACATCGTGCTAATCTACCTGCGAAACATCAGTCAGGGTAGAAACTGCTCATTAGTTTAGTGGATGAGTTGGGACAGGTCTGGGGAGGGCGAGGGGGAGGGGGGGTGATGCAATACCACTATGGACAGATCTCCCACTACAAATGCACTTGTTTCAAAATCAGTCAAGAGTAGCCCGTAATGTCAAGGAATCACACGAATAGTAATCCGCTAGGAGACGGGATCAAGCGAATTTACTACGCGAAAAAAGGGGAATCGGGTCGGAAACAGCTTTTATTTCACGGCATTGAGGCTAGTTACCTTGGTGTGAGCCAGGAGCTCCGTGTGCTGAATTCTGCCAGGTGTCTCTGCAGTCCATGGTTTGTCGTCTTCTGAACATGGAGTTGTTGCACATGATGTGCATTCAGGTTCCTATAAGTGGTCGAAAACACTTGTGCGCACCTTACAAAGGGCCGTTTCTCTAACCCATACCCACTTTAGAATGCACTTTAGTTCAAATGGTGCACGTGCACACGCCTCACCACTACCTTGCTTCCCACTCTCATATCACATTTCATATATGCTTTCCTAGAGAAAACATTTGAAAGATTAGTGCACTCTAGAAGCAGTTGCATGCTTTTTATCATCGCATGCATTTGTCGAATAAGATGGGAATCAACTAGCGATAAAAAACGGAGCCATCCATCACACTAGGCTTTTGCTTTTGAGAAGCCCTTTTGAAAACAAACTCCACAACGTCCAATGCGAGAATCCTTTTGTGGAATGACTCGCTCATAACCATTTCCTGCAGCATATTCAGAGAGTGTAAACACGTGAAATTTAAAAGAACTATGCAACTACGTATCTCATAGCCATGGAAGATAAGCTACCCCATATAGTACGTAGAGTAGATATAAGCCCCCATCAACAACCATACTAATTCTACATTCAGCTCCTGCTGACGCACCTTGATTTTGTCGAGGCAAGCTTCTTCCCCACTGCACTCGTGTATTTTCTCCTTACACCACGCAGCCAACTGCACCGCCCCGTGAGCAGCAGCCACGTGGAGACCGTCAAACGCCAGCTGCAAGTCCCCAGATTCCGCCGCCACAGCCGCCAGATTTCTGTCCAGCGCGTGCACGAGCTCTAGGATGTTATACTTGTTCGCTAACGTCAGCAGCTGCAACCCGTGGCTCTGGGAAAAGGTTTGGGCGAACGAGAGCGGAGACGCGCGCAAGACGCGGAGATAAGGTTAAAAGTCGCGGGCCCGATCATCATAGATGTTATAACATTAGTTGCCGCATGTTGGGCAGACAAAGTGCGACCATGTATAGATGAGTTCAAGGTACAGACGCACAGTCGCTCCCCCCGTTAGTGTACCCGTTACAAGACACTAAAGATTTTGTGAATGAACATACGAAAGCGAAGCTTTTTTCGAGGCTAGTGCAGGAAGGGCGCACCAGCAGGTAATTCTGGGGGAGGTCGCATCCGCCCGAGTAGATGAGGCGGAGGAAGAGGCGCAGGGTGCACTCGTCCATGTCGTCCATCCTCACTATAGGCTGCTCCGATGTCTCCAGAAAGCCGTTCGTGAACATCTTCCTGAATACGGGAGACCTGACAAAGAGAAGATACAGCGTGAGGCCCTTGTAAATAGATTAATCCGATTGGTAAACCGTATCAATAGGACGCGACTCATAGGCCGCATTATGACAATGTCGTTCTGCCAGGGACGAGGGCTAGAAAGGCGTTACTATCTCCTTCAGCAGAGAGTCGTTTTCCACCCTGAAGTCATTTCGGAAGAAACGGACATCGTCCCACGACGAGAGGATGCATCGGGGGGGACAAGATGGCTCTTGAGCGTCTCAAAGGTCGCCTTTGAGACGTTTACCACGACGAGAGGATGCATCGGTGCGCGGCAATATCCGCGTCGCCCGCTCGCAGCGTCACGTCCGCGAACATCCCGCTTTCCAGCAGCTCCTCTAAGCGCCCCCCACGTGTCATTATTCCGTCGGGAGCCGTGACGAATAAAACGATGGGTTCACGCGAAGACGCGCGTCTAAACTGGCGGAGAGACTACCAGAAAGGCGGGAGAGTGGTTGCTCCCAGGGAATGACGCTGCGGCATGTGCGTGTTAGACGCTTTGCCCTGGCCCTGCGAGAGAGGCGCGCTACTGGTGAAAGGGCGACAATAAAAACGCTGCACTAATGTTGCCCACGCGACTGCTGCCGAGCCAATGAGAAGCGAGCCGTTCTAAGGTATGACTCACGCTGTACGGCACGGGCCGCGTGTGCTGGTGGTTGGTCAAATTGGCCCCTTTTCGTCGCGAATGTCGCCTCTGTTGTGTAGCGATCGCTCAGGCATCTGCACCGTGGGTTTATTTCACGAAACGCGCAGACTCTGTTACCACGATGTGTGCGACTTTGCCGAACAGGCATCACAAGGCTTCAGCCTCCCGACTTCTTCGGTCGGGACGGGCTCCTTGGGAACCACGATAAATTTGGATGTGTTTATAAGCACCGCTTATAAACATGCAATGTTTGACCAAATGTGCAACAAAGGAGGTGAGGCTATGAACCTTTTTTATTACATATGTACAAAGAGACACTTCTATACAGCATGTACCGGTAGCTTCGGATCAGGCATTTCAGCTCGCGCCCACGTTCAACGCGTCCCTTGCATGCTCTACAAACACCAACAGCAACACCCTCTATGGTAAGACGCTCGGCCCCTACCCGAAACGGTTTTTCCATCTCTCTCTAGTTGACTCCTGTGACAGTCAGGCTTGGGTCCCAGTCGCAGAGAGGGGAGATGAGCAGGTGGTTAAGCTGGGCTCGATAGACCTTGCATCCGTGCAAGGAGAGGGAGGTGAGGCGAGAGAGGGGAAGCAGGTGGGAGAGTCCGTTGAGGGTAACCCCTGACCCCGACAGGTTGAGCGTTTCGAGAGAAGTGAGCGCTGTGGGTACAAAAAGGGGGTGGTCGACATGGGAGAAAGGCGGGGTGGTGGGAGGACAAGAGAGTGGGAGGAAGCAAGACACAACAAATGAGTAAGTGATAGAAGAGTAAGGCAGAGTGGCAGCAGCACAAGTAACTCCAGAGTTTTCAAGGAACAGTTTCCTTCCTCACCTGCCAGAGCTGGAACGCCTGTGACAGTGATGCATTGGTTTTTTTAACACATTGAGTGTAGCCATTCGAGGCAGCAGCGCAAGTCACCTCACGTTGAGTTTACTGTCTGAGTTGACTGAATGCCCTTTCCTTCCTCACCTGCCAGAGGTTTACCGCCTGTGACGGTGATGCATTGGTTTTTAGACAAGTTGAGCATAGCCAGTCGATGCAGCAGCGCAAGTTACCTCTTGAGTTGACTGTCTGAGTTGACTGAACAGCCTTTTCCTTCTTCACCTGCCAGAGCCTTAATGCCTGTGACGGTGATGCATTTGTTTTGAGACACGTTGAGCGTAACCCGTTGAGTTGACTGAATGGCCTTTTCCTTCCTCGCCTGCCAGAGCCTTAATGCCTGTCACGGCGATGCATTTGTTTGGAGACACGTTGAGCGTAACCCGTTGAGTTGACTGAACGGCCTTTTCCTTCCTCGCCTGCCAGAGCCTTAATGCCTGTGACGGCGATGCATTTGTTTCGAGACACGTTGAGCGTAACCCGTTGAGTTGACTGAACGGCCTTTTCCTTCCTCGCCTGCCAGAGCCTTAATGCCTGTCACGGCGATGCATTTGTTTGGAGACACGTTGAGCGTAACCCGTTGAGTTGACTGAACGGCCTTTTCCTTCCTCGCCTGCCAGAGCGTTAATGCCTGTGACGGCGATGCATTTGTTTCGAGACACGTTGAGCGTAACCCGTTGAGTTGACTGAACGGCCTTTTCCTTCCTCGCCTGCCAGAGCCTTAATGCCTGTGACGGTGATGCATTTGTTTTGAGACACGTTGAGCGTAACCCGTTGAGTTGACTGAGCGGCCTTTTCTCCTCTCACCAGCCAGAGCCTTAACGCCAGTGTTGGTGACACGCTGGTTCTGAGACACGTTGAGGGAGGCCAGTCGAGGCAGCAGTACATGTTACTTCAGTGATCACCTGGTAAAATTGTCCTCTCTCACCTGCCAGAGCCTTAATGCCGGTGTCGGTGACGCGCTGGTTCTGAGACACGTTGAGGGAGGCCAGTCGAGGCAGTGACGCGAGGTGCTTCACTCCCTTGTCGGTGATGCCGCCCCCACACACCTCCAACACCTGCAACTTCTTGAAGCCTGTCGGGTGGGAAGGAAGAGGGCCGAAATGTGGGAGTGGGAGTGAGAGTGTGGGTCAGAGGGTTTGCCAAAAACGTTTTTGAGAACGCTTGGAGAAGAGAGGGCGAATAGGATGGAGAAGTTGCGAGAATTGTCAAAAAGAATGTCCCCGTTCTTCCCCAAACCCCCCACCCACCCCTCGCCCCCTCCTCCTTCCCTTATCTCCCCTTTCCCCTCCGTCCCTCCCTTGTTCATCTTCCCCCTCCCTCACTCACTCTTAATCAATGCAATGCCTTCAACTGTCACACGGTCCCTCAACAGTCACTCCACTCTAGCACCGCCCTCCCTCAATCTTCCCCCCACCCGTGTCCCATCCCTTCCCCTCCCACACTCACTCACCCTTAATCACTGCCAGGCCCTCATCAGTCACACGCGCACCAAACAGGTCCAGGCTGGTGAGGTTAGTGAGGCCTGGAGAAAGGGAGGTGGGAGAGTGGGGTGGGAAAACACAGAGAAGAGAGATGAGGCGTGGCGGTTGGGCTGTGCCATAGCCTCGCCAGACACCCGCACTCCGAACAGGTCCAGGCTGGTGAGGTTAGTGAGCCCTGGGTCAGGTGTGGCAAGAGGAGGAAAGCAGGAAAGGGGTGGCGGGAAGGGGTGGGGAAAAAACAGGGGAAAGTTGGTTGAGGGGGTGGGGAAAAATGAGGGGAAAGTTGCTTTTGAGGGGGTGGGGCAAAATGAGGGGAAAGTTGCTTTTGAGGGGGTGGGAAAAAATGAGGGGGAAGTTGCTTTTGAGGGGGTGGGGAAAAATGAGGGGGAAGTTGCTTTTGAGGGGGTGGGGAAAAATGAGGGGGAAGTTGCTTTTGAGGGGGTGGGGAAAAATGAGGGGAAAGTTGCTTTTGAGGGGTTGGGGAAAAATGAGGGGAAAGTTGCTTTTGAGGGGGTGGGGGAAAAATGAGGGGAATTTGAGGGGGTGGGGGGAAATTAGGGGAAAGTTGCTTTTGAGGGGGTGGGGAAAAATGAGGGGGAAGTTGGTTGAGGGGGTGGAAGAAAATGACGGAAAAGTTGCTTTTGAGGGGGTGGCGAAAAATGAGGGGAAAGTTGCATTTGAGGGGGTGGGGAAAAATGAGGGGAATCTGAGGGGATGGGGGGGAATGAGGGGAAAGTTGCTTTAGAGGGGCTGGAAAAAATGAGGGGAAAGGTGCTTTTGAGGGGCTGGGGGAAAATGAGGGGAAAGTTGAGAGTTGAGCTGTCGCCCGGGTCCATGTGGTCAACAGCCATTTCATTTCATCTGGGAGCTGTTCCATCTCACCTGACAGCCGTTATATCTCACCTGACAGCCGTTATATCTCACCTGACAGCCGATATATCTCACCTGACAGCCGTTGTATCTCACCTGACAGCCGTTATATCTCACCTGACAGCCGATATATCTCACCTGACAGCCGTTGTATCTCACCTGACAGCCGTTATATCTCACCTGACAGCCGTTATATCTCACCTGACAGCCGTTATGTCTCACCTGACAGCCGATATACCTCACCTGACAGCCGTTATATCTCACCTGACAGCCGATATATCTCACCTGACAGCCGTTATATCTCACCTGACAGCCGTTATATCTCACCTGATAGCCGTTATATCTCACCTGACAGCCGATATATCTCACCTGACAGCCGTTGTATCTCACCTGACAGCCGTTGTATCTCACCTGACAGCCGTTATATCTCACCTGACAGCCGTTATATCTCACCTGACAGCCGTTGTATCTCACCTGACACCGTTTTATCTCACCTGACAGCCGTTATATCTCACCTGACAGCCGTTTTATCTCATCTGACAGCCGTTTTATCTCACCTGACAGCTGTTTCATCTCCACACGAAAGCTGTTTCATTTCACCTGACAGCCGTTTCATCTCACCTCCTTACATCTCACCGGAGAGGCGTTTCAACCCAGCATCACTGATGGAGCGCGAGTTGAGCGAGAGGGAGAAGAGGCAGGAAAGAAGGAGGGGACCTTGCAAATCCGAGAGGTAGGCGAGGGAGGAGAGAAGGAAGGGGCCGTGTCATCTCACCTGAGAGGCGCTTGAGCCCCGCATCGGAGATGGAGCGCGAGTCGAGCGAGAGAGAGGAGAGGGCGGAGCGGTGGGCTAGGACGGAGAGGGAAGAGAGACCATTTGAGTCGGCTCAAAGGGGGCAGCTTCGTCTCACCTGAGAGGCGCTTGAGCCCCGCATCGGAGATGGAGCGCGAGTCGAGCGAGAGAGAGGAGAGGGCGGAGAGGTGGGCGATGCTGGCAACCCCGCCGTCCGTGACGTTGCAGTAGCTCAGGCTCAACGTGGAGAGACGAGCCATGGCTGAGAGTGGGAAGAGATGGTGAAGGGGAAGAGGGGAGCAAGCAGGGGTGGCGGTTGAGTACAGGGGCGATGCTGGCAACCCTGCCGTCCGTGACGTTGCAATAGCTCAGAGTGGAGATGATTAACGGGAAGGGAGGGGTTGAGAGTGGTTTAAGGGGCGATGATGGCAACCCTGCAGTAGCTCAGACTGAGAGATGAGAGGCGGGTCATGGCTGTAAGAACGAGGAAGAGGGGGAGAGGGGGAGAGGGGGAGAGGGGGGAGAGGGGGAGAGAAAGAGGGGGGGGGGTTGGTAACGGGAAGGGAGGGGCTGAGAGCGGCTCAAGGGGCGATGCTGGCAACACCGCCGTGGGTGACGTTGCAATAGCTCAGACTGAGGGTTGAGAGGCGAGTTATGGCTGTACGGTGGGTGGGGGGGTGAATTACGGGGGAACAGGAGGAGAAGGAAAAGGAATGGGCTGAGGTAAGAGGGATTAAGGGCAGCAGTTGGTGTGTAATGAGTCGATTTTTTAGTCGACTCAAGAATTGGGGGGAAAGGCATCGTGGACAACAGCGTGTAATGAGTCGATTTTTGAGTCGACTCAATTTTTGAGGCGCCTCAAAACTAGGCGCCTCAAAACTGAGTTGACTAAAAATTCGACTCATTACACACGGCTTTTGAGGCGCCTCAAAAGTCATTACACACAGAGAAGGGATGGACCGAGCCGAGGGAAGAGGGATTAAGGGCAGCAGTTGGCCCATGGCCGATGTGAGCCAGGTGATAGGAGGGAGTGGGGGGGGGGAGGGGTCCATTTTTGAGGCGCCTCAAAAACAGGCGACGGGAGGGAGTGGGGCGGGGGGGGGGGAGGGGGAATGGGGGGGATCGGGGTGATGGGGGCGGGGAGGGTTGGAATGGGTGTGATCTTACCAGTGAAATTGCGAATGCCCGCATCTCCCACTGTGGTGTCCGACAGATCAAGCGACTCGAGGGCCGTCAGACCTGCAAGGGAGGCAGGGGAGCGGAAATAGAGGGAGGGGGGGGGCGGGGAGGGGTGGTGGGGGGGAAGCAGGGAGGGAGGGGAGCATGGCATTTAGTTTCCAGTGGTGTTGCGAATGCCCGCATCTCCCACTGTGGTGTCCGACAGACCAAGAGACTTGAGGGCAGTCAGACCTGTGAGGAATGAAAGATAGCAAAAGGTTCGGGGAAGACAGGTGGACCATACCACCTACTTAATACAAGGACAAGTTGGTGGTGTGGGGGGGAAGGGGAGAGGAGGGAAATTTGGTTTGTCGAGAGGCCTCAAATTCGCTGCTCCGTTCAAAGAGTGGGTCCGCCTAAGAGCAATCAGCTACTGGTGCAGGTGTTACCTGCATTCGACTTGACTTTAAAAAAATGTTACCAGCCAGTTCTTCCATAGCGAGATCGTTGACCCATGAAACATGATACGGTTACCAGGAGGAATGGTTACGCAGGAGGGATAACCACCCGGGACGGATGGTTACCTGCACGCTCTGCCATGGAGAGATCGTTGACCAGTGAGGAAAGATACGGTTACCAGGTTACAACGCATTACCTGCCAGCTCTGCCATGGAAAGACCATTGACCAGTGAGGAAAGATACGGTTACCAGGTTACAACGCATTACCTGCCAGCTCTGCCATGGAAAGACCATTGACCAGTTCGGAGAGATACGGTTACCAGGTTACAACGCATTACCTGCCAGCTCTGCCATGGAAAGACCATTGACCAGTGAGGAAAGATACGGTTACCAGGTTACAACGCATTACCTGCCAGCTCTGCCATGGAAAGACCATTGACCAGTTCGGAGAGATACGGTTACCAGGTTACAACGCATTACATGCCAGCTCTGCCATGGAAAGACCATTGACCAGTGAGGAAAGATACGGTTACCAGGTTACAACGCATTACCAGCCAGCTCTGCCATGGAAAGGTCGTTGACCCGCGACGAATCCAGGTTGAGGTGGCGGAGCGAGCGCAAGGCTGTAATGGAGCATGGCGGGAGGTGGGAACAGAGGGAGGGAAATGACGTGGTGGGGGGGGGGGGGGGGGGGGAGGGAAGAGAGTCGGCTAATAAACGAGTGAGCATGGCATGGCATGGCGTGGCATGGGGTTGGGTTTGACGGCGTGGGTTGTGGGGAAGAAAAAAGGGGGGGGAGGGGGGGGGGTAAGTGAGGTGGCGAGACCTGGTTTGGCAGAGAAAACTGGATCTTTGACGCCAACCAAAGGGAGTTTAGGCCAGATAGTTTTTGAGGCGCCTCAAAAACAGGGCAAACTGGGTGGTAAAGGGGAGAGAAGGCCAGAGACAGGAAATTGTGTGTGATGCAAGTAGGCTTTTTTAGGCGCCTCAAAAATAGATGCAAGGAGAGGAAGGGAGGTGCAGGCGTACAGGAGAGGAAGGAAGGTGCAGGCGTACAGGAGAGGAAGGGAGGTGCAGGCGTACAGGAGAGGAAGGGAGGTGCAGGCGTACAGGAGAGGAAGGAAGGTGCAGGCGTACAGGAGAGGAAGGGAGGTGCAGGCGTAGGAGGGGGGGGTGCAGGCGTAGGGGGAGGGGGGGGCGAAGGAGGGGGGGGGGGTAGGAGGGGGAGGTGAGGGTAGGGAGGGGGGGTGCAGGCGTACAGGAGAGGAAGGGGGGGTACGGAGGGGGGGGGCAGGCGTACAGGAGAGGAAGGAAGGTGCAGGCGTACAGGAGAGGAAGGGAGGTGCAGGCGTACAGGAGAGGAAGGGAGGTGCAGGCGTACAGGAGAGGAAGGAAGGTGCAGGCGTACAGGAGAGGAAGGGAGGTGCAGGCGTACAGGAGAGGAAGGAAGGTGCAGGCGTACAGGAGAGGAAGGAGGTGCAGGCGTACAGGAGAGGAAGGAAGGTGCGGCCTGCATGCTTCGGTTGGTGGGGGTGTCGATGACTCCAAAGCGAGTGTACGCCAGGTTGAGCGATGTGAGGCGCGTGAGAGCTGCAAGGAGAGAAGGGGAGAAAGGGAAGACGCTGTAATTTTGCTGGAGGTGAAGGGAGGTATGCGCATAGGAGAGGTGTCAATGACGCCAAAGCGGGTGTATGCCAGGTTGAGATGTGAGGCGCGCGAGAGCTGGAAGAAGGAAGAGCAGGGAGAAGGGGGGAGGGGAGGATTTGGTGGAGGGAATGGGCTAAAAAGGGGAAGATGAGGTAAGGGGTGCAAGGCGTGTCTCAGCTGTTAACCTTCATCGGCGAATTGGGGTGCACGGAGGAAGGGATGGCAAGAGGAAGCATTGAGTTGATTTCGGAAACGGGAGTTGCATCAACAAGGGAGGGATACAACCAGCCAGCATCATCCGACCGACCTGCCATCTCCCTTTGCCCGCTTCCCCAACTCTTTCCCCAACCCCTCCCCTGTGTCCCCACCTCCTCCCCCTTCGTCCTCCCTTTTTCCCTCATCATCTCCATCCCCCCACCCCCCCCCCCTTCCCTCCCCCGCCCCCCCGAGGTGACTTTTGAGTCGACTCAAAAGTCTCCCCCTTCGTTCTCCCTTTTCCCCCCATCATCTCCTTCCCCCCACCCCCCCCCTTCCCTCCCCCGCCCCCCCGTCCCACCTTGCAGGTGCTTGAGCCCTGTGTTGGTGAGCTGCGTGCACCATTCCACATCCCCCCCCCCAGATCCCCCACAAATCCTCCCCAATCCCCCCCAACCCAATGTCCCCCCCCCCCCCCCCGCCCGTCCACCCCACCTTGCAGGTGCTTGAGGCCTGTGTTGGTGAGCTGCGCACACCACTCCGCATTGAGTTCCGTCAGCCCATGGAGATCTGACACGTGGCACACGTGTATAAGAGGGGATAGCGGAGATCTGACAGAGGATTCGTGACTTGAGGCGTCTCGGAAAACGGCGGCATATGGGCGGAAATGCAAATTGAGATGACACAAGCCACGACACAAGCCACGACACAAGCCAGAAGACGAGATAGTGATGGGATGAGAGAGCGGGTGGAAGCTTACTGGAGACGAGAGAGAAGGCCGCATCTGTGACGTGCTGGCAGCCTGCCATGCTGAGAGTGGTGAGAGAGGAGAGAGCTGCAGGTGGCATGGGGAGGGGTGGAGGAAAGTGTACGTCAGCAACCGCAACCACAACAGCAAGAGCAATCTGTGACGGGCTGACAGCCCGCCATGCTGAGAGCAGTGAGGAGGAGAGAGCTGCAGGTGTGGATGTGATGGGAGGGGTGGCGGAAAGTGTATGGCAACAGCAAGAGCAGCAGCAATCTGTGACATGCTGACAGCCCGCCATGCTCAGGGTGGAGAGTGAGGAGAGAGCTGCAAGTGCAGATGTGATGTGACATGTGGTGGGAGGGACGGGAGAGAGGGATGGTAGCCTGTGCAGGGAAATGAGAGGGGAAGGTTTTGTATAATTCTCAAAAACCTGGCACATTCATACACTGCACTGCACACACGACACTCGCCTACACACCTCACAAACATCACTCGTGCCTCACAATCCTCACACAATCCTCACTCATACCTCACAAACCTCACACCTTACGCCTTACCTTGGAGCAGCACCGTCAGCCCCGTGTCTGTCATCTTGCATCGCGAGATGTTGAGCGACTGCAGCGAGGAGAGGCGATCATTTCTCATGTCTCACCCTGACACCTCACACCTCACACCTACCTTGGAGCAGCACTGTGAGCCCTGAGTCTGATACCTTGCATCGCGAGACGTTGAGCGATTGCAAAGCGGAGAGGCGTACATTTCTCACGTCTCACCCCAACACCTCACCCCTCACACCTCACACCTCACACCTCACACCTCACACCTTACCTTGGAGCAGCGCTGTCAGTCCTGTGTCCGTAATCTTGCATCGCGAGACGTCGAGCGACTGCAGCGAGGAGAGGCGATCATTTCTCACGTCTCACCCTGACACCTCACACCTCACACCTTACCTCTGAGCAGCGCTGTGAGCCCTGTGTCTGTGATCTTGCATCGCGAGACATTGAGCGATCGCAGCGAGGAGAGGCGCGCAATGGCTGCCATGTCCTCATCGTCCAGAGACGTGCACCAGCCGACGTTGAGGGAGAGGAGGGTGGAAAGGCCTGGGAGGAGGGATGGGAGTGAGGGGGAGAGGCAGGAGAAGGGAGATGCATGATTTCGAAGGCAATGGCTGCCATGTCCTCATCTTCTCTGGACGATGAGGACATGACGTCGAAGGACATGAGGACCCTAAACCCTGAACCCTAAACCCTAGACATGTCATCGAAGGCAGGGCAGTTGGTGACTACCCTTCTCCCCCTAACCCCTGAACCTCGAGAACCTAGGCACGTACCTGTCAATACCCTGAAACTATGCAGACCCTAAGCCCCCTACCTGTCAGGTGGCGCATGCCCCCCTTGAGCAGGCCACACATCTCGAGGTTGAGGTGGGCTAGGCAGGGCAGGTGGGCGATGTGGGTGAGAGCAGCAGCGGACAGGCGGTTGCAGCCACGGGCGCTGAGAGAGGCGAGGTGGTGGCAGGCTGTTGTGTAGGAGTCAGGGGAGGGGACGAGAAGGGGAAGGGAGAGGATGTGGAAAGGAGGGTAAGTCATATACTTGAGAGCAGCAGCGGACAGGCGGTTGCAGCTCCGGGTGCTGAGAGAGGCGAGGTGGTGGCAGGCTGTTGTGTGAGGGTTGGGAGGGTAGGGGGAAGGGGGGGGATGGGGGGGAATGGGGGGGAATGGGGGGAAGGGGGAGGATGGGGGGGAATGGGGGGGAAGGGGGGGATGGGGGGAATGGGGGGAATTAGGGGGGGGAAGGAGCGAAAGCGTATTGACACTTGAGCCGCAGCAGACAGGCGGTTGCAGCCGCGGGCGCTGAGAGAGGCGCGGTGGAGGCAGGCTGTTGTGTAAAGGGGGAGCGGGAGGGTAGGGGTGAAGGGGGAGGACTGGGGGAATGCGGGGGAATGGGGGGGGGGGGGGGGGGGGCGAAAGCGTACTGATACTTGAGCCGCAGTAGACAGGCGGTTGCAGCCCCGGGCGCTGAGAGAGGCGAGGTGGTGGCAGGCTAGAGTAGAAGGGTTGGGAGGGTGAAGGGAAAGGGGAGGAATGGGGGGGTGGAGAGGAGGGGAAGCATACTGATGTTTGAACAGCAGGAGTTTGCAGCCATGGGTGCTGAGGGAGAGGATACGACAAAGTGCACGTGACTACCAGCATACGGTGCATGCTATTTACCAGCGAGAGGCGCAAACGCATCGCAGGTTATATGGAGGCGATTTTTGAGGCGCCTCAAAAAGCGGTGCAAGCTATTTACCAGAGAGAGGCTCAAATGCATCGTCCGTGATCTGGAGGCACCAGTCAAGGCACAGGGAGCGAAGCTGGGAAGCATGCAGCGGAGAGGCTGCTGTAGCCAGAGTTGCAACTGCAGTTGTAGCTGCAGCTGTAGTGCTGGCTGCAGCTGATGCTAATGCTGATGATGATGCTCCAGCCTCCCTCTGTCGCTTTTTGCTGTAAAAAGCATCCCCAGCCCTCTCTATCCTCCCTGTTAGCATACGCATCCGCGCCTCACTCTCCTCTATTACCCTATTTTCCTCCCTCTCTTCCCCCACCTCCCCTCCCCTCCTCCCCTCCTCCACCCCTTCGTCCTCCCCCCCGAGACTCAGCTCCAGAAACGCTCCTTCTGAGGAGCTTCCGTCCGACAGGTCTTCCTGAGAGTTGCTGCTGTTAGCAGGGCTGCCCATAAGGGGTATGGTGGGCAGTGTGGGCGAGGACATGGCTCGGCCCTGGGGTGTGGTTAGCCCTCTAAGAGGAGTGGGGCGAGAGGCTAAGAGGGGGGATGGGGCGGGAGGAACGAGAGTGGAGGTTGGAGTGGAGGAGAGAGGGAGGGAGGAGGAGGAGGAGGAGGGAAGGGTTGAGGGACGGGGGATGGAGACGGAGGGGGGGTTGAGAGAGGAGGGAGAGAGGGGAGGGGTGCGCGGAGAGGTGAGAGGGGAGGTAAGCGGGGAGCAGAAGGGAGGGGTGTTGTTGTCGTAGCCACTGCAATAGCCCCCGTCACAGCAAGAAACAGCAGAATTTATGGCAGCAGCATTGCTTGCAGCAGCATTGCTTGCAGCAGCACTAGTGGCAGCAGCAGCAGTGAGTGCAGCAGCAGCAGCAGGAGGCGCGCCAGAGAGCAGCTTGAGTATCCCAGCATCGGTGACAGTGGCAGCAAAGGAGAGGTCGATAGAGAGCACAGTTGGAGCATGGGGCGCTAGCAGCTCCAACCAGCCGTCGTTGAGGTTGGGGTAGTGCGCCAGGGGAAGCGACTGCAGAGGGGAGGGGAGAGAGGGGGGGGAGGCGAGCGTGCGTGCGTGGGGAATTGATTGACTCAGAATGGAAGCACGGGGCGCTAGCAGCTCCACCCAGCGGTCGTTGATTTTGGGGTAGTGCGCCAGAGGGAGGGCCCGCAGACGAGGGGGGGAGGGGAGAGAGAGGAAGGGGGGGGATGCGTGGGGAATTGGGTGGGTCAAAACGGATGCAAGAGGTGCCAGCAGCTCGAGCCAGGTTTGGAGAGAGGGCAGCGCACGCAGGAGAGGCAGGGAGAGCTCCCTGACGTGCGCCAGCACGCTGAGGGGAGACTGCAGCACATGTGGGGCGGGCCGAGATGCTAGTTCAAATTCAGCTCACAAGCTCCCAAGTCTTGCTTACCTCAAGGAGAGGAGCGGGCAGAGCACGCAGGAGAGGCAGGGAGAGCTCCCTGACGTGCGCCAGCACGCTGATGGGAGACTGCAGCACGTGTGAGGCGAGATGCTAGTTCAAATTCAGCTCACAAGCCCAAGTCTTACCTCAAGGAGAGGAGCGGGCAGAGCACGCAGGAGAGGCAGGGAGAGCTCCCTGACGTGCACCAGCACGCTGAGCAGCGACTGCAGCACGTGTGGGGAGAGCCGCGCGAGCTTGGAGGGCGGGTAGCCTGACTGAAAGCGGCCGGAAGAGGGGGAGGGCGTTGGGGGGAGAGGGGGGGAGAGGGGGGGGAGAGGGGAGGGAGAGGATATAAAAGGCGGCAAGAGCTGTTCGTTGACGTGCACCAGGGCGTTGAGCAGAGGCTTCAGCACGTCCGGGGAGAGCCGGGCGAGCTTGGAGGGCGGGTAGCTTGACTACAGGCCAAGGAGGGAAAAGGGGTTGAGGGAGTCTATTCTTGAGGCGCCTCAAAAATAGACTTCTCGCACTTGGAGGGCGGGTAGGTTGACTACAGGCCACGAAGGGAAATGGGGTTGGGGGGGAGGGGGGGGCAGCAGGAGATGGATAAAGGGAGCAAGGGAGCATATAAATTTGCTTACTGGCTGGCGAATTAAATCACGACAGACTGCCAGCGTGGCAAGCTCCTGAAGTGACAGCCTGGCCATGCCAGCTGGCCACCGCCCTCCTGCCACACGCCTTCCCATGCTGCTGCTGCCGCCCCCACAGCCGCTGCTGCTGCTGCCGCTGCTGTTGCTAAAGCTGCTGCTGCTGCCACCACTGCTGTTGCTCCTGACGGTGGTTCTGCTGATGACCGCATTGCTTCTGCCGCCACCAGCCCTCACCACCGCCATTCCTCCTGCTCCTGTGCCCAAGCTCCTCGCCCTCAGCAGCTGCTGCTGCTGGCTCTGCTGCTGCTGACTTGCCTGGTGCTGCAGCTGCTGCAGCTGCTGCTGCTGCTGCTGCTGACTAGCCTGGTGCTGCAGCAGCTGCTGCTGCTGCTGCTGCTGACTCGCCTGGTGCTGCAGCTGCTGCTGCTGCTGCTGCTGCTGCTGCTGCAGCTCTTCTGGTGGTTCCCAGCGGCCAGAGAGGAACGCCAGGGCGTAGCAGCAGTGACAGCAGCAGCACGAGCACAACCGGTTGCTGAAAGGGTCGCCGCTGGTGAGCCCTCCACGGTTGGCTGGTGTTGCAGCAATGGGTTCATAGGAAGTAAGAGCGCACGGCTTCGCACCTGCGTTCGCTGCTCTTGCTGTGAATACTGGAACTCCCCTTCCTCCCGTTGCTGCCACCGTGCCTTGTGCTATTCCTGGTGCTGCCACTGTGCCTCGTGCTGCTCCTGCTGCTGTCACCGTTGCTCCTCTGGAGCGACAGACTGCGGCAGTGGCGGCAGTAAGACTGGCGACAGTCGCTGCAGCCGCAGCAGAATTACCAGCAGCAGCAGCAGCAGCAGCGGTAACAGAAGCAGGCCCAGTACGATCACCAGAAGGGGTCGAATCCGCGACAGCACCACCGTCAGCACCACTGCCATCACTGTCAGAGACAGTGACGTTCGCATCGAGCCACATGACCACATTGTCTCCTCTCTGCTCGCCCTCACCCCTGCGAATCTCTCCAGTCGACACTTCACTGCGCATGCTGCCACCGCCAGTCGCGCTCACGCGTGCACTCTCGCTTCGCCTGTTCCTGCCAAGCAGGTTTCCAATCCCAGGAGACTCGGACAGATGCAGATTACCCGCCTCACTCGTGCTGCGAGTGATGCTCATGCTGCCGTCGCTGATGGTGGTGCCACTCCTTGAGCTGCTGCCGAGGCTGCTGCCGAGGCTGTTGCCGAGGCTACTGCTGGAGATGCTGCCGAGGCTGCTGCCGAGGCTGTTGCTGCCGCACCGGCTGCTGTCACCATTTCCAGTGGTTAGACTGCCTGGGCGGCTGTTGGCGCTGCATCTGCTGGTACCTGAGGGGGTTCGCTGGCTCAACCTGTCACAGAAAGGGTTACAAGCAGGAAACAGAACGAATCTGGGTTGAGTGTGCGGGAGAGCGCACAAACGAAGAAACGATTCGAAGACGAAAACGGAAAGAGAAGAGCGGCCGGGGAATCGGAGACGGGAACAGGTGGAAACCCCAATCCAACGACGGAAAGCCAACGTAAAACTCACGTGGCGATGGGAATCGACGTCGTCGACCACGGTAACTCCTCGCCACCTTCCTCCCAGTCGTCAGCATCGTCCCAGTCCACGTGCACCGCCGCGCCGTCGCAGTGGTAGCGCGGCCCCTTGCAGTGCTGGTGGCAGTGGTGCAGATGCCGCCGCTCGCTCGCGAACACGCCCGCCGCGCTCACACTCCCGCGGCTGGCGCTTCCCCCCATCGCTCCGCCTCCACCGCCGGTGGTGGCGCCGTGGATGCCGCCGTAGCTGCCGGAGTTGGGGCGAAGTCGACGGGAGCACGCCCCGCCCATTTGTGGCTCTCTTTCCGTTCGCTGCGCTTGTCTTTCGTTGCGTCCGCTCCTCTTCCCTCTCGTCCCTGCCTTTCCTGCTGCTCCTTTTCCCTTCTCCCTTCCCTGGCTTAGCCCAGTGGCTTCACCAGCGCGCGCTCTGTCCGCTTCCGCTTCCGCTTCCGCTTCCACTTCCGCTTCCGCTTCCGCTTCCACTCCTGCTTCCGCTTCCGCTTCCGCCTCCGCTCCCGCTTCCAATGTCTTCAGCTTCCGCTTGCCGCCGGCCGAAGAGCGGCTAGAGGGGTGACGGAAGACAGACGAAACACTCCACTACGCTACGCGTGTCTCAGAACTCGCCTTATACATGCTTTCTTCGCTTCTACGGTCATTTCATCCCTCGCCTAAGGCTCAACTCTTCACCATTGTGGCCACTGAGAGAACCCACCGAAAACCGCGAAGGCTGAAATCCAGAAACTTGCCAGGTGGGTAGCCGGCCTTGCCGGAATCTCGCGATGAATGGCTTGAGAAACTCCCACAGCACCAGCGCACCAATCTTGGTGGTGATGCAGAACAAGCTTTCTTGCCCACCACTTCTGGCGAAACCTGCTGTCACGGCTCACCTCGCCAGCCGCCAGTGGATTCGCATTCCCTCACTACTACCCGTCCTTCCAGCACAGCGCCTCATGGGGGTTCCCTTTATTCTCTAGTGATAGGGCTGACAACGGGACGGGGGCCTTCCGCATTCCCATTTCCGCCTGCCCTGGTCGTGTTCTGGAACAGCTCCCTGAATTGCTGGCTCTGTGGATTTCCCAAGCCCCTCCATGGGCTGAATTCACCTCATGTACCATGTGCCATTTCTTTTGGCTGCCCTGCCCGGCCTTCAAAAGAACTTCGAGCACATCAGGCAGGCTGTGCCATGCCATGCGGCTGTTCGGCTGAGGTGGAGGGCTCAGCCGAGGCGCTTCTCTGATGCAAAAATCCATCATCCTCTCAAAGCCAGAACGCCTCTCTGTGAGATGTCCTTGATTGGCTAAAAGGTCCATGATGGGCGCAAGTGGGACGTGTATGAGGTTGCTTCTGCGTCAGGCTGATGTGGCATGCGGCATGTGGATTTGGTAGTGTGAACCAATGGGGACGGGGGTTCTGAAGATTGTCCTTGGGCGGTGCCTCTGTTGCCTCTTGGCTGGAAACGCCCGCTCACAACATGATCCGATAGTGGAGACATTATCGAATGAAGATTTACAGTAAACAGCTTGTCAAATCTACCTGCACGTAAAACTTCATCGATGAAGCTAGAATAAAAGATGCTAAGGCACTAGAAATGGGATAATCTACAATACCGTACGCTCCTTGAGATATCAAGAAGATGTTTCAGATGCGAACGCCCTACAAATTTGTACAACCTGCAAAACACAAAATTGACATCAGGGGCAAAGCAACAGGAGAGAAACGAAACGACAAAACAGTAAGCGGGAGAGAGAGGGCGTGAATCACTGGCATGCACACATTGGCTGGCACACACACATCGACTGGCACACACCATCACTGGCGCATCACTGGCACCAACCATCACTGGCACAACACTGGCACGCACCCATCACTTGCATGCACTATTTTGTGGCATGTGTGCCGTTGACTGAGCGTGTGTGTGTGTGCGCGCGCGCGCGTGTGGAGGAGAGGGAGCAAGAAAGACAAGAGGGCGAGATGGCTCACCAGGGAACGGGTAAGCTGCAGCCAGCTGTGAGTATCTCATGTATATTGGCCAGAGGAGTAGCTTCTTTGTGTAGCACCGGGATCATCTGTTGTGGCGTCAAGAGTTGTCAGTCCGTTCGGCTTGACCCCTATAAGAGCTTCCCCATCATACTCCACAACGTTCTCCCAGTTCTCATATGCAACCTTCACCAGCTTATCTACATAGATCTGCAGCAGACAGGCCACAGGGTAAGGACCACAGCAGGACAAGACACAGGCGTGAAAAGAATGCACGAGCTTCTGCCACAAATAGCTTGAATAAAAACTAGCTGATCCTTGCTTTACCCACAGGAAAAAATACTTCCCCATATAAATCTGCAGCAGAGAACCAGAGTCAGGATGACTAACAGAAACAAAAGAAACTCTTTACCTTCTCACTCTCGGAGAGAAGATCCACGGACATGTACTGGCTGTCGGCAATGAGGCCCATGAGCTGGAAGATGTTGTTGAAGATGACACCGATGTTCTGCTTGTCGTCAGCATAGTACACATGGAGCTTGCCGTTCAGCACACATGTCTTAGCGTGCTCCACCGTGTTCTCCCACATCTTGTTTGACATGCCGGAACCAAGAATCTGGCAAAACAAAACAAATCAGATCGTTGCAAAAAACATTCGAGGGAATCACTGACAAGGGGCTCATACGAAAAACGCACTTACATTTCGTAGTTTTTGTGGGTCCATGACAACAAGTCGTAGGAAATCCTCCACAGTGAAGATTCCAGCCTGATTCAAGCGCTTGTGGAAGGCGCCATCCTTGCCTATGCGGTCCAGCCGCCACACTTCGTCGGTCAAAGCAGGAGGATAGTGCTTCTTGTACACTGGTGGACAGCCAGGAAGGGGAATGGAGATGAGAAACATAATAAGGAAAGGAGTCGATTTCCCAGCCCGACAGAACCACCGGCATTTGAGCGACATGTAACGAACCAAAGTAGCAGCTAAAAAATCCTTGTGGAATCCAAAAACTCACATTCGCCACGATGATCCTTCACTGTGAACGCCTCTGTCTTCCCTTCCCGTACCCTGCTCTCCCCAATCTGTCCCGGCGATACTCGCACTCCCAGCCTGAACTTGCGACTCCGAATCCAGCTGGAGTTGTCTGTGAAGGTTATCTCACCCATGACCCCCAGTCCGTCCTTCAGCACCACAAATGTCTCGCCGGTTAGTAGCGGCCTCTTCCCATCTCTTTCCTTCACCAAGAACTGGTCAAATTCCTCCTGCACAGTGCAGTAATTTATTCAGTCTGCAAGGACTGGAAGAAATGAAGAGTGGAGCACCAGTTTATATACCTAAAACGAAAGAGCGAGGACAGAGAGCATCACTTACTGGTAGCCAATCATCCTCGTCATCTCTGCTGAAGTCTCCCTCAAGCACCATAATCTCAAGCTTCAGATTGGCCTCTGGTCCTGTGGTGACCACTGTGCCTGAATCTCCATCCTGGAGGAAAACTCGGATCGGCTCATTGCCTTCTCCCTCCACTTTCCCTCCAGTGAAAAGCGGAAGTGCCAATTTGTTGCGGAATTGCAGCCTCAGGTCACGCTTGACACCATTGGATGGTAGTCGCTTGGGAGCTTCGAGACTTCTGAAATATGGGAGCAGAAGCGCATAGAGAATAAAATGCTTCATAAAGTGCAGGTCGGTAACCAAGGAAGAGCCAGAAACCAGAAACTGACTTGATCCATACCTTTTACCCACAATGTCCGTCCTAGTACAGATAACCAACCCACAATATCTAGCGCTGTGACTGGCATCTGATAGCTCCATCCGTCAATGTGAACACTACCACAGTTCACCAACACGTCACACAAAAGGATGCTCGTGTTGACCAATGACCCATCTGGAGTCCGAAAAACATGTTCTTGTCTTACCTCCTTTCTCGGAACCTGTAACACTCCATATCTTTGCTAAACCATGCATAACTCTCCTCACGCTACTTGTCTACAAAATTTAATACAAGTCGCTCTGAGAAGAATTACGCTCGACCACACCTGGGCTTTCGACGGAGCACGACGACGCTTTTGAATCAAATCGAACGTCATCTGAATTCATTGCCGCCAGGAACGAGGAAACGGAACGAGAGACACTAGAGCTGACCAGTTCCCAAGCCAAAAACCTACCGTGATGGCGGTTTAGAGCCGGACGACGGCTGGAAGGTTGACAGCGCTTTATGAATCTCTTCAGACACCTGCAAAACTAGTCGACGTGTTAGTAAGTCGCGGCGGTAATCAGAGAAGGATAAAGCAATTTGTAGAGGCGAGTCTTGTCACGTACCACGCGTCGTAGCAAAGGCTCCAGAACTGTGCAGAGTTTTGCGAGATTGTCCATCTTAACCGTCTCCACAACGACACTGCACGAAGCAGAAAGCGCGAAGTTAGTAGCCAGATAGTGAAGCGACGACGCAATTCTTCGTACTGATGCCAGGACGCGACGGCACGTAGCGAATTAGCCAGCGTCTAAGTGACCTACTTAGCTATTGTTGGGCCACGATGTCGCTTCTCGGGAGATTGACTTTCTCCGTTGCCTTCTTCGTAAGGTCTTTTCTCGCCGTACCGTTGTTCGAGATCCATGCTCTGGGCCTTGATAAGTCAAAATTATCCAGTCTACAGGCCAACATCGTCCAAAAAAAAAATTAGTCCGGCTAGGCGCATTAACAGAATCAATAATTGACCAGAGTGCTCTGCTCACCGGCTCGTACTCGATCAAAAAGCGGTTCGAAAGGCCACTGGTTCCAGTGAGGGTCCTGCCTGCCAAGTTGTGAGTGGTGATTCGAAAATAACAAATGCACGGAAGAATCGAGGAAGCAGAAAGAAAAGAACAGGCAGAGGAAGGGGGGGGGTGGGTGGGATGGATGGAGAGGGTTCCGTGAAACAGGAGAAGGGGGAGCAGAAAAGGGGTTGGTCTGAGGGGAATAGAGGGGGTTGGGGGAAGACTTGGGAGGGGGATTTTGGCGGGTTGGGGGGTGACCGGGGGATTTTTGCTGAGTTCACACATCGCAGCAGTCTGGGGGGGAGTTCAGTGGGCGGGGGAGAGCGGGAAAACCTGTGAGTTGCGCGGAGCCTGGGGGTTGGGCGGGTGATGCTGCAAAATTGCGCGTGATGGTGCCAAATTGCGGTTTGGCTGGCAGGACTTAGGTTGAGGTGGGGGTGGTGGCGGGTGTGTGCGTTGGGAGGGGAAGGGGGGAGAGGGGGAAGCGCGGGCTGCGTTGCGGGGCAGATTGCTGCCGCGCTGAGCTGGGTTGGGGGGCGGATACTTGGGGCCAGGATGCCCCCGGGAAGCTGCGGACCAGGAAGAATCCAGGAAGCGCCGATGTCGACAGGGGGGAGAAGAATCGATTTCTGGGCCGTCGATTTCGCGATTGCCTTACCCTAATCCAGGAAGTCGTGGCTGCTGGGCGTGTTTGGTTCAGCCCAGTCGACTTTATCACTGTAACCTGCAGTACCGCACAGACCGTGCACCAAACCGAACTGAACCAGACGAAAGGGAACCATGCTGTGCAGGCTCGGATTGTTCTTGGCGGATGTGGCACCTGCGCTGGCCTTTGGCGAGGCGCTAGCGGCGCAAATCCCATTTCTGCAAGCAGCGCGGGAAGCTTCCGTTGAATGAGCAGTCAGCAGCACTCAGCAGTGAATGGCCTGTGGCGGATTGCACCGACCACGTGATCCGAACGCGACAGTGTTCTGAGTGTTGAAATACGTTGTCAAAATGATAATACCATGAATCACAACTTATCTTACACAACCAAAACCTGCAATGCAAACCCTTGAGAAATCTACTCATGGTCTTGGGCATCCACCACCAACACTTGAGCGTCTGCCATCGGAAATGCTACTGGGAGAAACCGAAGTAGAAGCTCGAACGAAGTGAAAGTAATGACAGCGGCTGGCGTGGTTCTGTACAAGTTGGCAACACAGCCTCTGTAGAACGCTTGCGCGCCTTCGTCTCTCACAATCTGCACGCAAGCGCGAGCGGCAGTTCACATTCATCATACAAGGCACAGGGATGTTGAAGCATGCATGAACGCGAGGGAGAAAGACGGGAGGGCAGGAGGAGCATGTGATTGAATGGGTGAAATTGTGAGAAGGGGGCCATATGCAGGGTGTAAATCCTATCAGTAACAGCTTAAACCATGAACACACCTTTTGAATGCAGTCTATAACACCAAGGTAGCGGGGAGCCATGCCATCTGCACCCGCTGCTGCTATCGCTCTTCCTTGCTCCTGCAGTCGCGAACGCACCACCTGCCACACCACATGTATTGGAACACAGGTGCACGAGTGTATGCATGAGCGGACTTAAATGGTGTACTTTGAGCCGACTCGAACCACAACTGTTGCTGCTATTGCTCTGCTTTGCTCCTGCAGTCGCGACCGCACCATCTGCCACACCACACGTGTTGGCATACAAGTGCATGGGGGAATGAGAGTGGACTACTGAATGTGTATTTGTGAGTGGATGTGTAAGTGCCTCATACAGGCATGTGATGGCATGCCAATCAGCTCATGGGGTTATGTGAGAGTGGAAGCCACCACTTTACACCCCGCAAATGCCAGAGCGAGGTCAATGGGTGATAATATTCAATCACTAGAAGAAAGATAGCACGCAATTTACATCATGCGGGTATGCGAGCATGGAAGCCACCACTTAAAGCCCGAGTCAGAAGCCAGAGCGAGGTCAAGAGGTGCTAGCTTACGAGGCACATCAAAGGGAGGACCGAAAGCACTCCACCTCACAAGGGCATGTGAGAGCATGTGAGAGGATGTGAGAGGATGTGAGCGCATGTGAGCGCATGTGAGGGCATGTGAGGGCATGTGAGGGCATGTGGGGGCATGTGAGGGCATGTGAGCGCATTTGAGGGCATGTGAGGGCATGTGAGGGCATGTGAGGGCATGTGAGGGCATGTGAGGGCATGTGAGGGCATGTGAGGGCATGTGAGAGCCATGTGAGAGCACACAAAAACTACCTCATGAGGGTATGTGAGAGTGGAAGCCACCACTTTCGAGACCGCAGAAGCCAGAGCGAGGTCCATGGGCGATAGCTTATCAACGCTCGTGTTTGCTCTCTCTGCCATGGTCTGCTTGAGGTGCTCGTACATGGGGAACTGGATGGCCACGTGGCTCACTCCGGCCAGAGCGGGCACGACACCACTGAGAGAGGTTAGTAGAAGGGGAAGGGGCGCAAGGCAAGATGGCATGAATGGTGGGAGAGAAGGGGGGATGCCCTGTCTGCCATGGTCTGCTTGAGGTGCTCGTACATGGGGAACTGGATGGCCACGTGGCTCACTCCTGCCAGAGCGGGCACCACACCACTGAGAGGAGGGGAGCGGGTAGATAGAAGGGGATGGAGGGATGCACAAGAGAGATGAACGTGAGAGTGGGAAGAGGGGGAGGGAGGTGGGGAAAATGCCCTGGTCTGGTTGTATTTTGAGTCGACTCAAAATACAACTTGAGTCGACTCAAAATACGAGTCGACTAAAAATACAACGTGAGAGCGGGAAGAGGGGGAGGGAGGTGGGGAGAATGCCCTGGTCTGCTTGAGATGACCGCAAATGGAGAACTGGATGGCCACGTGGCTCACTCCTGCTGGAGGAGGCACCACGCCACTGGGAGGATGAAGGGGAGAGGTGGGAAGAGAGGGTGGCAAGTTGCACATGGTTTGCACATTGCACGTGTTAAGACACGCAAATGAGGGGAAGAAAACACCTTCGCTTCTCTTCGCCCACTCCCTCACTCACTCCCACTCACACACTCCCACTCACACACTCCCACTCACACGCCCCCACTCACACGCCCCCACTCACACACTCCCACTCACACACTCCCACTCACACACTCCCACTCACACACTCCCACTCACACACTCCCACTCACACACTCCCACTCACACACTCCCACTCACACACTCCCACTCACACACTCCCACTCACACACCCACTTGTGCAGCATTGCAACGTCCCCCACTCTGAAGAAGCGCACCAGGGCAGACACACCAACAAAGCAGGGCGTTGCTGTTATGCGCATAACACCCAGCAACAAACACCTCTCACTTGTACGGTAGGCGATGGGAGCGAAGCAACACACCCACCAACAAGCACTCACTAGCACACACGCAATCTCATGTTCTGACTGACTCACACCCACCCACCTGTACAATCCCGCGATGCCCTCCTCCCTGAATATCCGCACCAGGGCAGACACCGTGCCCTTGTACGGCAGGCGATGGGGGCGCAGACCCTGCGTCTGAGAAGAACAGAGGGAGGGAAGGAGGGAGTGGGAGGCAGTTGGAAGAAGGGCAGGGGGTGGGAACGCAGACCCTAGGTTCAAAAACACTCTGCAAAAAGTAGGGCAGGGGTGGGGGCGCAGACCCTAGGTTCAAAACACTCTGCAAAAAGTAGGGCAGGGGTGGGGGCGCAGACCCTAGGTTCAAAAACACCCTGCAAAAAGTAGGGCAGGGGTGGGGGCGCAGACCCTAGGTTCAAAAACACCCTGCAAAAAGTAGGGCAGGGGATGGGGGCGCAGACCCTAGGTTCAAAAACACTCTGCAAAAAGTAGGGCAGGGGTGGGGGCGCAGACCCTAGGTTCAAAAACACTCTGCAAAAAGTAGGGCAGGGGTGGGGGCGCAGACCCTAGGTTCAAAAACACTCTGCAAAAAGTAGGGCAGGGGTGGGGGCGCAGACCCTAGGTTCAAAAACACTCTGCAAAAAGTAGGGCAGGGGTGGGGGCGCAGACCCTAGGTTCAAAAACACTCTGCAAAAAGTAGGGCAGGGGATGGGGGCGCAGAGACTTTTGAGTCGACTCAAAAGTCACCTGGGCGCAGACCTTGGGTCAAAAACCTGGAATAACTGAGAGGAGGTTGAGGGTGAGGCACCAAACCCATAAGCCTACCAAACCCAGGATTTAACCAAACCCATAAGTTCAACAGAGTTTGGGCGCATAACGTCATTATACTTTTGAGTTGACTCAAAATACAACTGTACATTCATGGCGTTGCCTCCTATTGAGTCGATTCAAAAGCTAACGTCATTGTACATTCATGGCCTATTTTTTAGGCGCCTCAAAAATAGACTCCTCACTGTACATTCACGGCGCCGCCTCCTATGTCTTCTCGAGCTATGTGAAAAGAGAAGGGAAGTGAAGGGAAGAGAAGGGAAGAGAAGAGAAGAGAAGGGAAGAGAAGAGAAGAGACGAGAAGAGAAGAGAAGAGAAGAGAAGAGAAGAGAGGAGAAGAGAAGAGAAGGGCGATGAGGTACTTCTTTCTTCTCTTCGGCTCCCACACCTCTCACTCTTGTTGACCGATCGCTGGACATAATCCCAGCGAGGCGCCTCAAAAATAGACTCCTCGCACTCTTGTTGACCTCAGCCAAAGCAACCACCATTGCACAGCCTTAATAATCAATATAGTTGCCACTCTCATTGTCACTGTAACTGTAAACGAGACTTGATAATACACAAGGGGCAAACGAGGGCGTGTTGATTACACATACTTGTTCTTGAAAATCTTCCCGAAACGCTTTGCATCCTCCTTGGTTGCCTATGTACCTGCAGCCCCTAAATACACGTTATAATCACTGCAGTGTACCTGTACTATACCTGTAAACGAGTCTTGTCGACCCAAAGGGGGTTGGTGATCACAGCAGTGGCGGCACCGGCGCCTGCTGCTGCGGTGACTCTGGTCAGAAGGGGCGGGGGGGGCGAGGAGGAGGAGACTCCTCTGCTGCCTCTAAATACTCGTTATAGTCACTGTACTGTACCTGTAGACGTGTCTTGACGACCCACAGGGGGTTGGTGAGCACAGCAGTTGCAGCGCCAGCGCCTGCTGCTGCGGTGACGCTGGTCAGAAGGGGCAGCGGGGAGGAGGAGGAGGCTCGGCTGCATCTTCCTGTGCAGGTGGATCCACAGCAGTCCCCCCCGCAACTGGCTGCCATGTCGTCCGCACTTAGCATCTTCTTGAGGTGGTCGTACACCGAGAAATACACCTGATGGTGCATGCAGCATGCATGGATGCAGATGGGGCCCAGAATACCCGGGAGAGCAGCATGGCATGGGGCATCATGGCATGGGGTATCATGGCATGGGGCATCATGGCATGGCATGGGGCATCATGGCATGGCATGGGGCATCATGGCATGGCATGGGGCATCATGGCATGGGGCATCATGGCATGGGGCACACGGAATGCAGCCCATGAGTCACAACACGTCTCGTCCGCACTTAGCATCTTCTTGCGGTGGGTTGGCAAGCACATCGGGTAAGGCACATGGGGTAAGGCACATGGGGTAAGGCGCATGGGGTAAGGCACATGGGGTAAGGCACATGGGGTAAGGCACATGGGGTAAGGCGCATGGGGTAAGGCACATGGGGTAAGGCACATGGGGTAAGGCACATGGGGTAAGGCACATGGGGTAAGGCACATGGGGTAAGGCACATGGGGTGAGGCACATGGGGTAAGGCACATGGGGTAAGGCACATGGGGTGAGGCACATGGGGTAAGGCACATGGGGTGAGGCACATGGGGTAAGGCACATGGGGTAAGGCACATGGGGTACATTCCCGTCATCTCCTTCCCCCTTCTTCCCCAACCGCCCCTTCCTCCCCCACCCCTTACCGCCCAGTTGGGGAGGAGCGCAACGACAGAAGGGCAGAGCCCCCTGTACAGCCCTCGGACGCCCTCCTCCCGCCAGATGGCGCGCAGAGTCGTCGCAATCACCCCCGCCTTCGCGCCCGCCCCCTTCGCGCCACCCGCCCTCCCCGCGCGCCCATGCGCCCCTCCGCCGCTACCCCTGCTCTCCGTCCTCCCCGCTGCGTTCCCCCCCGCTGCATTGCCCCCCCCTGCATTCCCCCCTACGCTGCCCCCCGCGCCTCTGCTACTCCCCGCTCCGTTCCCCGCGTCTCTGCTGCTTCCGCCCGGCCGCGCGCCATGCGAATAGAGGGGAGAGAGGGAGGCGCGCGGGAGCCCAGGGGGCCCCGGGGAGTGGGGGGGCCCAGGGGGGCGGGAGTGCGGGCCCCCCGACAATGCACTGGCGGCGGCTTCTTGCCCCGCCGCTGCTGCTTGCCTGCCAATCCCCGCCTGCATAATAGACAGCCCGTTTCTTGCAGCGAGGATGCTCATAGCGGGGACAGTTCCAGCGCCCGAGCGCGCCCCCGCTGACTGAGGGGGTGATGCGGAGGCGCCATTGGCGGAGCTGCAGGGGGGAACCGTCGCTTGCGCGTGCGGAGAGGGGGAGGGGGAGGGGGTGGCGGAAGCGCCAGCGCCACCGCTTGCGCGGTTGGAGGGCTGGGCTGGGGTAGGGTTGCAGTGCTGGTTAAGTTGGGCGGCGGCAGCTAAGCTGCCGGCTGGTTGGCCGGTAGAGCTGCCGGCGGGCGGTTGTGGTCGGCTGCGGGGGACTGCTTGCACCTGGAGCCGCGTCTTGACAACGTCGAGCGGCGCGACGAACGTGGCAGCTATGGCTCCTGGATAGTCAGGAATACGACAGATGCGAATCAAATGAGAGGCAAGGAGAAGGCTGTTAGCGTCAGGATACGGCAAATGCGGAGGAGTTGTAGAAATAAAACGGAATACTACACATAGAGTTTGCAGAAATATAAAGGCGCTGTGAGGCTTGCATTGCTTGCTTGATGCGAAATGGCGACCTCGATACAAGCACAATCACAAACACTTTCCAGCACCGTGTATAATCGGCGCTTTGTGCGCGGCGCCGAGGCAGACTTCTCAGGGACTCCTCACGTGCCTCGGCGTGTAATCCTCACCTGCCGAGTCGATTTTTGAGTCGACTAAAAAATCCTCACGTGCCTCGGCGCCAGCGATGCCGCTGCCTTTTGAGTCGACTAAAAACTCACCTGCCTCGGCGCGCAATGAGTCGATTTTTTAGTCGACTCAAAACCCACCTGCCTCGGCGCGCAATGAGTCGATTTTTGCGTCGACTCAAAGCTCACCTGCCTCGGCGCCAGCGATGCCGCTGCCGATCTGTGGCAGCGACTGTAATGCGAATGAAAAGAAGGAAGGGAGGAAGCAGAAGAAGAAGAAACAGCAGCCGGGTGCTAACAACGGCGCAGGCGCGCAAGTATACCTGCCCCCGCGCCTGCGACGCCGCTGAAGATCTGCGAGCGCCGCTCCTCCGGGAGCTCGCCCAGCCACTTCTGCATGTCGACAACTTTCAAGTCCTGCCTCTCGAGATCTTTAAAGCCCTGCCTCTCGAGCGCTTTCCTGCGAGTAGAAACGCGCCTTAGGGTTGAAACCCTCCTTCAGGATGAAACCCGTCTGAGTTGAAACGCAAATCCGTTGAAACGGCTGGATGCCTTGAGCGAGATGATCCCGCCCAATCCCCCTGTCTGACTTGTGGAACTGCGCGCTACTCCAATGCACTCCGCTAGTAGAATCACTTGGAACGGAAACTGCTTTTGAGGCGCCTCAAAAGCAATCCGTTGAAACGGCTGGATGTTTCGAACGAGATCTCGCCCAATCCTCCTATCTGACTTGTGGAACTAGGCGCTACTTCGATGCACTCTGGTAGTAGAATCACTTGAACGGAAACTGTTGGATCCGTTTAACGGAGATTTTCAACTAGGTCCGGATGGCAGACTTTTGAGTCGACTCAAAAGATGGCAGGCCGACCGCGCTTGCGAAATGACAGCTTGTCGCGGAACGACGTTCTGACGAGCCTCTTATATTGCAACAAATATTGCTGAAAATCGTCGCGCTGTGCGATTCCAACATCCACACAACGGTTCGAGTCTGGGGCGGAGAGGCAGGGCGGATTCGGCGTCGTTGAAATGACCTTACGGTCTTGAAAAAAAGGCGGACCTGGAAGCACTTTGTCGCGCATTTATAACGAGCCTTATTCTAGCGCGCGACGGCGAGAAGAAACAATCGGTCCGCCACTTATTTCACGGAACTTCGTTGGAGATGGCGCGGCGCGGCGCGGCGTGGCGTGGCGTGGCGGATTCACGGGACCTCACTTATCCGAGAATAGAGGATGCGCGAATGATGGATGCTCGAACACCGCGCTCGACAGACGGTCTACGTGACGTGGATCGTATCTATTCGAGGTCAGTGTTGGCTGTACTAGAGGAAAATGTAGCGAGGGAAATGGCTGCGGAAGAAGGCACGAACGAAAGGCTGAAGCACGAAGCTTCTATCAATGCTTCTTGGGAGATGAGCTGGGACGTGCTTTGCTAAGCTGGATAAAGCACCACGCCAGCACGGTTCTGTGGCATCCGCTCGTGACGTCACGGGACCGAAGTATATCGTTTGTCGTCGTTCAATAAATATATCGAACCACACTGAACCGTTTTGTGACATACTGGGGCAAATCCCGGCATGCTCTCCTGTTTCCATTCAATGTAGGGGAACCATGTCAACTGTCACACGAAACGAAATACTGTATTGAACCCTGGGCAGGAATCCCTTCTCAGGACGCGGTACATTGCGTCTGTTCTGCCGAAATCGACCGCGGACCGGTTCGTTTTTATGGGTTTCAAAAGGTTTGGATGTGGTACAAAACAATTTCAGCGCTGTAACATACGGTACTCGACGAGGTTCGGAGCGTGATCCTGCAAACCGGACGCAGTATTCCACGTCCTCAGCTCAGCAGCCTTTCTCAAGCATTTGCACCAGCAGAAGCCCGTTCTTTTCTTCCAAAATCCTGATGCCGCTGCCCGAGGGTTCCCCGTTCCGCGCGAGAGGGGGAGGTCAAGGGGAGCGGGGGAATTGTTCTGTTTCAAGGCCCGTTCGGGGTCCTACAACCAGCATCAGGTAGTTGTCAGTTTCCTCTCTCATGTGAACCTCCCGCCCTACATTGTGTCTTTGGAAGAAAATAACGGGCTTGACACTGGAAGTCAACTGGAAGCCTGCCACGACCTCAGGTGTTCCAAGTTCCCAGCAGAATGTACCAGGACCTAGGACGGCCATCCCCGCTATGGACTGAGCGCATGCGGAGGGGAGGTACTAGAGGCGCCTGGGCTAGCGGCGCGGGGGAGTCACAAGGGGAACGGAATTTCTGCTGGGCAGGGACGGGCACGGGGCAAGATCTGTACAATTCACGAAGCCAAATGAGCGGGCGAAACAGAGTTTTTTTGTTGATTCTACACATGATGTCCGCGAAATGCCTAGCCCAATTCTGTCCCAAAGTGCACCCTCCCGACGGATAATTCCATCCACATTCATCCAGCGCGACTCGTGAACAGTGTGTTCCTCTGTCAGGCTCTTGGTGTACCAGTGTTATATGACATCCATGCGTGACAACTCCAAACGAAGGGCAGTGAGGGGGGGCTTCTTGAGTGCTGATTCGCTCATACGTCGGATAATGGGAAGCTGACCTGGCAACAGCACATCACAGTGGGCCATGTGACGGAGGGAACGGCACCGATTGGCCGAAACGAAAAGCTAGAGCCGCTGACACTCACATGACTTAAATTGAGTCAACAGAGCATTCAAACCAAGTACATCGTTCCATGGCTCAAAACATACTACCTAAAGGAATTTAAAATGCCGAACTACATTTTCACACATGTTTGAAAGCCCCTAAGAATTGCTGGCCTTGCTCCGGCATTGCACTTGCACGCCCAGACAACCGAGCTCAACCAGCCACGATTTGCAAGGAATGGAAACCTTGACAACGATCCTTTGAGCCAAGCCCGGCCTCGTGGAAAAAGCGGCCGACAACTCCCCAGTCCTCCGCACTGGGTGCCAGAAGTCGATTTTGAATTCCACCCGAAATTTCCACACAGGTTCTTGCACCGAAACGGAGCCCGCTGCGTCCTTTTGCTTGCGCAATCGGACGCCGAAGTCAAGCAGTTACCGGCGAGCTGCATATTGGCACACGACGACAGGGGCTCCGCAGAAGCAGGCGAGAGCCCGAATTTGAGCTGCACCACACCGACAAAGTAGTTCCCTCGGAGGTCGAGGGACTCGAGCTGTGGTGGGAAGACGTTCGGAAGAGGGCCGGTGAGAAGGTTGTGGGCGAGGGAGAGGGCGGTGATAAGGGAGGGGAGGTGGGGGAGGTTGCCAGTGTGGAGATTGCGGGGAAGCATGAGACGGTCCACCGTGTCCGAGAATGCGGGTATGGGGCCGGTGAAAACGTTGTTGGCTAGATTCCTGGATGTTAAAGGGGGGAGGAGGGGCAGGGGGAGAGGGAGGGAGGGAATTGCGGAATGGAGCTGGAGCGGACTGGTCAAGGAGACAGGCAAACAGGTAATGGCATGTGGACTGCTTTTGAGTCGACTCAAAAGGAGAGAGGCAAACAGGTAACGGCATGTGGACTGAAGGGAGAAGGCTGGGAGAGGACTTGGGAAAGAGTCGGGAGAGTTGGGAGAGTTGGGAGAGCCAACCGCACCCGATGGGGAAGACACGGAAGGGCAGAACTGGAAGGAAAGCAGGGCTGGAAGGAAAGCAAGGCTGGAAGGAAAGCAGGGCTGGAAGGAAAGCAGGGCTGAGCAGTGATGGGACGGACGAGGATGCACGATTGGCAGGAGGATGGCCACTCACACATAGTCTAGATGGGGCAGGCTGGCAATGGGCTTGGGGATGCGCTGAGAGAGGAGGTTGTTGGGCATGGACCTGGGGGGAGGGGAGGGGAGGGGAGGGGAGGGGGGAGAGGGGGGGGGATGTGGAGGGATCCAGCATGTGAGGAATTTAAGGGATGCGCTGCGAGAGGAGGTTGTTGGGCATGGGCCTGGGGGAGGGGAGGGGAGGGGGGAGAGGGGGGGGAGGGGGGGGAGGGGGGGGGCGATGTGGAGGGATCCAGCATGTGAGGAATTGAAGGGATGCGCTGCGAGAGGAGGTTGTTGGGCATGGGCCTGGGGGGAGGGAGTGGGGCGGGATGATACGGAGGGTTCCAGCGTGTGAGCAATTCTTGCGATGCGCTGCGAGAGCAGATTGTTGGACATGGACCTGCAGGGAGGGGAGGGGGGGGGGGGGGAAGCGGGGGGGGTGATGTGGAGGGATCCAGCATGAGAGGAAGGGATACGCTGCGAGAAGAGGTTGTTGGGAAAGGACCTAAGTAAAGAGAAGTGGGGGGGTGGAGGGGGGGTGGGGGGGGAGAGGGGTGAGGAGCATGTGAGCGAAACAGAAGAAAATTACAGGATTAGATTAACATGGATTATATGCAAGATGACGAGCATGTGAGCAGAATATCATTTGAGGCGCCTCAAAATGACGAGCATGTGAGCGGAAAAGAAGAAAATAACAGGGTTGTATTCACATGGAGTACATGCAGGATTCTCACCAACCCACCCTTGGATCATATTTTAAAACCCCCAAACCAGTAACCCTACCTAAAGGAACATGAAAAAGAAAGAAAGAAATTGAACCAAGAAGAATTCGAACCAAAAAAAAAACTGAACTCCTTACAAGGAAAAGAGGTTGCCTAGAGCACCCCATGAAGTTGGGATGGGTCCGGAAAGGCGGTTAAAGCCCAGGTCCCTGGGGGGATCGGATAGAGATTAGGGTTGGGGAGGAAACATGAGAGGGAACATGGCGGTTAAAGCCCAGGTCCTTGGGGTGGTGGGATGGAGATTGGGGTTATGGAGAGGAATGAGGAGAGAACGCGAGGAAGAGCATGCATGACAGTTAAAGCCCAGACCACTGGGGGATTGGAAAATGAGGGTTGAGGAACGGGGTTTGGGGGTTGGGGAAGGGGACATGGGGTGGGGGGAAGCGCATTGCATGGGGTATGGTATGGTAAGGAGAAGAGGGGGAACGAGGAGATGAGATGAGAGGTTGCCTTTGAAAAAGAATTGAGAGGCGGGGGAGAAGCCTCCCCAAATCCTTGAGGTTTGGTCGAAGGGAGAAGACTGTAGGGGGGAGCTTTCGAGTGGGGGCTGCTTACCAGTACTGTAAGGCGGCGAGAGCGATGAGAGAGGAGAAGGGAGGCTTTTAGAGTGGGGGTTGCTCACAGGTATTGCAGGGCGATGAGGGCGGAGTAGGCAGGCGGGAGCCAGGCTCCCCGAATAACAGAGGTTCATACAGAGTGGCAGCTGCTCACAGGTATCGTTGGACGCCGAGAGCGTAGAGAGAGGAGTAGGGGGGAGCTTTTGGAGTGGCAGCTGCTTACAGGTATTGTAGGGCGACAAGAGAGGAGTAGGCAGGTGGGAGGGTCCCCCGGATATTGGACGTTTGACCGAAGGACGCCTTGGAGCCTAGCGTCCTGGGGGGAAGGGAAGGAGAGAAAAAACACAAGATGGGGGGGAGGAGAAAGTAGACGAGGAAAAGAATTGCTGAGACTGGTAGCCTCGAGAGAGGTTTGGCCAAAAGAATCCTCAGAGCCTGGGGCCCTGGGGGGGAAGGGGAGGAGAGGGAAAAACACAAGACGAGTCTATTTTTGAGGCGCCTCAAAAATAGACTCCTCACGCCTGGTGCCTAGTTTTGAGGCGCCTCAAAACTAGACTCCTATCAATAGACTCCTCACGCCTGGTGACCTGTGGGGAAGGGAAGGAGAGGAAAGAACACAAGACGGAGCCTGGTGTCCTGGTGGGAAGGGATGCGGAGGGGAGGCCAAAGGGGAGGGAGGAAGGGAGGGAGGAGAGGAGGGAGGAGAGGAGGGAAGAGAGGAGGAAGGAGAGGAGGGAGGAGAGGGGGGAGGAGAGGGGGAAGGAGAGGAGGGAGGAGAGGAGGGAGGAGAGGAGGGAGGAGAGGAGGGAGGAGAGGGGGGAGGAGAGGGGGGAGGAGAGGAGGGAGGAGAGGGGGGAGGAGAGGAGGAAGGAGAGGAGGGAGGAGAGGGGGGAGGAGAGGGGGGAGGAGAGGGGGAGGAGAGGGGGAAGGAGAGGAGGGAGGAGAGGAGGGAGGAGAGGAGGGAGGAGAGGAGGGAGGAGAGGGGGGAGGAGAGGGGGGAGGAGAGGGGGGAGGAGAGGAGGGAGGAGAGGGGGGAGGAGAGGAGGAAGGAGAGGAGGGAGGAGAGGGGGGAGGAGAGGGGGAGGAGAGGAGGGAGGAGAGGAGGGAGGAGAGGAGGGAGGAGAGGAGGGAGGAGAGGAGGGAAGAGAGGAAGGAGGAGAGGAGGGAGGAGAGGAGGGAGGAGAGGAGGGAGGAGAGGAGGGAGGAGAGGAGGGAGGAGAGGAGGGAGGAGAGGAGGGAGGAGAGGAGGGAAGAGAGGAAGGAGGAGAGGAGGGAGGAGAGGAGGGAGGAGAGGAGGGAGGGGAGGAGGGAGGAGGGGAGGATGGAGAGGAGGACAGTTGTTGAGAGCAGTAGATTTAAGAGCCACGTGAACGGGCTGGTATAGTGAAGTGTCCAACTGGAGTGTAGAGATCGACGTATGTGGCACACAAGTGCATGCGGTGTGAGAGAGTGAGAGTGTGAGGGGTTAGGAGAGATTGAGAGAGTGAGAGTGTGAGGGATTGAGAGAGTGAGAGAGTGAGAGATTGAGTTTTGCAAGGTCTAACTACCGGAATGCGGAGAGCAGCTCACAAGAGTATGAGGCGAGTGAGCGCACTGTATGCCACAGGCAGACTGCCAGAGAGCTCGCCCCCCCTGATGGAGCTGGAGGGAGAAGAGAGGGGTGGAGAGGCATGGAGAGGGATGGAGAGAGGCGATGAAACAGGGCACAGGCAGACTGCCAGAGAGCTCGCCCCCCCTGATGGAGCTGAAAGGGACAGTGAGTGAAGAGGGGTGAGGAGGAGTGAAGAGGAGTGAGGAAGGGTGTAAATAGGTTGAGGGGCAGACTGCCAGAGAGCTCGCCTACCTTGGTGGAGCTGACTGAAGGGAAGAGGGGTGAACAGGAGTGAACAGGAGTGAACAGGAGTGAACAGGAGTGAACAGGAGTGAACAGGAGTGAACAGGAGTGAACAGGAGTGGACAGGAGTGGACAGGAGTGAACAGGAGTGAACAGGAGTGAACAGGGGTGAACAGGAGAGAACAGGGGCATATCGCATGAGGCGCCAGGGATTTGAAGGAGCCTCAGTCTTGAGCCGCCACTCACAGGAGCGCAAGTCTGGTGAGCTGGCCTATGGCCGCCGGCAGCACAAGAGAGTGCCCTATGACTGGCGATTCCCAGCAGATCCCCTCCCTCCAAGATCACCACTCACAGGTGCGCGAGGTTGGTGAGCTGGCCTATGGCCGCCGGCAGCACATGAGAGTGCCCTATGACTGGCAATTCCCAGCAGATCCCCTCCCTCCAAGATCACCACTCACAGGTGCGCGAGGTTGGTGAGCTGGCCTATGGCCGCCGGCAGCACATGAGAGTGCCCTATGACTGGCGATTCCCAGCAGATCCCCTCCCTCCAAGATCACCACTCACAGGTGCGCGAGGTTGGTGAGCTGGCCTATGGCCGCCGGCAGCACATGAGAGTGCCCTATGACTGGCGATTCCCAGCAGATCCCCTCCCTCCAAGATCACCACTCACAGGTGCGCGAGGTTGGTGAGCTGGCCTATGGCCGCCGGCAGATCCCCTCCCAAGTATTTACCGTTCAGAGCCCTGGGCGTTGCAGAAAAGAGGGGGCGGAGGGGGGCAGGGGAGGGCGGAGGGGAGGAGAGAATGGGAGAGCGGAATAAGGTTCGGAGTGGGACAGGGCAACAATGCACAGTATGAGTAGAACCACTTGCATGTGAGGAAAACGAGCGGCATGCGAGTAAAACGAGCGGCATGCGAGTAAAACGAGCGGCATGCGAGTAAAACGAGCGGCATGTGAGTATGTAACTAGTGGTACATGCCTGTAACGAATGCCATGACTATAAAGAATGCCATGATTGTAACGAATGCCGTGACTATAACGAGTGCGAGTGACTCACAGCGCTGTGAGCAGCTGTAGGCTCTCCATGCCTGTGGGAATCTCCCCATTCATGTTAAGCTTGTCTAGTAGCCTGCATGGTGGGGGGGAATATAGGAATATGGGATACATAGGATATAAATAACATATACAAGGCCTTCAATAGTACATACATAAATGTATGTATACACACACAGACACACACCCCGCAGAGTTCACGAGGATATGAACATGAATTCACCGGGAGAATTTGGACATGCATGCATGCACGGGGAGATGGACATGGGAATTTGGATGTGTTGGGGTATCCTCGGTCCCATACAGGGATTGGAGCGATGTCTTTTGAGGCGCCTCAAAACACGGACATCGGAATTTGGATGTGTGGGGGTTTCCTAGGTCACATACAGGGATTGGAGCGATGTGAGCTGGGTGACGTCATCAGAGAGGGAGCCTCCAGTCCATGTTGACATGAATTGTCTGCACGGATGCACGGATGCATGGAAAAAAGCATAAACGTATGCATGGATGCATGGACGCATGGATGCATGGATGAATGGACGCATGGATGCATGGATGAATGGACGCATGGATGCATGGATGAATGGACGCATGGATGCATGGATGAATGGACGCATGGATGCATGGATGAATGGACGCATGGATGCATGGATGCATGGATGCATGGATGCATGGATGAATGGACGCATGGATGCATGGATGAATGGACGCATGGATGCATGGATGAATGGACGCATGGATGCATGGATGAATGGACGCATGGATGCATGGATGAATGGACGCATGGATGCATGGACGCATGGATGCATGGATGAATGGACGCATGGATGCATGGATGAATGGACGCATGGATGCATGGATGAATGGACGCATGGATGCATGGATGAATGGACGCATGGATGCATGGATGAATGGACGCATGGATGTATGGATGAATGGACGCATGGATGCATGGATGAATGGACGCATGGATGCATGGATGAATGGACGCATGGATGCATGGATGAATGGACGCATGGATGCATGGATGAATGGACGCATGGATGCATGGACGCATGGATGCATGGATGAATGGACGCATGGATGCATGGACGCATGGATGCATGGATGCATGGATGCATGGACGCATGGATGCATGGATGCATGTGTGGTATGCGTGTTGGGGATGGTGGGGAGCACAATGGTTAAAAGCTGTCGCCTGCATGCATGCATGGGTGCATGGGTGCATAAGTGCATGAGTGCATGGGTGCATGGGGGCACAGCACAGCGTCGGCGAGCACATCCAGCCATAGTCATAGATGACAGTTATCATATCATGCTATCGCACCCATCGCACCCATCGCACCCATCGCAACCATCGCAACCATCGCAACCATCGAAACCATCGAAACCATCGCAACCATAGCACACCCATGGCAGTAACCCTAACGCTGCAGTCGGCTTGCCTTCACCGTCGCACGCCCACCCATCCACCCACCCACCCACCCATCCACCCATCGCTGCACTCGCGCGTGCTCTTGGCAAAGTTCTAGAAACCTACCCGCGCCCAGCCACACGAGTATCAATACAGAAGTAACCCCTACATTGAAATTGGCCCTTGAATCGACCCAAAAGTCACCTTGGGACAGTCCTAAGAGTATCAATATATAAATATCATAATATAAAAATCACTGTAGAAGTAGCGCTTACATTGAAATCGGCTTGCCATCCGCGTCGCACACAACGCCCGTCCACCCATCGTTACACTCACGCGTGCCCGACCACCCGTAACTGCTCGGCACTCTCAGCGCCTTGCCCAGTGCTAATAGCGGGGGGACTGTGAACGAAAAGGGGAGAGAAGGGGCGGGGGAAGGGGGGGCGGCAGGAGAGGGGGGAGGGGAGTCTGAACGCCTAGTCCAGTGCTAATAGCGGGGGGATCGTGGGGGGGAAGGGCAAGAGGGAGGCAGGGGGGAGGGGGAGGGGGAGGGGGAGTCTGAGCGCCTTGCCTAGTGCGCATAGCAGGGGGGCTGCGCTGAAGGGAAGCGGGAACGGGGGAAGGAGGGGAGGCGCGAATGCAATGAGGGGGAAGCGGGGATGCGATTGGGGGGAAGGGCGCGGAGATGCGATAAAGGAGAGGCGGGGAGACAATAAGGGAAAGCTGATTTTTGAGTCGACTCGTTAAAAGTCACCTCGTTAAAAATCGACTCATTACACACGGGGAGACAATAAGGGAAAGCTGAGATGCAACGAAGAGGAGGGGTAGTACCCTTGCTCGAGTGCAGCGCAACTTATTTTAGCCGGAAAGCCTAAAAGGGGAAGCGGAGACGGGATGCGGGGGAGGCGGAGACGGGATGAAAGACCAGGGAGGAGGCTTACACATGCTCGAGTGGATCGCAACCGCTTTTGAGTCGACTCTAAAGCATACTCATTACACGCGGTTTCTTTTGAGTCGACTCAAAAGTCACCTCAAAAGCAGACTCATTACACGCACGCGGTTTTACACTGAAAGAACAGGTAGGCGGCTTACACATGCTCGAGTGGACCGCAACCGGCGCAGGCGCGACGGCAGCCGCCGCTGGAAGTCTCCCCAGCGCTGCGACCAGCGCGATTGACGCCGCGAGTAGCGCAATCCGTAAAGAGGCGAAGGTGCGAGAGGCCATGGTGGTGTTAAGTCGAGAAACTTGCGCGTCGGATCGACGAGGTCCAAATCTAGTAGCAAAATGACGTAAGGGGTCTGAAGCCTGGCAAGCACGTCGCGTTGGCCGGCAGCGATGGGGTGATACCGCTGCTGATGTGGCTTCTGACGTGGATTCTGACGTGGTTGCTGATGTGGCTTCTGACGTGGCTGATGACGTGGCTGACGACGTGACGGAGCTGCTCGGATTCTGTCGCGTGTGAAGGCGATCAGTGGTCATTTCGAGTTAGCGCCGCGTTCTCAGTTTGAGGAAGTATAGCTTCAACAAGAGGGACTATAACGCGTACTATGTGCAGCGTAGCGACAACGTTTCGTCGAAGTGATTACGTTCTCGGTAGTAAGGGGATGGAGAACTATCCTTGTGGCGTCAGACGCCAACTGAGCGAATTTTGGGATGTATACGTGACGTCAGGAATACACGCGGATCGCAAGCTCTAAGAGTATGGATGGCACGTGGCTCGAGCTCGAGCGTACTACTTTAGTGTGAAGACTTTCAGGGCTCTTATTTCGACAAATTGTGCTCTCGTGCTGGAAACGAAACCCTCTAACGCTATCAGCTATTTCGCGCCACGACGAAAGGCCCCTCTTAATCGACTCCAGTCTACGAGTTTCTCCGTATTAGTGGGCGCCACCAACTGATTGTCGTGTGTGTTCGGTACCGCGCACAGCGGAAAGTAAAAAGAACGCGTACTGGGGAGGGTGTAAAGAGCTCTGGCAATAAATCAGGAGCACGGAAGGAGAGCAGAATGTGTGCGTATATATACAGTAGTGGACAAGCAAGAACCACAGGCACTATCGGCAAGACCATTCGGGGTAAACCCGTTCGAGGTAATCCACGTGTACCGTACCTGTGAAGAAGGACCCCCACGGATTGGGATTGGTCTAAAGAGTCCTCGTTTCATTGTAGGTAAGATCGTGTTTAGGGCATGTCCTAAGCGTTGCGGTTGAGTGAGGTGGATTGCAATTTGAAAGGATCAAATAACTACGTAAAACGGTTCGGTGAGATATGGGTCAGAAACGAACGCTGCATGTGCCTTCGGTTCGGTGGCTGCCTTCTGTGGGGTCGCGTGAGATTCCAAGGTGAGGAGGACGTGTCCCCCCGTATGTTTCCAGCTCAATACCCTGCCCAAACGTTTTAGGCCGTTTTTAAAACCTATTGAGCCTTCCGAATGGTGCCTGGCACTTCGGACATTTTCGAACACCGCTGGCAACTGAGCTGTGGATGGGGGGTGATGAGTAAAGAACGGGCCGCTAGCAAAAACCTTTCAGCTGCCGAAACAGATGGCGACACGATAACAACTCCGGCTTTGCATTTTGCAAGGACCGAAGACTGTGCAGGAGGAGAGAGAACGAGTATTTTTTGATCGGTTCGAGTCGGTGCGGCAAGGCGATACCGAGTCGCAGGACTCATGGGGAGAACGTCCTAGTGTTGTTTGCCAGGGATTCCGCGTTTTGAAACCTTCCACCTGACTCTCGTTTTTGTCTCTTGTGTTTGTCGTCATTCGATTCGATCCCCTCTTCCTCCTTGCTGACTGTCAATCTGGCACGTCCGCGCTAGTTTTTCTGCGCCAGTCCCGCGCAATCTCAACTGCCCAAGTCACGGACATCGAAGTGTGTTCCTCCGACTGTTTATGGGGTGCTGCTGGTCTTCCACCTAGCGTTCTGTACACCACCGAAAGTGACCGACCCTAGGCCGCCGCCCCACCCCACTCCAGGCCTCTCGCTAAGCCCCAGGGTATTCCGGAAGGGAACATAATCGCCTCAGGATAACCCGTTAACAGACGGAATTCCTCCGGGAAATCCCGTTACCAAAAGGAATCGGCCGCTACAAACTCGGCTAGCAAGGAATCAAAGGGGGGGAGGGGGGTGTGGGAGGGTGGAATATCGCTGCCCCCTACAGATTGCCCTACTACAAGTATAGCCTTTACGGATTTAAAAAAAGGGACTCGCTAGGCTAAGGAATCTCGCGAAACCGTTTCAGTAAGTTGGACGGATTCGGGAAAAAACCGCACTAGTAAAAAAACAGAATCGTTGAAAACGCTACTTCTAATTTCCCATCAATAAGGGTAAATACCCTGATCGGCCTGCTCCACTCCACCTCTGGCTGGCCTCATCCTTCCTGCCGATTGCCCCGACATTTTCATTTCGTCGGCCCGTCGGCGCTGCCCTGCAGCTCGGACGATTTTCTCTCACGAAAGAGGACAAGAAGTGATGTTGCACACGTCGTTGGACTGAAGTGAAAACGGAAAGCAAACCAGTGACAGCCATCCACGTGGCTCAATCAAACCTACATGCCAGCCCGTTGATCCACTTGCGCAGGGTGTCCATTAGTGCGAGCGAGAGGGTGTGTGTGTGTGTGTGTGTGTGTGTGTGTTGTGTACTGTAACACTGGGAGACAACGAGACCGCTGGCGCCAACTTTGCTCGAATTTCTGGTTACATCATCCGACAACTCACGAACATTTCTCGTAACCATGAGGAACTTTCCTCTCTGATCAGCAGAGATAGAAAAACGTCCGTAACAAAGTAGCTTTCCCCAATCAATGTCTCGAGAATGCCAATAACGGTGATCTGACATAATTCTGTAGCCTTGCTCTCACGAGTAGCTCCACTGGACGAGCCGCGCCATCCAGAACAGAACCTTCGTCATTCCGCGAAGTCTCATAGATCTGTCCAAGTTTTGCATACAAGACGTCGAGCTTTAGCTTGTCAGTCGTCTCCTACTTGCTCGTGAGTGGTCGAGGCGACGAAGAAGTTTCGCAGCAGCCTGCTGAGAAAAGGGGAAGTGTCGCCGGAGAAATTCAGTAACAGCACAGCAGAAAGCAGAAACCGCTTATATTGAGGACAGTACCGCCATGGATCTTCACACGGCCGCGCGGAGCGGCGATTTGGAGGCGGCTCGGCGGCTGATAGTGGTGGAGGGCGTGGACGTCAACGCTCGCGATAAACTGAACCGCACCCCGTAAGGACCGATTAAACCTCCTGATCCGTCCGTGACTAGTAACTACCTCCTGGTTCTCCGCGTTTCTCTTAAACCTAATTCCCATGATTCTCAAGGTCTGTCCTAATTCCGGCCGGAAAGCTGCACCCCAACCTCCATCATTCTGCTCTCCCCCCCCCCCCCCCTCCCCTCTTTCCCCAACCTTCCCCCTCCCCCACCCCCTCCCCATTTCCCAACTCCCCCATCCCCCCTCCCCCCCCTCCCCGCCCCCCCCACCCCACTCCCCCCCCCCTGCCCCCTCGCGTTACACTGGCAAGCAGTCTCCATCTGGCAGCCTGGGCGGGCCATGCTGACGTCATAACCTTACTTTGTGCCAGCAAGGCGGCAGTCAACGCCGCAGCAGCTGACGACACGTCAGCACTCCACTTCGCGGCCCAAAAGGGCCACGTCAGCGCCACGCGTGCGCTGCTGTCCGAAGGAGCGAAAGCCAATGCTGCCACTAGAAAGGGGATGACTGCGCTGCACTTTGCAGCTTCCAAGAACTTTCCGGAAGTAGTTAGGGTACTAGCAAGGAAGGGAGGTACGAACCTGCTAGGTATGCGGACTAAAAGTGGGGAGAAAGCAACGGATCTAGCTAAGACCGAGGAGATTAAGAGACTATTGGAAGAGCTAGAGACGGAATTGGCTAGCAGCAGCAGTGGCAAGGGCAAGGAGAGAGGGAAGAAAGCAGGGAGAGGGGATGGAGATATAGCAGAGAAAGCAGAGGATGACAGAAAAGAGGCACAAAGAGGGGAGGGTGGGGAAGGGGAGGAAGGACAACAGGAGGGAGGGGTTGAGAGGAGTGCAGAGGTTCGAGCGGAGCAGGAGGGGCGAACAGAGAGTGCAGTTGCAACTGCTGGGGCAGAAGAGGGGGAACGAGATGGTGAAGGGAAGGAGAGGGCAAGTAGGAGACAGGAGGAAGGGGAGTGGGGTGGTCAGGGGAAGGGAAAGGGGCAGGGGGAGGAGGGGGGGGACGGCGGAGGAGCAGACAAGGGAGGGAAGAGGAAGGAAGGCGGATCTGAGCAGCAGCAGGAGATTGGGCCGGCAAAGAAGCCCAAGATTGGATTGTCGCATTTGAGTGCTGATGTGGACGATGCATGGGAGGAGGAAGAGGGCTGACTGACTACCGTCTGTCAAGACTCATTGTGGGAGACTGACATAATAGGCAGGTTCTTCTGATTGACATCCGCTCTTTGCTGCTACGGTATACCTAGCACTACAGTAAATGATTTTCGTTTAGTATTGCACTGGCTCATACAAAAGAATGGAATTAAATAGAAGTACCCTTACAATTCATACCCCATAGTAACAAACCAACCCCGTCAATCACAGAAGGTTGCCCTTAGTTCAAGGGCTGTGCGTCTAAAAGCTAGCCTGTAAGCAACCACTAAAGCCCCACCACACAGTTAGCAGCACCCGGCTCGCCTGTCACACACATAGCAAAGGCACCACCACCACGAGGAAGCAATGCATGCTCCCCAACCCCAAGGCATACACGGCGACTATCGAGTCTCGAGCTGAGAAGCAAGCAGTTTATGACCCCCAAGGCAAATCACCATAACGTAGGACCACCCTAAGACCCCAAGAAAGACACGAGCGAGTGAAGCACTTCACCACTGCCGCCTCTTCTCTGCTCCTCCCCCACCCCCTCTTGCCGCTGTTGCTCCCTCTCCTCCCTCGCTTCCTCCTGATCTTGCATTAACTCTGCTTCTTCCGCCGTCTCAAACTCAACTTCCAAGTCGATCCTAGCCGGCCCTCTCACACTCCTCGCTCCAGCCTCCTCTTCCTCCTCCGTCCTCCCCTGAAGCATCTCCACCCCCTCCCTCACCGCCCCTGCCACCTCCAGGCCCATTCGCGCCGGACCAGACACCAACCCTAGCATCCCCCCGCCTCTCACCGAGCCTAGCTGCTCCGCCACCGAGGCTGCGTGCGCACTCAACGAGGTGCTTTTCGTGGTGGTTCGGCTGGCGGCGGCGTCAGTCTTGGGTGTACACAGGACTACCTCTTTCCGGGCATTATAAGTGGGTGTGTACCCGCTGAGGCAGAAGCACCCGACGCCGCGGCAGGAGTAGTAATACGGGTAGCAGCGGGCGAATTTCGGGCAGCCGCCGTTGACCCGCCCCGGGGCAACGCACGGCCAGGATCGCTTCTGCTTGCACGTACACGCGTCAACTCTATTCGGTACAATCACAGCGTTAGTGTCACACGCGCAGGACCAGGAGGGGGGGAGGGACCCAGGAGCGAGCCTCGGGCGTTTCACAGTGGAAGTGGAAGGGGAGGAAAGAAGAAGAGAGGTGGCGACAGTAGTGGTGGTGGTGGGGATCGAGGGGTAGCAAGTGCCGTACCCCTGGCACTGGCTCTTCCCCCGGACCAGCCGATCCCAAACGACCGTGCCGCATGCGCTCTTGCACTGCGTGGCGTTGCGCTGCACCTCAGGTGCAGTGCACTTGGACGATTCCGAGAAGCAGTTCTTGGACAGGGATGCACCCAGATCGACGCATTTCACTGGGAATGCGTAGAACAGGCTGCTGCCGACAAACACGTTGGCTACTCCGGTGAAATAGTTGTCGGAGAGGTCGAGGTAAGTGAGGTTTAGGGGGAAGAAGAGCGGGAGGTTGCCGGTGAAATAGTTGGTGTTGAGCGCGAGGGAGGTGAGGAGGGGCGGGAGGGAGGAGGGGAGGGGGCCGGAGAGAAGGTTCTTGGAGAGAGTGAGGGAGTCGAGCTCGGAGGAGAAGTCGGGGAGGGGGCCTGTGAGGAGGTTGTTGGACAGATCACTGCAGGGGGGACAGAGGGTGGGCGGGGGGGGAGGGGGGGGGGGTGGGGGCGGATTGGGAGGAAAGAGAGCTTAGGGTGAGGGGAGACGACGGGCAGAAAGGTTGTTGGGATGGTCCTTGCAGGAGGAGACGGGAGGCGGGGGGAGGAGGAATCAGAAATAGGAAAACAGCGAGGAGAGAATGGGCGACGGGGAAAGGGAGTGTGGGGCCGAAGGGGAAGGGGGAAAAGGGGGGAAAGGGGGGAAAGGGGGGGAAGGGGGGAAGGGGGGAAGGGGGGGAAGGGGGGGAAGGGGGGGAAGGGGGGGAAGGGGGGGAAGGGGGGGAAGGGGGGGAAGGGGGGGAAGGGGGGGAAGGGGGGAAGGGGGGGAGGGGGGGGAGGGGGGAAGGAGGGGAAGGGGGGGAAGGGGGGGAAGGGGGGGAAGGGGGGAAGGGGGGGAAGGGGGGGAAGGGGGGGAAGGGGGGGAAGGGGGGGAAGGGGGGGAAGGGGGGGAAGGGGGGAAGGGGGGGAAGGGGGGGAGGGGGGTAGCACGTACACTTCGAAGAGGTGCGGGAGGGCAGCGATCTCAGGTGGGATGACGTCGGAGAGGGTGTTGCTCGGCGCGGCTCTGGTAGGGGCGACACGGGAGACACACATTAAAGAGAGAAGGGGGGGGAGGAACCAACTATTTCACTGGAGGCGGAGGGGGGAGGGGAGGGAGAGAGCGGGAGGAAGGAGACATGTACTTGGAGCGAGTGTGCTTGAAACGGGTGCGCTTGAGGCGAGAGTGCTTACAGGTAGAAGAGGTTGGTGAGCTGGCTGAGGCAGAGAGGCAGCGAGCCCTGCAGCCGGTTAAAGCCCAGGTTGCTGCAGGTATGAAAACGGGAGGGTAGCCGAGGGCGACAGGAAGGAGGGAGGGAGGGGGGGAGGGGCAGAGGAGGCAGCAGGGCGGAAGGGGAGGAAGGGGCGGAAGGGGCGGAAGGAGGGGAAGGGGCGGACGGGCAGAGGGGGGCAAGGGGGCACGGGGGAGGAGAGAGAGCGGAGACGCAGAGTGAGGGGGGGACATAAACGAGGAGCACAGGAGAGGGTAGCGCGAAGGAACGGTAACGAAGTGCGGGAGGGGGAGGGGCGGGTAGCAGACAGCGAACACCGGAACAAAGCCAGCCAGTAAGCCTCTCCTTTGACCCCCCTTTAACTACCCGCCCCTCCCCTTCCTCTCCGTGCCCTCTCTTTCCCCTCGCTACCTGACTTTTGAGGCGCCTCAAAAGTCGTCTTTTGAGGCACCTCAAAAGCCCTCCCCTTCCCCTCCGTGCCCTCTCTTCCCCCTCGCTACCTGACCTTGAGGCGCCTCAAAAGCCCTTCCCTTCCCCTCCGTGCTCTCTCTTTCCCCTCGCTACCTGACGCCCCATTCTGCCCCCACACTTCCCTCCACTTGCGCCTTACCCCCCCTTTCCCCCATTCCCCGCATCCTGCCCCCACGTACAGGATCTCGAGCGGCGCGATGCCGCAGAGCGCCTCGGAAATGCCGCTGCCGATGGCAGAGAACGGCACTCCCTCCCCCCTCTCGCCACCTGCCATCCCCCCCACCTCCCCCGCCGACCTCCCCCAACCGCCCCCAACCCCCACGCACACTTCCCAGACCGCCACCCTCCCCGCCATCTTCCCCCAACGTACAGGTACTCGAGCGGCGCGATGTCGCAGAGCGCCTCAGGGATGCCGCCACTGACGGCGGAGAAGCGGTTGAACGCCGCGGCGGAGCCGATGCTCAGCTGCTGCAGGCGCGACAGCTGCGCGAGGGATGCGGGGATCTGCCCGTTTAAGGACCCGCCGGAGATGGACCTGGGGGGGGGGGGGAGGAGTGTGGGGGAGGGGGGAAGAGGGGGGGGAGGTCAAAGGGGGAAGCGGAATGAGGAAAGGCACGGCGGAGCCAATGCTAGGCTGCTGCAGGCGCGACTGCTGCGCGAGGGATGCGGGGATCTGCCCGTTTAGGGATCCGCCGGAGATGGACCTGGGGGGAGGGTGGTGGGAGAGTGGTTGGAAAACGGGGGAGGAGGAAGGCCGCGGCGAAGCCCGCGCTGAGGTGCTGCTGGAGGGAGAGCTGCCCGAGGGACGGGGGGAATCTGCGCACTCAATTATCCCCTGGGGATGGACCTGCGGGGGGACGCGCGGAACTGGGAGAACGCGGGGAATGCGGGGAAGCAGAGTGGTGAGGACGGGGGGGAGGCGGTTTAACGCTGAAGCGGAGCGGATGCAGGCGCGAGGGGGCCAAGGCAGAGGGGCGACGGGCCAAGGCAGAGGGGTGACGGGCCAAGGCAGAGGGGCGACAGGGAGGCACAACGAGCGACATACAGGAGCGCGAGGTTGGTAAGAGAGCTGATACTATCGGGGATGGGTCCCGAAAGGGCGAGTCCGTTTAACGCGCTGCAAAGGACAAAGGACGAGAGGAGGAAAGACGGAAGCGTTAAAAAGGGAGAGTGAGTGAGAGCAGACAGGGAAATGAAGAAGCGTAACAAAGCTTCGTTATAAGCAAACAGCACGGTGTGGCAAGACGACGGGAAAGTCACTGGAGCGTGATTCAAACGAGGGTGCTTACAGCGCGGTGAGGGTCGCCAGGCGGCCGACTTCAGTAGGGATGGTGCCAGTCATGTCCAGGTTGTTGAGCAACCTAGTACAAGCACACCGAGTAGAAGCACGGCGATTAGAAGCACACCGATTAAAAGCACACCGATTAAAAGCACATGGATTAGAAGAACGCCGAGTAGAAGCGCACCAAATAAAAGCATGTCTATCACGAGAAACACCGTCGGCGTTAGAGAACCTAGAATACGCGGCTTCCCAGGATTTTCAAACACTCTCGACGAGAATCCCCGAAGAGCGGACCGCAGCCCCTCACTCACAAGGATTGCAGGCGGCTAAGGGTGCCGACGGACGTGTGGAGAGACCCGCCGGTCCACGTGGGCTTGTTGAACGATCTGCGGCATCAGGGGGAGTGGGGGCGATGGCGACAATGGCGGAAGATACGAGGATGTCCTACACCGAAACCGAGTACCATACACTGAAACCGAGTAGCACCGCTGACGCAAGACCAACGCGTTAATCGGCACGTGGTGATGGTGTAGGGTAACACAGTAACAGTCGTACATGGAAACATGGTGACCGGTAGCGTCGCAGGTGTCTCCGAGCCATCCACTCGCGGAGTTGCATTGCCGCGATGTCGTCCAGCCTAGACAAAAAACTAGACCGTCACAGTGCAACAGACTCTACATGCTACTGAGGTAACACCGTAACGCGCCAGTCATACATGGAAACTGGGTGGCCGTCAGCGTCGCAGGTGACTCCGAGCCATCCAGTCGCGGAGTTACATTGCCACGACGCCGACCAGGCTCGAGCACCGTAGACAAACGAACTAGAGACACCGTAACGGTTCAGCAGGCTCTACAGGCTATTGGAGTAACACCGTAACAGTCAGTCGTACATGGAAATAGGGTGCCCGTCAGCGTCGCACGTGACTCCTAGCCATCCGGTCGCGGAGTTGCATTGCCGCGATGTCACCCAGCCGAACGTCGCGGGCACTCTAAGACTCGTCGCTAGACTCGCCATCGCTGGCGCTGGACGGGAAAGGAAAGGGGGGAGAGAGGGTGGACGGGGGGAGGGGGAGGGGGAGGGGGAGGGGGAGGGGGGGATGCAGCGGGAGCGATCAACGAGCGGAAGGAAAACTTGAAACGCATGAAACACCAACGGAAGCCAGATCACGGGCGAATGTTCAGGCGGTACTAAGACGGATAAAACATCAACGGTGACGCTTCTCGGGTCCCACCTACCCCCTCCCTTCCTACCAGAGGCGGCTCGAGCAAGCGAGTTAAGGGAATGAGAGCCGGCATTAACGAGCGCTTCGGCAGTTAGACTGACAGATGGCGTACTTATTTCAGCATTTAGGGTCACCGGGTTGGCTGAAGACGATGCGACGAGAGCCATGACGACGCAGAGCGAGAAGAGCACTCTGGGCTGCGATGATCTCGAAGGCCGTCTATTTCTATCCATAGCTGGACTGAGGTTCACGCCTCTATACAGCTGGCTTCGGCAAACCACGTGCCTCGTTCTGATTGGACAAGGTAGTGCCTGCGGTACACGGGCGAAACTGGACGGCGGGAAAGCCTGACAGAGAACTACGCAACTAGGAACTGGTCCTGGTGATACTACATCGAGCTGCAAAAATGTCTATGTCGACAAATCGCGCCGCCTGTCTGAAGTTGATTACGGGAATAACTAGAAGGTTGATGTACGGAGTGAAGTTCCACGGAGCTCACACACTCAGCGTAGCAGATTCAGAAAATTAGGCAGGAGTAGCAAGAACGTGCCGTCGAAGTACTCTACTGTACACTTTGTCCGACCCTGGAAAAGAGGGGATCCTCCCTTCATGCCCCAGTGCCCCCTCCCTCCCCCCCCCCCCCCCCCCCTCCCACCCCCCACCCACACTACCACCAACCACGCATGGTCCATGACATGACCTGACCTCCCTCTCCCCGCAAACACCAGCCAACCCTGGAGAATCACATTGCTTCCTCGTCAAGAGATGCCAAATGGCCATAAACTGCACACGACAGAACAGAACAGGCCAGCTCAGGTAGATTCAAGGGAGAAGACTCAGAGGAGACTGATGATGAGAGGAAGCTAAAAACAACAAAACCAGAAGCCTAGGGTTTCGCCCAAACATTCCCCCGCTCCGCTCCCCGCTGTCCGCTCTTTAGCTCCCCCGCGCCCATTCGCCAGTCCATTTAGGGCGGCGGGGAGGAACTCGGGTCCGGGGCGGGGGAGGGCTGACGGGGAAACGGGGTGAAAGTCCAGGCGGAGATTGGTGGGGGGGGGACTCTGGGGGGAGGCTTGCGGCAGAATCCCTGCGCACGAACCGACGGACGGGCGGATGGAGCAAATGAGCGACGGATGTTGTCTGGATGGACAGTCGGGCGGACATCCTTCGTCGGGGGGGATTCGTTCCAGGGTGAGGGGGAGGGAATGCGGGAACGACAAACTTTCCACTCGTGGGATGTCGAATTGTGTTCGCTGTGGTTGGCTAAGAAATTCGACGGGCAGGAATGAACGCATGGCTACAGTTCGGTAAAACTTACTCCTTCCCGGTCCAGGCCAAACCAGCCAGATCAAGCAGACCACCCACCACACAGGTGGGGGAGGGAGCGCACTTGCTTCAAGACTGACGACTAGTCAAACTTTTGCTCTCGCCTTTGTGCTGACCAGCAAGGACGAGTGACCGCCCTAGCATGGGAAAACTGTGCTGTCTCCTCCCTTTCCCTCCCCTTCCCCGCTACCTCCCCCGCCAACACGCCCCCACCGACCCCCCCCCTCCTTCCCCTGGGAACAGTCGCAGCAGGAATAATCACAGAAGTTGGTGAGTTGAGTTGGCTTTGTCAGAAACACCTGAAAATGCCAAATGGATAGCGCCTCCACAGTGCAGAGACGTTGTTCTTCACTATTAACTTCTCCGCATCTAGTGAAAACATTGCAACGATGGAGGCATGACCACCTTTCAAGCATTTCACAATGCCATGCAAACTACTACCAGCAATGGAACTATTAAGTCACAGTTCATTACACATAGAGCATAAATCTATTCTATAATTTCGTTGCACCGCAATAATGCAATCATCAGTTCTGATTCAGCATCACATCATATTGACTCGACTAACGGTTGCATTGCATTCATCTAAACATAGCATGCCAGCATTACACTACATTCATATATTTTTCTCCGAAAGCAAATTATGGTTGGAATAGATATATGTAATGGGCAAACAAATGCGAGCACGAAAAGTTTCAGTCTGTAGAGAGATACATTTACGCACACTTAGGTATTTGAGTGTGTAAGGAAATTCCCTTTTCCTTACTGGGCTCGACTACAGCGCGTACGCCATCGTCTTTCGGAAGTCCAGGCTCAGCCAAATTCTTCGGTCCCGAACCACTGCGCGAAACCAAACCTAGACGCGTGGCGCTTCCAAAGCTTTCGCCAACTAGACCACCCCAACCTGTTCGCGTGGTTCTCGGCTAGCCCTGTTCGTGCCTATAAATGCCTAGGCCCTCATTTGTCTCGACACTCTTGAATCATGACTCCTGTATTACACAACATGTTAGTACTCTTATTAATTCATAACAGCTGGTATCAGAGCCCCGTTCCTGCCCGCTTAAACTTCCTTAGAGTAGTATGTTTATATCGGGAGAGGACCTGACAGAATAGGGGGTTGGCATGTGGTTGGTAGGTGAGCTCGTTAAAGCTCCTCCAACTAAAAGGGTGTGCACCCTCAGATCTGTCAGGTAAAATTTCCAGCATGCCTACCACGCCGGAAACCTCTGCCCGTCATAGTATTAGGAACGTGACTCAGGAGGAGTTTGACGAGTTGCAAGCTAGGGCGGCTACGGTGACGACATTGCAGGCCCAGCTTTAACAACTCGCCGAAAAGTTTGAGACGCTGGGAAGCAAAGTGCAGATGCTGCGCAACGAAAACCCGTCGCTTCGCCTGACGCGGAGTGAAACGCGTCAGAGAAGGCCTGTTACCTGAGACGAAGATGCTGCGAGCGAAGCGAGGGCGTTCGCGACACCTGAAGTAGTTGAAGAAGTCCACAGCGAGTCGCGTGCGGCCATTAAAATCAAACATTCGATGCCACCGCCGTTCAACTCGACCGACAGAACGATTACAGTTAGCGGTTGGCTGTTCGCCATGGAAATCTTCTCCACAGCAGTAAGTATTAATGACAACTCTTCAAGTATCAACTTGGCTGTGTCGCTGCTGCGGGGACCGGCACTCGACTCGTGGCACATGCATCTGGACGAGGGATCAACGAGAATCAACGAGCAGAGAATCAACGAGCAGTAGATGGGGAGCACGGTTCATCAACGGCTCAGGCAGAACCGATCTTTGGGTCGGCCACGATCCGCACGTGGAAAGCGTAGGGCGAAGCATTGAAGAGCAGATTCCAGCTCATATCCATGCGCGAAAACGCTCGCACAAGGCTTCGGATATGGAAATAGTTGGGCTCTATCCAAGAATACGCGGCTTCGTTCTTGGCGTTATGCGATCAAATCAGAGGGCTTAGCGAAGACGAGAGGATCGATCGCTATATGGGTGGTCACAAGCCAGAGATTCAGCAATAGATCGTGCTGCGAGCCCGGGCATCATTCAACGAAATTGTCCGAATCGCGGATGCGCTGGACGCAAGGCGTGGACTCGCGAGGACGGGTTTCCGGGAGGGAAATCGTTTTCAAGGCCAGCCCCAACACACATCAATCAACGGCATGGATGTGTTTGCAGCCCGAGTATTTTCTGGAAGTTGCTTCCACTGCAACCAGCCGAGCCACATGGTGAGGGACTGCCCGAAGCTGAAGAAGAACTTAGGTAACGACGGGAAGCAGTCGGAAAATGGAGACAGTCAGTAGCTAATGGGCCGCCTACTGAATTGACTGCGCCCAAACGCCAACACTCCCACCAGGTTATAGTGCCGATTTGGGCTATCAACCCTTCCTGGTTAAATAAGGGGATTCAACCGGTTGATCACCCTATGCTGGTTGAAGGAAGAGTTGGCGACACCCGCATAAAAATATTTGTTAATGGTGGGGCAAGCCACAGTTTGATGGATGTGACAAAAGCGAAGAAACATCGATTGCAGCTGGAACGCTGCATGCCCGAAATGGACGCGAGGTTGGTTGACGGCACCCCACTAGCGATTTGGGAGTGCGTGCCTCACGTGCGAGTCACATGTGGCGAAAATTTCAACTGCACGACGAAGATGCTGGTGACAACTTTGGACGGGTGCGACATGCTGCTGGGATGCGATTGGTTGCGAGAATACAACCCGAGCATCGACTCGCGGACGGGCGATTGTCGCATGAAGTGGAGTGTCGAGTAGCGAGGACTACCCAAGTGGAGCAGTCAAGACTCAACCACATCGACGGTCAGCACAGTGACTATCAAGCGAGCGATGATTCGAGAAGCGGAACTGTATGCCATTCGATGGATCACATCAATGGCTGTCGATACGCCGACCGACAACGACAAACTCTACGCAGCTGTACCGGATGATTTGGCAACAGTGATTCGGAAGCACGCCGGCATTTTATCAGACGACCTACCGGCGGGCTTGCCACCTCAGCGGCCGCATGACCACAAAATCGAGCTCGAGCCCGGCGCGCAGCCTATTGTTCGACCCCGATGGCGGCTGACTAAGCTAGAGTTAGATAAACTTCGACGCCATCTGGACTACCAGCTCGAGAAAGGTTTCGTCCGCCCCAGCACATCACCATTTGCAGCCCTGATCCTGTTCACCCTGAAGAAAGATGGCGGTCTACGTATGTGTATCGACTACCGCGCCTTGAATCAGGTTACCATCAAATCTCGCTACCCCATCCCACGTGTCGACGATCTCATCGACCAACTTCGTGGGGCCAGATTTTTCTTGAAGATTGACATGCGAGGCGGTTACCACCAACTTCACGTGCACGAAGTTGACTGCTACAAGACGGCGTTTTGGACATGGTACGGGAGTTACGAGTACACGGTCATGCCCTTTGGCTTAACAAACGGCCCTTCGACATTCTAGTTGACCATGAACGAGATTTTCGGCCACTGCTGGATAAGTGCGTTATCGTGTACCTCGACGGCATCCTAGTCTACAGAACAATACGGGAGCAGCATTTGAAGGATTTGGAAGCAGTTCTCTATATCCTGCAGCAGAACCAACTCATCACCGAGGGTTCTAAGTGCGATTTTCTCAAACACAAACTGGAGTTTTTGGGCCACGTGATTTCCATCGACGCTGCTAAAATTGACCCTAACAAAATTGTGAGAATCCAAGACTGGAAGCCGCCGGCTAATCTACCTGAACTTCAGAGTTTTCTGGGGTTTGTTAATTACGTCCGTCGCTTCATTCCGAACGTGGCGATGGTAACTTCCCCTCTCATGGATCTCCTGAAGAAGGGCACGTTTTTTTGAGTGGGGGGGGGAGAGCAGCAGGCTGCATTTGAAAAGCTCAAACTTTTCCTGACTATACCGCCGGTTCTTCGGATTGCAGAGCCTCACCGTTTGTTCCAGCTCATCATCGACGCTAGCAATCTGGCCGTTGGCGTTGTCTTGTTACAAGACTTCAGCGAAGGCCTACAACCGATCGCCTACGAGTCACGAAAGCTGAACCCGGCCGAGCTAAATTATCCTGTCCACGACAAGGAGTTACTCGCAATCGTTCATGTTTTCAAGGTCTGGCGTTGCTACCTGACGAGCGCTGACGTGACAGTCCGAACAGACCACAAGTCACTACAGTTCATCCGCGCCCAACCGACACTGAATCCCCAACAGATTCGCTGGCTCGACTACCTCCAGTCAAACTTCCACTACAGAGTCACCTACAAGCGAGGGGTTAGCAACATCGCTGACGCACTGGCCCGCCCCTTGGTCCACACCACCACAGTCCTAATTACCCAAGCTAATCCGCTGCTAACTAGCCTATTCATGCACGGATACAGTATTGACCCATTCTTCACTACTAACAGCCATCCCAAACTGACGGTCAAGTAAGGGGCCTACTATCTAAAATCCGTTACCAATTGGATTTGGGTTCCCGCATACCGTACACTATGGGAAATACTGATCCAGGAGGCACAAGACTCGAATTTATCGGGTCACTACGGCATCAATAAAACCGCAAAATTATTGAGCCGTAATTATTACAGGCCCGATCTGCCACCAGACGTGTAGCAGTACGTCACCTCCTGCGCCAGTAAGTCTTCCTGGCTTCTACCTGCTGGATTGCTGCAGCCACTCGAGCCACCCAGCCGACCCTGGCAATGAGTGACGATGGACTTCGTCACTGGCCTGTCAGCTGGCCCAAGCGGTAACGACGCGATCCTCGTCGTCGTTGATCGGTTGACCAAAATGGCCCATTTCGCCGCCTGCAAGACGACAATTACTGCCGAGCAGACAACGAAACTGTTCCTCATGAACATCGTGTGGCTACACGGCATCCCATTGGCAATCATCAGCGATCGTGACCCACAGTTCACGCCCAACTTCTGAACAAAATACATGGCAGCAGTACGGCACACGTCTGCATCTATCCACGGTGTACCACCCGCAATCGGATGGTCAAACTGAGCGCACCAACCAGACGATAGAGCAGCTGATTCGCACAATATGTACAGATATGAACCAATGGGAAGACGCCCTTCCTTTGATCGAGTTTGCGTACAACAATGCCCCATCAGTCACAACTACTCAGTCCCCGTTGTTCCTTAATTACGGGATAGATCCGACAACCCCTCTATCGCCCCCGATGGAAAACCCGGCACCAAGATCTCAGCAGTTCGTAAAAAACATCCCACAGTTTCAGCAAAAAGCAGCCGATGCCATCCTCAAAGCCAATAAGAGGGCTAAGCAGCAAGCTGACCGACAACGCCGAAACTCAACACTTGCCCCTGGGCACTTGGTCCTGCTCGACACCAGAATTTTGGGAATTCCCCTCCCAAATAAATTACAACCGAGATTTTGTGGACCATCCGACATCATTCGCATGGTGACATCGGTCACCGCCCAGCTGCAACTGCTGATTGACTGGCGGATTAATGATTCGTTCCACGTCAGTCTCCTGCGACCGTTCGTTCCGAGTGCGACCAATCTCGACCGTCAACACATCAATCCTACGGTTAACCCAGCACCAGAGCTCAGGAGAGAGCTGTCCAAGATTCTCGCTCATCGCGTACGGGGACATCGAGATACAGCAGCCGTTGATTTCCTTGTACGATGGGTCAATCACACGAGTGATGACGACCTTTGGGTTCCTGCAACTAGGCTCGGCGAAAACAGGGCAGTGCAGGACTATTTACACCGACGATGTGTCCCATATGTGGGTAGTCTCATCCCGGAAGGAGGGGGGGTGTCTTAGAAACTTAGGACTAAAGGTTCTTAAACTTAGGAGGCTAGGTTGGCTAGGATACTAGGAAGAAGACCGCCATGGAATGGCGTGAGGAAAAACGGATCTAGGAGGTGAGAGGATGTCGAGAAGAAAGGAAGTTGGATTAGGAAGAGAGGGGAGTACAAGGAGGGGTTTGTACCCCCTACAGAAAGGTTCAGTAACAACCTACCAAGCCTATATTAAATTATAACTTATATAATTTTAACACACCCCCTAGGCTTGGTAGTGTCAAGCCCACGCACACCCCCACACCCACACCCACACCCACACCCCCTAGCCCAGCACCCCCATTCCCAGCAGGAGCCGCAACGACTCCGGAAGAGGGTAGGTCTCACGGCCCCTTGAGACGGCAATGGCGGCAGCAGCGACAGTGACGACGGCGGCGGCGGCGGCGGTGTGCGGCGGCTCCAGGCCTGCGGCAACAGCGGCGGCGCCGGCGGCTCGAACGACAGAGGCTGGTGCGGCGGCCCCCGCCCTCTCGGCGGCATGTCCTGTCTCCTCGGCGGTGGAGAGGTCCCTCACATGGCAGTCATCGGCTGCAGCAAGAAAGGGGGGGATGCAGGGGAAGCAGGTGCAGGTGGGGGGGGGAGGGGAGGGGGCGGGGCGAGGCGAGTCTTCAGCGACGCGCCATAAGTGGCGCGGCGCTTACTGGCAGGAGGGCGGGCAGGTGGCGGTTACGACGGCGTGCTGCCCGCTGCCGCCCATCCACGCTGCCGCGGCAGCATGACGACGCCGCCAGGGCGCGGCGTCGACGCTGTGGCGGCACGCCGACGCTGCAACGTCAGCAAGGTGACGCTGCCACGGCAAAGCGTCGACGCAACCGGCTGCGGCCCGACGGCGCCGTCGACGCTGCAGCAGGACGTCGACGTCGCGACGGCAGAGGCAGCGTCGATGCCGCAGCGGGACGTCGACGCTGCGACTGCAGAACAACGGCCCGACGCCACGGCAGTGCGTCGAGCCGGTCGCGGCACGACGCGGCCAGTGGCAGCGCGACGTCGCCACTGCAGCAAAACGCGGCCGCCATGGCCGCTCGAGCTAATGAGAGCGAGGAGTAAATTGCGGAAGCGTGAGGAGGCGATCCAACAGGGAGGATCTCCTGCTCTGATACCATCTTAGAAACTTAGGACTAAAGGTTCTTAAACTTAGGAGGCTAGGTTGGCTAGGATACTAGGAAGAAGACCGCCATGGAATTGCGTGAGGAAAAACGGATCTAGGAGGTGAGAGGATGTCGAGAAGAAAGGAAGTTGGATTAGGAAGAGAGGGGAGTACAAGGAGGGGTTTGTACCCCCTACAGAAAGGTTCAGTAACAACCTACCAAGCCTATATTAAATTATAACTTATATAATTTTAACAGGGTGGTGTAAGGAAATTCCCTTTTCCTTACTGGGCTCGACTACAGCGCGTACGCCATCGACTCTCGGAAGTCCAGGCTCGGCCAACTTCTTCGGTCCCGAACCACTTCGCGAACCCAAACCTAGACATGCGGCGCTTCCGTAGCTTTCGCCAACCGGACCGCCCCAACCTGTCGCGTGGTTCTCGGCTAGCCCTGTTCGTGCCTATAAATGCCTAGGCCCTCATTTTTATCAGCACTCTTGAATCATGACTCCTTTATTACACTACCTGTTATTACTCTGATTAATTCATAACGGAGTGAATCGATGTGTAACCAGAATTGATTACCAATTAGGGAATATATTCCTTGGATAATAGACAAGACTTATGAACACGCCCTACCTTCGCAGGTGACTCAGCCGATCATGGGGACTGTCTGTTCCTCCCCACAAGGCACCTGCGGTCGGCCTCGCCAGTTACAACCAAACCCAACCCCAAATCTTGGAGTTTCCCAAGTCGCAGCGTCGCAAATCTGAACCGTTCGATCTATATTGGCAAAGCCTCTCGTTTGGTTAGAGAGCTAATCTGGTTCGTTCATCTGTTTCCTGCCATGCCAGACCAATTTGGTCACGCCAGACCGACCAAATAAGGCAGTCCAGACCAAGCTCCAGACCAGAATACCTACCTACCTACCGACTAGCACAGTGGCGGCAGAACAGCGCTGCAGAATATAATAATCCCCAAGGCAGTCATTTTCAAAGAAGCATATTCTCATGGCCCAGCACTTCCCCTGCTTCTAGGGTGTGCAGCTCTCGCTAGTTCATTGGAGAGCAAGTTTTGTTACGGCTTTAGCTGTCTCGCTGAAGCTACTGACAATAGCGACTGACAATTGTCCTAGCGATTGTCTAGAAATAGGCTGGTTTGGGGGGTCGTCTGCGGAAGGTTCCTTTCAAATTGCGCTACCGAAATCCCCGCGTTTCGCTATCGGCGCCTATCTACACCTAACGTCAGCCTAGAAATCATCCCCATTGCAATTCTCAGCCACACATGTTAGCTCACTGTTAGGCTTGTCCTCGACATTTATCAGATAACGTCAAGATGAATCGCGTTAAAGCCGGCCGCAAAAAGGCCGAAGGGGGGGCCAGATCGTTAATCCCCTGTATAGTCTTCCTCATTTCCGCCGCTTGCGTCATCCTAGTCATATCGTACACCGGCGCAACAATCGCCTCTAAAAAATCGTCCGCGCAGCCCGGCGGAAAGAACCCGCGCGGAGGCGGGGAAAGCGCGGACGTGATGGAGGAAGGCGGATCGGAGGGGGAGGAGGGGGGGGAAATGGTGTTCGGAAAGGTCGTCGGCGCGGCGCCGTTTCTCCCGGACTTCGATCTGTCGCGGCCCGTGGAGCACGGACCGAAAGGGAGGCGACTGAGCAAAGAGGAGCAGGAGTACGTCAGCGCGGAGGCGGAATACCAGGTGAGATTGACAGCTCTATTTTGAAATGTCTCAATGCGTCGATCTGAGGCAAGCTGAGCAAAAAGGAGCAGGAGTATGTCAGTGCTGAGGCGGAGTACCAGGTGAGTATGTGCGCTGTTGAAGAACCTGAATGTGCTGCGGCGGACTGTGCTTCGAGGTGTCTGAAGGAATCCTTTTGAGTCGACTCAAAAGCGGGAGTATGTTAGCGCGGAGGCGGAGTACCGGGTGAGGATGTGTTAGCGCGGAGGCGGAGTACCGGGTGAGGATGTGCGCTTCGAAGAATCTGAATGTGCTGCGGCGGACTGTGCTTGGAATCTATTCACGAGACGTCTGAAAGGAACCCAGCACAGATTGGTACTTATGAATGAATTTTTAAGAATGTGCACAGGGGAAAGGTAGTTAGCAGGTGAAAGGGTTTATTTTTCGGAAATATGCATCAATTTCAAGTGGCGTTATTTCTTGGTGGGGAAATCGTTGAAGATCTAGTCAATGTCGTGGTGCCTATATTTGATAGCTTCCGTCAAAACAGGGCGAAGATCTGGCTAGATTTCCATGTACTTGCCATGGTATGACGCAATTTCATGCCGGCATTTCCCCAGCGTCTTCCCCAGATGCGTCTGGCGCGTCGAAACGAGCTCGCGCGCGGAGGGCTTACCTCCCCCCAGATGTGGCATTATTGTCGGCTTGAGACGAGAGGGGAGGGCTTCTCAAAACGAAACTACTAACATGGGGGCGTAGGACTCCCCTCCCCCCCATACTCTCCTCTCCCAACCACCAACTCCCAAACCCCCTCCTCCGCGCCTAGGTGCGCCTGGCGCGCTGAAACGAGCTCACGGGCGGCCATGCCTTCCCCCCCCCTCCCCCCCTCTTCCTCAAGATGCGCTTGGCGTGTTGAAACGAGCTCACGGGCGGCAAGCGCCCGCTTTAGGCCATGCCTCCCCCGCCCCCTCCCCCCCCATCCCCACCCTCCTCCCGTCCACCCCCTCCCGCCCGCCCCATTCCCCCCCCAGATGCGCCTGGCGCGTCGCAACGAGCTCACGGGCGGCAAGCGCCCCGAGCCGCCGTTCCCGCGCTGGAAGCCCGGGAAGATCAAGGAGGTCTTCCTCACGCCCACGTACCCCTGCAAGCGCGCCGAGCGGCTGGGCGGCACGGGGACAGACGGTGAAGGAGGCAAGGTGAGACAACGTGAGATAGCAGTTATGGGGGAAATCTTTAGCGGGATAAGCCTTAGGGGGTTAAATCTTTAGAGGGATAAGCCTTAGGGGGTTAAATCTTTAGGGGGATAAGCCTTAGGGGGTTAAATCTTTAGCGGGATAAGCCTTAGGGGGTTAAATCTTTAGCGGGATAAGCCTTAGGGGGTTAAATCTTTAGCGGGATAAGCCTTAGGGGGTTAAATCTTTAGAGGGATAAGCCTTAGGGGGGAAATCTATAGCGGGATAAGCCTTAGAGGGGAGCTGGGGAAGATCAAGGAGGGCTTTCTCACGCCACCTACCCCTGCAAGCGCGCCGACCGCTCGGGTGGGGGAGGGGCGGACGGCGAAGGAGGCAAGGTGAGACCCGGGGAAGGCCTGATGCGATAGGCATCAGTGGGATCATCCCTTTGGGAATGCCCGGGAAGATCAAGGAGGTCTTTCTCACGCCACCCCATCTACCCCTGTAAGCGCGCCGAGCGCTTGGGTGGGGGAGGGGCGGACGGAGAGGGAGGCAAGGTGAGTCTTGCTAGTCACTGTAGTGGGGAGGGGCTTTGTGGGGAAGGTAATGCCTTGCTGCCATTCCTGGATCTCCCTGCCTCTACCCTCAATCCCCCTGCCCCCGGCATCGACCCCCCTGTATCTATAATGGCGGGCGGGTGGCAGGCGACCAATCGTGATGAGCTTTTGAGCACTCTAAGAAATCTCTCATTTCCCCCCTGCGCCCGCCCCTGTCTCCCCCTGCGCCCGCCCCTGTCTCCCCCTGCAGTGGGTGTGTAACATTCGCAAGCTGAGGGCGGGAGGCAGGCGGCCGATCGTGTACAGGTGAGGGCATGGGGACAGGGGAATGGAATATTCGGAATCTGAGGGGGGAAGGCAGGCAGCCGATCGTGTAAATGTGAGGGAAGACGAATTGGAGGACAAAAGATTCGGATGGAGAGGTAGGGAGGAGGAGAGGGGACGCGGAACATAAAGAGCAAAAGAGGGAAGAGAGGAGAGATGGCAGGGAAAGGGTTATTTTTGAGTCGACTCAAAAGGCACTTCGGATGAAGAGGTAGGGAGGAGGACAGGGGAGGGGGAACAAGAAGAGCGGAAGAGGGAAGAGAGGAGACATGGTGGGGAAGCTTTTGAGGCGCCACAAAGGGGAGGTTGGGAGGAGGACAGGGGAGAGGGGGCAAAGTGAACGAATGAGGGAAAGGGGGAGGCATGGCGGCGAAAGGGTTATCCATGAGAAGGAGCGGCACACTTTCAGTTGGTAAATGAGCGCCAGATTATGAGGAGGACGGAGGAGAAGGCTGCAGTCTATGATTAAGGTAAGCACATGCCTGAGATTCACCCTCTGTGTGATAGTAATTTCGTTTTGAGTCGACTCAAGACGGAATATGTATCACACTGTACTCTATAAACAAGGCAAGCACATACCTGAGATGCACCCTCCACTCCCTTTCCTTTCCCCTCCCTGCAGTATTGGGAGCACAGGTTTGGCACACTTCCAGTTGCGACACCAGCGCCAGCAGCTTCTCACATGCATGCACCCTCCAACCCCTTCCTTTCCCTTCACTTCCCTTTCAGCATCGGCAGCGCGGGAGAGACCTCCTTTGAGCAGGCGGTGCGAGCCCGTCTGGGCACCAAGGCGTTCACCTTCGACCCGTTCTTAGACGACCAGCAGGCAGCAGCGATACGGGCCAAGCACATTCTGAGATACATCCCCATTGGGCTGGGGGCGGGCAAGCAGCTGTCGGCTCTCAGGAGGGGCGCCCCTGGGAAGCGGTTTGCGACTCTGGCTCAGCTTATGGGGAAGCTTAACCACTCGCATGTTGACGTGCTCAAGGTGAGAGGGACAATAAGGGCCGGCAATGAGGGCCAGGCACATTCTGAGAGACTTCCCCATGGGGCTGGCGGCGTTTTGAGTCGACTCAAAGCAGACCGGGGCTGAGCGCCGAGCACATTCTGAGATACATCCCCATCGGGCTGGGGGCGGGCAAGCAGCTGTCGGCTCTTAGGAGGGGCGCGCCTGGCAAGCGGTTTGCGACTCTGGCTCAGCTTATGGGAAGCTTAACCACTAGCATGTTGATGTGCTCAAGGTGAGAGGGACAATAAGGGCCGGCAATGAGGGGCAGGCACATCTCCATCGAGTTGGGGGCGTTTTGAGTCGACTCAAAACAGACTGGGGTTGAGGGCGGGCCAAGCACATTCTGAGATACATCCCCGTTAAGCTGGGGGCGGGCAAGCAGCTGTCGGCTCTGAGGAGGGGCGCCCCCCTGGGAAGCGGTGTGCGACGAACTCAAGGTGTGTTTCTCAAGATGCACGTCCTAAGGTGCATCCCCATCGGGCTGGGAGCGTTTTGAGTCGACGAAAGATAACGCACTGGGGTTGAGGGCCAAGCAAGCACATCCTCAGAATCATCCCCTTGGGGCTGGAAAAGCGGGTTTCAACGCTGGCTCAGCTCACGGGGAAGCTGAACCACTCGCATGCTGACGTGCTCAAGGTAAGTGTTGAGAGGGGCAATGAGGCCCAGCAGTAAGGGCGGAGCACATTCTGAGATGCATTCCCATGGGGCTAGGGGGGCGTGCTCAAGATGAGAGAGAGGGGCGTAGGGACGTCCTCAAGGTGTAAACCCCTTCTCTCTGGAATAAAAGAATGCATTCTTATTTTGGGTTGCCCCTTCACCTTCCCCTTCCCCCTCCCCTTAAACGTCCCCTTCCCCTGCCCTGGCCTGCCCTTCCCCTTCCCTTCACCCTACCCCTTTCCAATTGGTTTGTCAGATCGACTGCGAGCGCTGTGAGGGGCACCTCATGGGCGACCTCTCATGGTCGTCTGTTGCTGCCCACCCCACCTCATGCCTCCCTGCCCCCTTACGTACTCTACTCTCCCTCCCATTTTGGTGTCTGGTTGTCTCAGATCGACTGTGAGCGCTGTGAAGGGCGCCTCATGGAGGACCTCCTTAATGCTCGCCCTTGCTCATTGGATTGTCGTGCCTCTCTCTCTCTCGCTCTCTCTCTCTCTCTCTCTCTCTCTCTCTCTCTCTCTCTCTCTCTCTCTCTCTCTCTCTCTCTCTCTCTCTCTCTCTCCCCCTCTCTCTCTCGCCCTCTCTCTCCTCAGATTGACTGCGAGCGCTGTGAGGAGCGTCTTATGGAGGACCTCCTTAATGCGTTTGGCAAGGAGAATCCGCCGGCCGACCAAATCCTGGTGGAGATTCACCAGTGAGTCACTCGTTACTCGTTACTGCACCGTGCCATTTCATTACTATTGCTGCAGAAAGTGATGCTTGTATAAGGACCCCTGTGCATGCATCAATTCTCAGCTTCCTGCTCTCGCGTGTCAGTAGATTGCTCATCATCCTGCCTCCTGTGACTCTGCTTGTGCTTACCCTTTACTTCCTGTGCCCCCCATTTGCTCAATCAGAATCCGCCACGTGGCCAGGACCACGCAGGTCCTTTTCCCATTGGAAGACATGGGCTATCGGCTCTTCAATGCAGAGGCCAACCCCCGCTGCAGCTCCTGTTACGAGCTCTCCTTTGTTCATGAAAGCTTCTTAAAGCCCAAATCCATGTTCCCTGATGCTGCTGCTGCTGGCGGTGATGCTGGTGGGGCTGGGGATGCTGCTGGTGATCCTGCAGCTGATACTGCTGAAGCTGCTGCTGATGCTGCAGCCGATGCTGTTGCTGCTGCGGCTGCAGATTCGGCTGCTGAGGATGCTGCTGGTGATGGTGGCTCCGGTGAGGGCACAGGGGACGGAAGTCAATGATTGATTAGGCTTGTCTTGTCTAGCTGTTGTTGCTGGCACACTCCCCCGGCTCACCTAGTTTGTTTTCACATTGGCTTGGAGTTTCACATATTTGCTCCGATTGTTTTGTAGCAACCTCAGCATACTACCCTTTATGGACACAGTTGTCCACGAATATTGGCTTTACAGGATTTACAGCATACTTTTCTTGGGGGGGAGGTGGTTTGTTTGTCATTCACTTAAGCAAAGAAGCTGTCAACAGCTAGTACACTGATTGGCGTACGGTATTGCACTTGCAGAGCTCATCCCTGTCAGAGCAGGAATAAAGCTCCACTGATGAGAAAGCTAGCAGATCTTGGGCAATTGATTCACAGTTGGGATTTGACCAGGAAACGCTCCAAATGCCAGCAGCGTTTAGACTGACAGGCGTGCGCCCATTCCAGCTTTCTGGTGTCTTCTCTTGAATGACATATATTTGCTCGTTGGGAACCTTGCTGAAATTCCCCAGAGGAGCTTGGATGCTTGTATCATAGCACTCCATTGATACGCCTGTGTCATAGCAAAATCGCCACTGTCAATAATGGTTAGCTACCATTCCAGGCTTCTAAGAAAGGATGCGCAAGACGGCAGGAAGAGCACCAATGAACTGTTGGTGCCCTAATTATGCCTTCGCCCCCTATGCTACCCAGCTGTTCGCAGGTGTTCCTCCCCCCTATGCGAACTAGTCTGTTAGTTGCCTCTCTGGTGTTCAAGCAGCTGTTCGCAGAATTCCCCCCAATCTCTCCAAATCCGCTTCACGATCTCCACCGTTGATGCCATCATCTTCACCGTCCACGTCAGCGTGATCCGAATCCAAAAACTGCTCCTCGGGCACTTCGGGAGCGGGCTGCTCCTTCCCGAAAACGGCGAATTTGCAATCCGCACGCAGAATGTCCGACACCTGGTAATCCCTAGGGGATCCCTGGAGCTTACCGCTCCAAACCGAGCTGAATCCCTCAGTCTGCTGGGTTTCGGAAATTCCTTTCTGCTGCTCCGGAATTGAAACCACTGCCTGGCTTTCTGCTGTCTCCTCTGCCCGGGCGGTCTCATGTAGCAGAGCTGATATCACCGAGTAATCTAAGTTACTCCCCTCCTCCATAGCTTCGTCGCGGTACGTTTGCCCCAGCACGCCGTGCACGTCCATGGAATAGTGCACCTGCTCCAGCTCGAGATTAAGATGCACCATCGCGTCGCCGTCGCGCTGCAGCAGCGGGTGCGCGGCGCGCACGCGGACCTCGGCTTCCAGAAGGCCCTCGATGCGGATCTTGTACTTGTCCACGTCAGCACCGCCGGGGCCCGACTTCTCGTGCGCGTCCAAGGTGACGGTGGCCTGGCCGTCGAAGAGCGAGAGCTCGTCCCCCAGCTGCGAAGACGGAGAAGGGAGACAGGAGCAGAACCAGGGGTTGGGGGGGGGGGTGGGGGCGGGAGGGGGAAGAGGGTGGGTTTAAACTCGTGAGTTTCTTGAGCATCAGTACAATCTGGAGCCAGTGAATCTTGCGCTAGCCGTTGCCGTCATGCCGCTGGAAATTGAGAGAAATCAGCACAAATCGGAAGGAGCGCTCACCATGAGCCGTGGAACGAGCGTCCCGTCGACCTCCAGCGCGGCCAGGTAGCCCTCCCCTCGCGCCTCCTGCGGCCCGCGACGAGCAACGAACCGCATATTGTGCACTGGTCCCTCCTTGCCGCTCTTTCCACTCGTCGCATCGCCTTCCGTCGGAGATCTCCACACGAAGCCGAGCTCGCGGATCCAGACACGTGGCGTGGGCTGGTTGGCGGGGTTGGTGAGCGTGGTGCGGCGGTCGAGGTAGCCGCCGAGGCGCATGTTGATATGGAGCTCGGGATCCGAAAAGAGGCAGAAGGAGCGCTCGGGGAGCGAGACTTGTAACGAGGATGAAATTGCTGGCGTGTGTTTCTCCTTCATGGGAGCATCGCCGTTGCACCGCCCGCCGACACTGCAATGACAGGCACGGAGCAGCAACACGTCAGAATCATAGTCAGCCCGTTGTGAGAGCTAGTGGTATATCAGTGCCATCTTGCTATCGAGCTGCGAGCACGGACACGCGAAAAGGACCAGCAATCACGGGCAATGAGGCTGGAATGGCGGCAGAGTGAAGGGAAAGCGTACTAGGAGATCGGATCCTTGGGGGTGTAGACAGTCCGCTTGATTTCGGCAGAATTGTCGCTGCTGCACAGGCCGGCGGTGTAGAGGTAACACAACCCCATTTCTGCGAAATAGTTCCAGTAACTGCAGTTCGCCTGCTCTCGGCACTTGTTGCAACAGTCGCCTGGTTGCGCCGCCTTCCCGAGCCTCAGGCCATTTCGAGCCGCAGGCAGCCGAAATTTCTTTGACGAAGATACGTTAAACTTTCCACGAAACACGAAACGGCCGCAGGTTTTGGCCCCGCAGGCTGCCTGAGGCCCCGCGAACGACGGGCAGCTTGCAGCGGACAAAGTTCTGATTGAGGGAGCTAAGGTCGTCAAAAGAAGCACGATCCAAACAGAACAGCGGAGCGAAGTAGCGCTGAAAGCCATCTTGCTACGTCGAAGGCGACTTGTGGCGACTCACTCGAGAGAGGTCTTGGAGGAAGAGCTCCCTCAAAACAAGTTGGGCAGATGCACAACGTGACTTGTGATGGGGCGTAGGTTGCGATTGTTGAAAACACCCTTCAGATTTATGTGCTGTGGTGAAACGGAGGTAGGGAAGGGAGGAGGGGCTTGAGCGGGTGAACGTTGGGCATGCGTCTGTCGGTAGACATGTTTCCGAACTGCAATTCCCGCGGCTCGTCGTCACTGCGCTGCGAGCGAAAACCACATGTGGAGGCGCGGTCAATTGTGAATCTGCACAGCGAAATTTTGGAGAATTTGGAGAATTTGGAACCTAGGCGAATTGCAGTCAAATTATGAACTAAAATTTTTATTATTCTTCTTTAAAACGTCGAGATGGCCGAGTTGGTCTAAGGCGCTGGATTAAGGTTCCAGTCCGAAAGGGCGTGGGTTCAAATCCCACTCTCGACATCCTGAGTACATATTTTTCCACAGCTAGCTTTGTTTGAATCCCACTTTTTTTGCTTCTCTTTTTCAGACGACATGGTGCAGTACCGTTATCAGGTCTTGGTGTAAATCTTTCCTTTGTTGATCAGGCCGTTGATAGAGTGTTTTGATTGTTGACCATGATGCATCATGAATATTTGTCTTGTATAAAACCTTGCGTGAATTGTCTATAAAGTCCTAGGAGCTAGATTTGAGTCGGGTAACTCTAACAGCGGAGTCAACACCAGAAGATTCTGTCAGCCCAATCTCAGTTTTGATTGGACTCCCAGCGCCCTTGTCAGCTCCGTCGCACTCTGGCCAACCAATCGGAATCCGTTCTTCCACAAATTCAATGGCTGTGCGAGACACCTTTCCTCTTCTGCCGGGGGTGTCGTTCACCGTGCCCACAAGGAATGGCCTGCGTGCGTGGCTGGATAATTATCCACAACAGCAGTGAGCCTGCCACATATTCCTCCCGTGCCCGCTTCCCCTCCATCAGTCGTTTGTGATTGGTCGATCGCCAAACAATGCCAGCAGGGCGGAGATGAAGAGGATCTCTCTAGGTGTTGAGACCGCTGATCCCTGATGAGATGAGTCGCTGAGTGCTCCTGGAGTTCTGATCTCCTGTCAGCGAGTTTGGGAATTTGAGGATTTTGTGTGACGATTTCAAGGTTTGCTCGCCTACATCATTTCCTTAGTGCGAGCGGTTCGCCTGTCGTTGCTTGCTAGCACTCGTTCCTCCTGGAGTCCTCGGAGTCACTTCAGTAGTCCCATTCACTTCAGTGGTCTCATTCTCCTCCATTCTTACCGTCGCTTGCAAATCCACAACCTTCTCCTGGTAGTTAAAGCATAGTTCCTAGTCTCCGGCAATGGAGGCGAGCTGCATACTCCCCAGTCACTGTGCTGGCCCATCAACTAGCACAGTGACGGTCTCCAGAGCCGTCAGGACACAGGCTGCTTTAAGGACTGTAAGCGTCTCAAAGTTCGCTGGCACTGCGAGGTCGAGTCACGGCAATGCATCGTCCACGTCTGCACTAGGTGGTAACCACATGTCTCCGAGCCGCTGTAGGCTTATGGCTGTTCGATCATCGATGCCAGACTTAACCGCTAAAAACGTTAGCGCTTCACGGCCGTTCGTTTTTCTAAGATCAACGGTGGCCACTGCGGTGGCTGCTGTCGTATCCGTTGCTTCAGCGTTGCGAGACGCGGCAGAAGCAGCCTCAATAAGCGTACAAGACGGCGGTCAGCAAAGACAAACGGAGGAGGAACGGCTAGAAGCGACGTTTTTCGACAGTGTCCGATGCAGAGCATCACCCTCGCTATTGTCACTCGCGGCTGTTTCAGCAGTGCCGCTGTCAATCCCCATCAAGAGCACCCTGACGACCTTCGTATCTGACCTCCGAGCAAACCCCACCTTCATGTCGGCTCTTATTGCGTGGGGTCTCGCACAAATCCTCAAGGTGAGCTACCATGTCATTTGACGCATTCTTCACTGGTGCCTTCATCATCACGACTTAGGCCCTAATGAACGAACAAGGAGGAAGTATGGTATTTCTACTTGAGAGACTTTAGGAGAATGGCTTTTAAAGAGAAAGAAGCCATTGACAGAGAAAGACATTTTTTCAAGAGCCATTCCTGTGCTGCACGCTCACGTAACTGCTTCATTTTGTCCCAATTTCCCAGTTTCTGTTGCGAGACATTTACCCTTCATCACTGCTCATTGGCTTGAGTAACGTTTGCAGACTCCTCATGCTTTCTGCCATTTCACCTGCTATCCCCACCCCTCACTTTCGTCTCACCCATCCAAGCACCTCCGCTTTTCTCAAATCCTTCCAACCTCCATCCGCACCTTTCCCTCCAGGTTTTCACAAATCTTTATTACAAAAAAAAGTTTGACATCAGGATGGTTGTGTCATCAGGCGGCATGCCCTCCTCCCACACCGCCCTGTGCGTCGCCGTCACCACCTCCGTCGCCCTGCTGCACGGCGTGGGGGGGCCGCTGTTCCCCGTCTGCCTGGCCTTCTCCCTCATCATTATGTATGACGCCACCAACGTGCGCTACCACGCGGGGGTGCAAGCAGAGGTGCGTTTCTTTGTTGTGCAGAGCAGACTGGGTCGGTTCTGTGCAAGCAGAGGTATGTTGCTAGAAGCCAACTCTAAAGCAGCTAGCATGTCATGGCGCCAACGGGCGCTACCACACCAAGGTGCAAGCAGAGTTACGCTCCTTCCATGTGTTAAGCAGTCACCGGAGCAGGCTTTAAGTCACCAATGGTGTGCAGGCAGAGATACGTGGCCGAGATAGACAAGTGTTTCTGCAGTGGACTGCGAGCCAGGGTCAGGGCATAGTCCGTCCTTGTGTGAAACGAGCTTGTGATGCGCTGCTCAACCTGTACAACCATCAGAAAAGATTCCCCGCCGTGTGCTTTTCTAGCTATCACATTCAATCCGTTTTTATTTAACAATCCCTCCTTTGCTGTCTGTGTGTCAGGTTCTAAATGTGGTGGTAGAGGAAATGCTTGAGGGCCATCCAATCAGTGAGAAGAAGCTGAAGGAGCTCCTGGGACACACCCCTCTACAGGTGGTTGGGGGCTTCATCCTTGGTGTCGTCACAGCTATCATCTATCATGTCAAGACAGGGCAATTGCATGGTTGGACTTGAGGAGGGGAAGGAGGGGAGATGTATGGAATTGACACTAGTCTGGGGAAGGTCGTCTGACACTACCCCTCGATGTCAGAATTGTTTAGCTAGGTACTTGCGCCTTCGAGGTTTTCCTCGCGTTTGTGAACTCGTTTGTCCAGCTAGCGCTACTCATGTTTAGAAGTCTCTCATTTTGTGGATATTAGCTGGTGAAGTTCTTGTAAGCGAAACTGTTTGTTCTTGGTGCCAAATTCGCTATGGGCGTTTGGATTGGACTAAAATCGGATCGGTCACGTATTCTGTTCCTGCGTATTGTGGGTGTGCCGCAGCCGTATCGAGCGTAACGAGTGACGACACGTCGATAGGCACCACATCCGACGGCTATAAAGGCATGCTGTCACAGCTTGACGAATCTCACGAGCCCCGAGCCGCTTCACGGATCAGGAGGGGCGACTCGGAAATTGACATTTCCGTGCCACTGTACCTGCGTGTTGTTGTGCCTGGTGTGAGGCGCTCTCCTCTCCTCCCCAAGGGATTTCTCCCCCCCTTAGGCCAAGGCAAGCCCCCCCCCAGCCACCCAACCATCCATGCCGCACCTTACGCTGCGATTCGAGCAGGTCCCTCTGCTGAACATGTGCCATACTTTTCCGTACAGTAGTGATGTTGGGCGCACTCCTACTCTCCTCTTCCGTTCCGTGGTTACCTCTTGGCACGTGAAACTCGCTAGAATGCGCAAGACTTGGAATATTGGTAGGCTTCGAAGTAGGTCCACGTCCTTAGTACTTTTAGTCACCTGCTGCTCTATTCATCATTTATGATTGGCACTTAGTACGACCACAATCCTCCTCGCCCGTTGACTAAAATGGCGCGTAGCCGACAAAGTTTTGCAATGCTGACGGCCGCTGTCAGTATTGCCGCTATCGCATCTCTCCTTCCGCCAGTGACGTCAGATTCGTCAACGCAGCAGCAACCGCAAAGGGGATGGAAGCCGCAACAGCCGGCGCGATGGACGGCGTGCGACTACTCGAGAGGGTGGTGGATTCGCAAGCCGGCACCGTCCGCGCCATACGGCTCGAGCTGCCCCTTTCTCAAGGTGAGCCCCCTTCACGTCTTTTGAGGCGCCTCAAAAGTCGGCTCGAGCTGCCCCTTTCTCAAGGTGAGCCCCCTTCACGTGGGCCCCGTGAATCCCATGGCGCAAACGGTTTGGCGCGCCTCATATGCTCCAGGTGAGTCACTCTCCTTCCAGGTGTATTCTGAGTCGACTCGTAGTACGCCCTCCACGTGGGCCCCGTGAATCCCATGGTCATTCAGCGCAAACGGTTTGACGCGCCACATCTACTCACCCTCACCGCACAACCCCGTCCTTCGCCTCATTGCGTGGATGATTATCTCCAACCGCCCCCAAAACGCGGATTTGGTTTCCAACCACCCCCAAAACGCGGATTTGGTTTCCAACCACCCTCAAAACGCGGATTTGGTTTCCAACCACCCCCAGGGGCAATTCAGGAGCTGCATGGAGCAATCACGCAGGTTTCATGCAGGAAAGGCTACGTGACTCGAATTGGGTCCAGATTTCCTTCGCTAGTTGCCCCAGCCTTCCCCTCCAACACCTCTCCCTCCTCCCGCCCCGACTCCCTCCTCTCCCCCCACACCCTCCCCCCCCACCCTCCCCCCACACCCTCCCCCCACACCGTCCCCCCAGGACGTGGGCCCCGTGAATTGCATCAACCGACCCAAACGGCGCTCTCTCTCCTGGCTGGTACGACCAATCTCACACTGCTACGTGGTTGGTATGCGTGGGGCGTGGGGTGAATAGCTCACCTCCCGAGTTTTAGGGTGAAAAGGTGAGGATAGTCGGGGGAGGGGGGAGGGGGGCTGGGGGAGGGACAGGGGGGGCAGCGGGGGCAGGTGGGGCAGGGGGGAGGGGGAAAAGGTGGTCTGGAGGTGCGATGACTCACATCCTCCCGAACCGGTTCCCCGGTTGTGGATGTGAGTGGGAGGATTCCCCCGTTCTCCTCCCACTCACATCCTTTCAACCTCGGCCCCCTTCCCCCCTCAGGTGCATTTTGAGTCGACTCAAAAATCGACTCATTACACACAATTTTTTTGAGTCGACTAAAAAATCTCACTCACATCCTTTCAGCCTCGGCCCCCTTCCCCCCTCAGGGTTATCGCTGGTGGCCCGCGGCGTGTCAAGTACCAGCGTACGGTTTCAGGCCCTTCCACTTTCTGGAGATGATGCGGAACAGGTGAGATGACACGCAACAACAAAGATGATACGGACAGTTGAAACGCCAGTCTTTTAGCCACACTGCCATGCACGCACCTCGTCACAGATCCCGCTGTGTACTAACCCCCCTCCCATTTGCGACCGTATCCAGAGTGATTGCATCGGTGGGCGATTCCCTCTCCTACGAGAATCTGATGCCCTCGCTATTGTGTCACATCCATGGCGCCTCTCCGGTCACCGAGATTCCTAATGACGGGTCACTGGCCGTACTGCAGAAACGGAGCAGAGTGTATCGCGTACAGGCGTATAATGTCACTCTTATCAACACGTGGAGCACGTTTCTTAACGAGTACTGGCAAGATGAACTGGTGGGTTGGCTTGAGCTGGTAGCATTGTTTATGAAATTGGAGCCATTCATCCGTTTATGGCATAATATGCACCAGATAAGTAATGTGAAGCAAGCAACTATCATTGTTTATAAACTGGTATTTATATCCGCCTGGTATTTATATCCGCCTGGTATCCGCCTACAGCACTGCAACTACTTAAATAATTGTGTCACTTACAAACTCTCATCCCCCCCTGCTTCATCCCCCGTACATGCAGACCCTCTCGCGCTACAGTGGCGGCAAGAATCGCACAGCCGAAGATTCCGTGATCAATCTGGATGGCGTAGATCCGGCGCTTGCCGCCCGGGTGACTAAGTACGACGTGCTTATACTGCAGACAGCCGCCCACTGGCAGGCCAAGCCCAACAAGTGGCGGCGGTACTTTGTGGACGGGCAGGGCAGGCGGGTGTTTACTGAGAGGCAGTACATTGCGGCTTTTGAGTAAGTGTCAGCAGTACACCCACTCATTCGGTAGACTGCCGCCCACTGGCAGGCCAAGCCCAACAGTGAGGAGTCTATTTTTGAGGCGCCTAAAAAATAGACTCCACTGGCAGGCCAAGCCCAACAAGTGACTTTTTAGTCGACTCGAAAGTCACCAGGCCCTACAAGTAGTGGCGGCGCTACTTTGTGGGCGGGCAGGGGCGGGTGGTACTTACTGAGAGGCAGTATATTGCGGCTTTTGATTAAGTGCCAGTACATACTCCGCTCCTCTTTCCACCTGCTCTCACACCACATCTTGCCGTCATGCCCTTCCCTCGCCCTCCCCGCTTCCACGCTAACTCCCCCATACATCCCCACTTCCACCATGCTAGCTCATCCCAAGTCACAGAAGGGGAATGCGAGCCGTAGTGGCTCTGCCAATTCTCACCAACCCCACCACCCCCACATTCGCATGCGCACCCATGTCTCTCCCCTCATTCCCCCCTCTTACCCTCTCTCTCCCCAACCAGAAGGGGCATGCATGCGGCATGGTGCTCTAGTGGCCCTCTTGAATCACACCAACCACACTACCCCCGCTGTTGCCCACATGCCCGTGCCTTTCTCCCCTTCCTCTATCCGCTCTCTTTCTCATCTCTCGCTCCCCCCGTCTCTTCCACCCCAAAAGAAAGGGCATGCGAGCCATGGTGGCTCTGCTAGACCGCACCAACCCTACCGCCCCTGATGTCGCACGCACGCCAGTGCCCTTCTTCCTCTCCGCTCACTTCCCCCTTCTTTACCCTCTCTGCTCCCTCCAACCAGACGGGGCATGCGAGCCATAGTGGCTCTGCTAAACCGCACAAACCCCACCACCCCTGCGGTCGCCCGCACACCTGTGCCCTTCTTCCTCTCCGCTCCAGCCAAGATCAACCGCTGCAAGGGCCACTCGCAGCCCCTCACTTACGCCCGGGTAGGTGCAGTGCGGTGCAGTGCAGTGCTGTACTGTGCAGAACATCCTTTCTTCCTCTCTGCTCCAGCCAAGATCAACCGCTGCAAGGGCCACTCGCGGCCCCTCACCTATGCTCGGGTAGATGCAATGCGGTGTGGCATGGTTGAGCACCCTACTGGATAGTGAGCATTGGTGCAAAGCTCCTTTTCCTCGCTAATGCTTTCATTTGCATCACCCCCTGTGATCTCAGGTACTGCAGACTCGTTATAAGATCCCTCAGTACACCCGATGGCTGCCAGCCCAGCAGCGCACAGTAAAGGGGACGAGAATCCGCCTCCTAGACGTCACCTCATCTTCTCTCTACCGCCCAGACTCGTTTGTGGGGTCGGGTGGCATTAACAATGACTGCGTGCATTACTGCCTCCCTGGTGTGCCTGACTCCTGGGTTGACATGCTTCACAATATGCTCTCCAGGCAAACGATCTTCCGAGTGCCAAAAGGGGCTGATATTGTGAGATAGACAAGCACCTGGTGTGCCTGCCTGGGTTGACATGATTCCTGAGTTGACTCGGAGTGCATACAAGTTGCCAAGATAGCCTGTCTGGCAAACATATCGCCTTGGAGTCGGTCTCTCAGCACCCCAAGGAGGCAGTATTGCATGCAGGCAATCATTGTGCACACCAGCCGGGCCCGCAAAGAAACCCGGCGCATCATGAATTCCTGTATCTTGGCAAATTGTGCAGTAATGCTCGCGTACGGTATGTGTTTGCACATGCCCTAGTATGGTGTTTGATTGCACGTAGAAGCTTCTGGATGTGTAGTCAATTCAGTGTACACTCATTAGTCGATTCACAAGCCTGGCTGCCTACACATCACCATTCATGTGTCTATGATCCTCCGCTTCTTGTGGGTGATGGCGTCGCAACCTTTTAAAGAGTACAAACACTAGTGAAGCCGCGGCCACCGCGGCCGCTACCGGCACCGTTAGGGGTGGAAGGGGGAAGAATATGAAGGGAGTAGGATGGCGACGGGAGTGATGGGCGGAGAGACGAGCAGATGAATGGGGGGTTAACAGCAGAGAGGACTTCAGGGGGAGAGGGGAGGCGTGGAGAGGGGGGGGAGGGGGAGGAGGGGGAGGAAGGAGAGGAGGGGGAGGGGGAGAAGGTGGGGAAGGAGGGGGGAGAGGGGTTGAGGGTCTCGAGAGCATGGCGACGGCAGCAGCAGCAGCAGCTTCAGCTGCGAGGAAGAGGAGCACCCAGGGGAGAGGGTTCAAAGGACACTTGCTTCCACCACCACCCTCCCCATCACCACCACCGCTGCCCCTACTGTTACAGCCACCACCACCACCACCACCACCACCACCACCACCACCACCACTGTAACCATCACCACCATCACCACCATCACCACCATCACCACCATCACCACCATCACCACCATCACCACCACGCATTCCCCAGGTACCACCACCATCAACATCACTTTTAACATCACTGGCAGGACGACCAACCCGAGCTCGGGCGGAGTGCGCCGCCACCATTTGGCGCGGAACTTCATTGAGCGTTCGCCACAAGAACCGATCGCCATTGACCGCTGATCCTGTGAGCTCACGATCTCCAGTCGGTTTCCCCAGTGCTCTTCCCCTCCCAGCAACATACCCCTCCCCTCCTCGAAGAGCCATGGGAGAGCAAGCGGCCAAAGAACCCCTTCCAGGATTTGAAAGCCACTTGTGCAGATCGTGTGAATCGCCACGTGGCGAAAGCTGGAAGGCAAACCAGCTCGACGACTCTGAGCGGCCGATAGGGCAGCGGATTCGCCGATTGGTCAGGGAGATTAACTCCGGGTTGATATTAGCCCGGCATGCTGCTGCCATCGGAATAGATATTGGATAGTTTCCTGGGCTTATGATTTGGCGGCCTATAGCTCAGGGCAAGCGCGCCCATTGGGCATTTATAACCATTGGAATAATACGAAACGGCGGCCTGAAGGTAATCGCCGGTTTAGGATCCACAACCCGTGCTGACGTGGCATCGGAGCAGCGGTGCTGACGGCCTGGTTTGGAGCCACGAGGAGCGCGGTTGTGTGGGCCTTGGGAGTACCGATCAGTGAAAGTTGCGCCATGATCGCGGGTACTAGTGATGGATAGAGGGAGATCTATGCTTTGCGGCTTCGGCCTGCGGAGAGGTAGACAGAGTGAGCGAGCTGGCGTGCGAGAAGCGCGGCGTTATTGGCGGCGGTAAGTGTTGGCTCGTTTAGGAGACGAAACGGTACGAAATGGCAATGCTGATGGGTGCAATTATATACTAGTTATTGTATGGCTCGTCCCGAGATAGAGCGTGCTATTGTTGCGAATGCTGGGAGCTGCTCGTTCAGGAGACGAAACGGTATGGAGTGTGTTCAATCCTTCTAAATGAATCACCTAGTCTTCTTTCAGTTGCCCGTACTCATTTGTAGGTTCCCCTCTCTGCCTCCCTGGTGTGCCGGATTCCTGGGTTGACATGCTTCATAATATTTCTCTAGACAACTCAGGGGAAAAATACAGCATGAAACTTGTTGGAATGATAAAAGGCATTTCCGCCGGAGTCTCGCGTGAGTATACGAAATACGCGAAGACTACAACAGCGAGGATTGCCGAGTCAACACCGCTACAGTAACCCTGACGATTCACACAGGTTGACGACACCTCACAGAGGTTATGAAAGGGCAACGGTCACAGACCGTTGACCGTGCAACCCAACAGTTGGAAACACAAGAGTCAAGAGTCAGCGCGACAGTAAGGACAAATAACCGTCCCGATATTAGAGTACGGATGGTTACCCGAGTCGCATTTATCGAGTCGTAAAAGGGAATGTACCATTCGAAGTGCAAAACAGTTAGACTCTTTATATTCTCTTGTGTTATTATATATAAACCTTGTATCCCTTTGCTATAATCAAACCACTTGTCCTCATATACCAGTACAAGGGTCCAACTCAAGACTTCCGTTGTGCTATCAAGCACTCTGTTACAAGAACTTAGCATTCTGAAAAGATCTTAGGGCTATTACTCAGCCCAACATGGTATGAGAGCCTGTCAGAAGCTACGCTCCTGTTACAAACTCCCTCAAGTGAGTTTTCTAACTCATTGAAGAATCAAGTACCGTAATCCCCCGGATATAACACCCTATGGTGGATATAATAATTCATTAAAAAAATGACTGGGTGTTAACAGTGGGCTGGAAAAATATAACGCCCATGTGTTATGTATAATTCATTTTGAATCTGATTGTTTCTAGGCTTATACATGCATTGGGTTTCTGTTAGGGAGTTTTGTGCTTTTTGGATGAGAGGATGGCCATGCCAACGTGTCGAACTCGGCATGGGCTATAGGATTTGTGGCCAATCCGTAACGGTCACAGCTGCCAACACCCAGCGGATTGCTGCCATCGGCTGCCAGCGCTGCGAGTGCACGGCTAGGTGCAGTAGATGCTGCCAGCGCAACACCTGCGATGGAATCTGGCATCTCAAGATGCCCTTGGGAAGCTTCTCGACCAGACCATCGCATGCTAGCATGCGATGGTCTTTTTTGGCTTTCAAGAACCGTGCGCGGCTCGGGTAGGGGGTCGGCCCACGTTTCTTGTTCATCCGTTTGTTGTCGCTGCGTCATTTTAGCGTTCCAGTACTGTCTTCCCAACAGAAAATCCCTCGCGATGTCAAACCTCTCTAACAGAGCCTCGGGCATAAGTCCGCCGAGGCGATTTTGTAGGCAGAGACTCAGCCATGGCGGCCCGTGCTGTTAGCGGCATCTCAGTTTTGCGAACCCATCGTCCACCCCACGGTAGTCAATTTCTTCTCCGTCCGTTTCCGTCGATTCCTCCAGCACCACCTGCGCCGCCAGCACCGCCTGCGCCTCCCGCGCCTCCTGCACCTCCTGCCCCACCTGCTCCTCCCGCACCTCCCTATACATCATGTCCGAGTGCAAGTCGTCCCGAGGAGTGGGACAACTACTGGCAGGACGATGATGAGCTAGACTGGGAAGATGCTGCCGATGGAGAGCCAGAGCCACCCCCGACACTTCCTCGTGTCATTGTTCCATCTTTCCCTCAGCCCATTCGTCGTCCCCACATGCCGCGAGTTAACCGGGATGCTGCACCTCCCTCCCCCAGACATCGCAGGACCAGCCGCAAGAGAGTCTCGCGCACAGCGGCGGAAAAGCTATACTGGTTGGCCCATCTCGACTCCGACCCGAAGCTTTCGAATCGCAAGCTGGCGAAGATGGCCGAGGTACAACCCTGTCAGATACGCGAGTGGAAGAAGAACAAGGCACGGCTGTCGGCGGCGGCGGGATGCAGGCGTCATCTCATCGGTGCTGGACGCAAGGCGAAGTTCCCCGACATGGAGAAGGAGATGTACAACCGCTTCCTCTCACACCGTGCGCGCGGCTTGGCGGTGTCGGTGAGTTGTCTGCAGAAGTGGAGTAGGAAGTTCATGCGGAAGCGCCATCCCGGTGTCGACTGGCGTGCGTCATCCCGTTGGACCTTCCGGTTCCGCACGCGTTAGGGATTGACACGGCGCGTCAAGACAAAGATGGGCCAGCGCCTAACCAGCGGTGCGTTGTGTGCTTGATCTGCAACGTCTTTAGCTATTTCGCTTGCGGTTTCCCATTCATTGAGCTGCAAGAACTTAAGCATGTACACTCACATCGTTTATTGTCTTCTCGTTATGCAGATTGCGAGGCTAAAGTCGAGAAATTCTGGGAGTTCGTACGCCAGATGCGCACAGTCAACAAATATGACAACGACTTGATTATCAACGCCGATCAGACGCCCTTGTTCCTCGAAATGCCCCAAGAGACTACATTAGAAGTCCGCGGTTCAAGGACGGTACATGTTCGGACTGCTGGCTACGAAAAGGAGCGGTTGACCGTGATGCTGGCGGTCACTGCTGGCGGCCAGAAGCTGAAGCCGTATGTCATCTTCAAGCGCAAGACACTCCCCAAGATTCGAGTCCCGCCAGGTTAGTATCGATTGGGTATTGATGTCAGTAAGTGTTTCATGTACCAGAGTTAGAAACTAACAGTAAGCTTTTTGGTTCGTTCATGATTGCATGCAGGAATCGTCATCCGCGCACAGGAGAAGGGATGGATGGATGAGGACCACGTGAAGGACTGGATTACGACGGTCCTTGTCCCCTTTCTGAAGCGACTTCCTGCACGCCGTGGCGGGCGGCAGAAGGCTCTCGTTGTCCTTGACTCCTACAAAGGCCATCTGACTGAGGGGGTGGCGGCGTTGATGCGTCTATTCAAACTCTCACGTGCTGTCATACCTGGCGGCTGCACGCCAATCGTCCAACCTCTCGACGTAGCTGTGAACCGCTGCTTGAAGGCTCATGTCCGCCGGTCCTACTCAGGTTGGTTTGAGGAGTTCGGCTGCGACGCGACAACTCCCGCAGGTGATACCCTTCATATCCTTGAGCTCTGCTCTTCATACGTTCTTGTTTACCGTTTGCTTTACGACGCCTTGACGCGTTGCTCAAGTTCTCGCTTCGGTTTGCCTAATGCGCGATGTAATCTCCACCCAACCCTGTCCGCCCTTCAGGAAATCTGAAAAAGCCTCCGGCGGAGGCGGTGCTGCAGTGGATCGCGGCCGCCTGGGAGGCAGTCCCTACCGACCTCATCCGCAAGGCTTTCAAGACCTGCGGCATCTCCAACGACCTCGATGGCCTTGAAGACGACCTCATACTCGCCCACATGCGCAACAACGCGGAGCTGGAGGTCATGGACGATGTGCACGCGGAGGTTGAGACGACCGGGGAGAAGACGAATCCCCTCTTCGAAGCCGAGTTCGTAGAGCCGACCGCCGACGAGCTCTCCGAGGACGAGGAGTGTGACATCACTGTCAACGTCGACCTGCCGCAGCATGCACCGACGCCTGGCGTCGATGTGGCGGAATCGTCTGCGATGGCGGAGGCTCGACTTAACGCTGCAGCAGCTGCAGCATCAACATCGACAACACCAGCAGTAGCTGCAACTGCACCTGAAGCGGCTGACACTACAGAGAGCAGCGATGTGGACTCCGCAGAGATGGCTCCAGCGGCGGAGGTACTTGCTGGACTGGCCGCCTCCCGATGGACTGAAGAGTACGATTGGGACGATATTGCATCCGACGATGATGATGTAGAGGCTTGGCACGCTGGAGATGAGGATGACGAGGAGTATTAGGTAGTGAATGATGTCTCTAATTTCTAACTGAAAGCCCTAGGACATGATCTAGGCCTTGCGCTACTCACTGGATGCTATTCTTGTAGGCAACAATGAGTAGGAATTCAAGCGTGTTGTAACGCTGCTGTAGTAATAGGATGCATATGGTAGAATATACAATTGTTTTAGTGTACTCCAAGTAATAAAAATAGGGGGGGGGCGTTATGTAAAATTCGTCGCCTGAAAAGCGGGTACTCTAAAAAATGCACCATATCATAAGCTCCCCCCCGTATTAACCACCCATGGAGTGACTATTCCGGCGGGTGTTATATCCGGGGGATTACGGTACAACAACTCCAGTTATCAACTCGACATTGCAAGACATGGCACCATCTAAGGGCGATCGATCCTCAACTGGATCCCCTTCTGCAACCCCAGTCTCTGGACTCCAGACTGAGGCAGTTGCAACTGCAGGAACCTCCACGCAACCAGTGGCCTCCTCTACGGGCATGGACCCGAATCTTATGGAGAAGTTCTTCTCCTTCATGTCGACCTACAAGCAGCCCTCGGCACCTGCTCAATCGACAAACAGCAACAACAACAGTGGGGCAGTTCCCATGAGTCTCGACGGCGCATCATACGCAAGAGGCTTACAGCCTACACAGCATCAACTGTACCAGCCCTCGCCAGGTTCATTCACATTTCCTGCCGACTCCCGCACCGGCAGTGGACACAACGACAACTGACAAGCAGTCAGACATCGTTAACATGCAACAGCAGTTTAACAACATCCCAAAACTGCAGACGTCCTCACTTTTCAAGGGGAAGGACTTCTTTGCCTGGAGCTTCGAGTTCGAATTGCTGATGGACGACGCACAGATCCTTGGCTTCTTCACCGGCTCCTTGGCCTTTCCTTCAAATGGGATTACTCAGGAAAAGAAAGTCTATACTTATCAGTCGCTGATGGCTTTCACCATCCTCCTGCGCAACCTGACAACAACAGAGCAGCAGAGCATCCGAACATATCGCAACTTCGG